CTTCTCTCTTTCAGGAGCATATACCTCTTATGTGTTGGTGACCAATCTGAGTGATCAATTCGTTGGATATTCAGAATAGACAAAATGTCAAGTCTGAATTATTTGTCAGTATGCGAACAGCATTTCAGTGAGATCTCTTATCTATAGCACGTTTATGTCGTATTCCGACAAGGACCGTGTGATCAGAAGACATGACCTACAGCCACTATTCAATTACATACTATGGATAACAGTAGATTGAAAATTATATTCTGTCCCTAATATAGGTGTAAAACTTTGGCACTGTGGTAAAATGCAATTCTATATTCGATTTGTTTATTTGATTGATGACAACACACATTGATATAGTATTATTTACTTGATAACCACATTTCGAGCATAACCTACTACTCATAATCATATCAGTGTAACCAGACTTCTTTCGATATTTGATTTTGATAGTCCTGTCACATGCTATTCTCTGCTTTTACTGGTAGCAAACTTTTCCATATCTCTGGTGTAGGTGTTGACTCCTTTCTCTTATATGTGTTGGGTGTAGATTCGATGAACAAAAATTTAGTAACCGATCTCTCTCTCTCTCTCTCTCTCTCTCTCTCTCTCTCCTTCCACTTTATTATACTACACTTCAGTACAGTGGCTTTATCCCACCCTATTGTTAGTGCATGATCTTATTGGAGTCTGTCATTCTAAATTTAGCTAAATTCTTCTATTCCGCTAACATACAACCACACAATAGGGTGGGATAAAGCCACTATACTGAAGCCCAATACAATAAGGTGAAGAGGAAAAGACAGATTACTTAATCTTTATTCAACGAACCAACACTCAACACATGTAATCGGAATGACGCAACACCTATACCAGAGATATGGAAAAGTTTACTACCAGTAAAAGCAGAGAATAGCAGGTGACAGGACTATCAAAATCAAATATCGAAAGAAGTCTGGTGACACTGATATGATTATGGGTAGCAACTTATGCTCGAAACGTGCCCACCAAGTAAATAATACTGTTGTTATAAATCAAATAAACAAACCGAATATGAAATTATCTTCCGTCCGATAAAATACGGTCTATAGTGAGAACGACGCATTGAAAAAAAAATTAAAAAACAAAAAAATGAGCAGAAAAAGCTTAATAACGTAGAGATTATTTATTTACTTAAGAAAAAACAATTGAAAACATAGACTGTGTATGTGAATTTTCTCATACATGTCTAGCAAAACTTTCAAACACGTTTTGGTATATTCTGAATATCACTGAATTAAAACGTCTTTCGATGCGGTGAAACTACTCAAACCAACCGCAGAACTAAAACCGAACAAAAGTGTATGTTACAGAAAGAGTAAACTATATGGTTGGCTTAAACTGCAACTACTACAAGTCTGGGATTGAACCAAGCGCAGGTTCCTCTCTTACATTCTAAGCGGCAATAAATTAACAAAACATCTAGCCAGTAATTTACAGTATATTCATAGATTATTCCCATCCTATTAAAGGACTATAATTAGCCAAAAACATATATCGAAAATCATGAACAATTGAGCGCAGAATTGTCAAGCCTATCCTCAAATGTGTTTCATAACTTATTTACTCCTTTATCAATAGCAATTTCAAATTCTAACCATTTTAGATACTTCATTTCTGAGCACAAACTATGCCTTTAATTCTTTATATACATATAAACAATTTTCTTTTCATAAGATGTTACGAAAAATGCCCGTCAATCCCCACAAATTTTCTCAGTATTATTATTATGACATTCAACCTACTGACAGTGAATAAGTAGCAAGCAGCATGTTCTGAAAATAAATGGTTAACTAAGAAAGACTGAAAAGTTAGTTGTGAGCAAGTCTGACAAGGGAGGAGCTAGGGTGTTGTTGAACAACAGCAATTATGTAGACAAAATGAATTCCCTCCTAAGCGATCAAACTAAGTTCCAGAAGCTCAGTGATCTTAGAGATTAGAATGCGAGAGTGGAAAAGTAGCTGACTAACTACCTGAAGCAAACAGGTGTGATCTCAGCTGCAATGTATGAATCACTGAAGCACACAGGATGTAACATACCATGGCTTTACAGTCTGCCATAAACTCTACAAACTTGGACTTCCTCTTCGTCCAGTTTTAGATATGTATAACTTCCCATATCATAAAATCGCAAAATGGTTGGTCCAGATCTTAGGACCCCCTCACAAACTAGTTGTAAAACATAGTGTGAAGGATGTCTTTGATTCCCTCTCCATGGTGAGTAGAAAACGCCTGGTATCATCATTAACTAGTGTCCCGCTCACTGAAACAATTGATTTCATATGTCAATAACTGGTAGAGAAACACATTAACATTGGAATTCCTGAGTCTAACCTTAAGGAATTACTTCTTGGATGTACATTGAATATACCCTTATTTTCAATAATGCATGTTGTAGACAAGTGGATGGAATCGCATTGGGATCACCATTAGGTCTAATCCTTACGGACTTTTTTCTGGTCAAACTAGAGAATGGACCATTGAAGAATGACATCAACAAGCTAGATATGTATTACAGATACGTGGGCGATATATTTATTATAACTGATCAGAAGGAACTATTTGGGAAGTTTAACAGCATACACCCGCCACTTCCCTTCACTTGTGAAGAAGAACAGTATAATAAGCTAAGTTCCCTTGATCTTCTATCAAATAGACGAGAAGATGGATCGCTTTGCAGAAGCGTATACAGAGGGAAAAAATCTGCATGTCAATATACACATTCTTAGTTTCACTCCTATACGATGTAAAAGAAATTTAGTGAAATGTTCGACAGCCAGAGCACAGAAAATCTGCTCAGATGTTACTCTACAGAGTGAGTAAGACTGAATTCCGAACTCATTAATTGAAATAAGTTATCCTCACAACTTTATAGGAAAACATGAATAGATCAGGGAAGAGATTTGAAGTAGCAACCGTTTGAAAGAAACCACTATTCATAAAGCCACAATTTAATGGAGGTATACTTAGTGAGATCCTATTCGACAGACTGTCAAGAACCATTAAAAGAACACTTTATGCAACTTACCTCTGTCTGTCGTTTTCTAGTCGACAATTTGCTTCGCGTCAAAAGAAGGACAAGTTGCCTAGTTAAACCACTTCTATGTGTATTTACCAGTTTAATTGTTACGAAGGAGATAGGCGTAAAACTAGGAAACTTAACCAACGTATTACCGAACACCTAACTTCGTGGCTGCGAAAAGACAAGTTAAATCTATGAGATGCTCTATTTCGTTACATCTAGCTGATGGTGATCATAGAGTGAATAAGACAAAAGATTTCAAAGTAATTTACCGCATCCCACCAAACCTTTCCGATGGAGTTCGAATTCACCTTTTACATGTAGCTGAGGCTATAGGAATTCGAATGAAAAATCCGAAGCTCTGTATTCAGAAGAAATTTTTACAGCTTTTATCCTTGCCTTAGCCAGGGAAAACTTAATGAATGACCTTATTTAGAAATTTTAAAAACCAACTTCTTTATTTTTCTATAATTTTATTTCATACCACCACAATATTCACACTTTCTAGGCCAAAAGATCTAGTAGAACCAGTTAGGAAAAATAACCTAGTCTATAAAATACCATGTAATGATTGTGATGTCAAGTATATGGATCAAGCACACGATTGGTGCCAGTTAGAATAAAAGAATATAAAAATTTAGCGAAACACAATGGTAGATCATACTAAGGCAAGCAATTTACAGAAAAACTAGGCTATCGTTCTGCATTCACTGACTTATAATCAGACTATAGGGTGGGATAGAGTAAAAATTCTAAAATCTAATATAGCTAGGTGGAGAGAGAGATCGACCCCAGAATCTTTGTTCATTGAATCAACACCCATCACATATATAACAGGAATGACTCATCACATAATGCAGACATTTGGGAAATTTTACTAGCATTAAAAAAGAAGAATAAAAATCTGTTGGGCCATATAAAGGAAGTTTGAAAGTCGTACGATTACTGTGATATGAATAGGAGCAGTAAATCCTACTAGAAATGTCATCCAGTAAGTCATTTTATGACACTACCATAATCAGATAAACAGTCTAATATGGAATTATACTCTACTACAGTGCCGAGGCTTTTCCTTTACATTACACCCTGTTCATGTCTGTCTGCTTCAGGTAATAATAGCAAAAACAGCTATCAACAGTTGTGTTCAATCTTCTTTCAAATCTGAAGGATGAATGTGTAATCATTCCAGCCTAATTTATCTTTTTATAATTTATCAACAAGATGGTTTTCTCTCTCAATCCCAATACTACTGTTGAAAGTTCCAGGACAAGAACTGTTGTGTCGTAATCTGTATTCTTTCACTCAATCATTTGTAAGTGTTATCGGTATTTTAAAAACAAAATTTTTGTAGAAATATATCTTACTTCAACATGAAAATAAAATATATTACCCGTCTAACTAATATCAACTTGTATCACATAGTTCATATAAACAATCACGTATGATTTTTTGTACTAGGATATCAAGTAGATATTTGTAACATGAGTCTTCAGTGTTATTTCGTTGCTAAAACATTTAAAAATGAATAGAGACTCCCATCAGCAGCTTACTAATAATATGTCTGAAATACAGTTGTTCTTCTTCGGTATACTAAAGAAAGTTTCCAACCCCCAGTTCCTATAGTGTCATACAAAACAAAGGAACATGATTGCATGCTTCGTATGGAATGAAACAACCACTATTAACTTCATGCATTATTTTAACTTTACAACTTCAGAACTGTCTTCATATTACTCCTATACCAGTCTACAACATTTGTGAAGAAATAGCCCATCTTAGGTATGTAGCTAACATCTTTATCACTAACTAATTCTACTATATTATCTCATGACCGTATGCAATAATTCACTATTGTAACTCAATAACCAAGTGAAGATTCTTCTACATACCTACTGCGTGAGAGTAAGTGACTTAACCCAATGGAATTAAGTAGAATAAAAATGAGAATCAATCCTATAAAAAGACTCGGATTTATTAAATGCAACAAACTTCACTGTTCAAAACGTTTATTTTTATGCATAGAAAATCTATTAGACAGAACTAAAGATCAAATATGGCAAAACATTAATACCGGTTGTATTAGTTTCTAGGATCATTTACAGTCTATCGCCTTAACAACAAGGTACTTAAGTTGACCTTACTCACATTAGGCACATAACGTATAGTTATTGAAACACGTTTACCACGATGGTGTAATTTTCGTTGAATATCACCTAAATTGTTAAGCGACCAATTGTGAATAACAGCAGCATTATCCATCAACTTTTCAGAGAGTATTTGCTTATCTTCAGGATGGATTAGTAAATCAGTTTCACGCTGGGCAATACCATGCATATAATATGTATATAGCTTTTCAGTGACAATATTCAAACTACGCGGTTCCAGATACACTGAACCAATATAACGATCATTCAATTGGGTTGACTGCATTTGCTACGAAAAAATATGATTACATTAGTATACAGAATTACTGGGTCGGTAGCTTTATCCAATGGTTCATAAAAGTCTAGGATACCATAGGAATTCAGGTTGATTGTAGCAACAACAGGATAGTAGAGCGGTCCATCATGATGAGGCTATTAGGATAAATTGTTGTAAACAAAGAATTGTTATGTTAAATAAATTACAATGAAAAAAATGGATGGCTTGCAATAATTTGTAATTCAAAACACAAACTCAGTAAGTAGGTGCGAATTCACATTTTACCCTGCTAACGACATATGTGTCTTGTGAATGTTGAAAAATACGCAGGCCTAGTAGCTCAGATGGTAGACTACCGGGTCGGAAACCCGATGGTCGTCGGTTCAAATCCCGCCGTGGTCCAGATTTTCATTTCACCTTCAATCATCACCCAATATGAACACATAGTCGAATACATACATGCAATACAATAATTCAAACGAAAATAGCCATAAATTTACCACTAAAAGACCTGAAGAACCTTATATTGAACGTACAGTTTACCATCAGTGAGCAAGTGTATTGGTAAATAGATGAAATTGCAATGGGATTCCCCATAAAACCATTGTTCACAGATGCTTTTATGGTCAAACTAGAGAGTTACAAGCTCTGATGAAGTATACAAACTATGAATTTATACTGTCCGTAAGTCGACTATACATTCCTTTCATGCACCAGAAATATAAAAAGTTGAAGACTTGTTAACAGAAATTGAAGATACTCATAGAACGATCACGTTTACATTTTCGGATGTCTTGCTTAGTAGATAAGATGGAAAGGTTAGCAGGTTAATATATAGAAAATGTACATGGACAGAAACGTATACCTATTTTTGTATCTTCGATTCGCTGTGTCAGAAGAGGAATTTGATCAACAGGACTAGGGTAATATGTTCCGACGACATGTTACACAATGAAATAGATAAGCTTAAACATGCTTTAAAGAGAGAATGATCATCCAGAAACACTGATCAAGAGAAATACGATAGAGAGAGTCGCTGAAACAGAGATAGAAGCAGTTCCAAACACCGCTATTATTTATTACTTTGCAGCAAAACCCTGATACTGTTTCAGATGTTCTAACAAATTGCCTAAGAAGATGCTTAATGCTTTCCCTGCCACCGCCTTGAAAATTTGCTTTACAAGCAGAACCATTAAACTTTCAGGCACAAAAAAATGAGTGCCTCATTCGTTCAAATCAATACGTGTATATATCTACGACTGCTTTTGTGTATCAAGTTACCTCGGACTTACTATGACGACTCTTTCTCACGTGCGAGAAAACATCTGACTGCATAGCCGTGTAGTTGAGAAATAAAAAACATCACTACTTTCGTACAAACACATCTTATTGAGATCATACAGTGGATATTTAGGCGGTTATCTCAACTTTACATTCAATTAAAAACCGATTACCGCAAAGGATAAATCTTCGTCGTCTTCAAAGAGCCGAATCAGTTGCCATTAAAATCCTAAAACCAGAGTTATGTGAACTGAAAAATCTTGTTCAAACGCTTCTTCGCTGACCCTAGTATGATATAATTATATTAAAATTTAGTTATTTTCATGCTAAATCCTTTACATGTCTATTGGTTTGATCCAACTTCCGTTGAGTACAATTGTTCATGATTGCGTAATTTCGTATTCTTGCCACAAATAATTTTAATTTCATTCTGGTTTCATATCTAGCTTCTAATAATCTATCCTTATGTTAATCAAATTTTATTTTGCTTCATACTACTCTCAAGTACCCGATCACGTGTGTTAGCTATCATGGTATCAAAACACCATTTATCTAACTCTGGATATGATGAAACCTGAACGAAAGTACTTATTCGCTCAAATCAGTTGCGTCTTTTTAACTTTTACAGGATTATCAAGAGCTAATGACCACATGCATCCTTAGCTGTGAACTGTAAAAACCAGTTAGACTAATGTATCAGCATAGTTTTGTCCATCGATGTATGAAAGATTAGGTTTCCAAGTGTACAGTAAAATCTATAGTGACATACATCAACTTAATACATCTTTGAAATTATCATAACGTTCGTTTCACTGTAAAATGTCAGATGCATAACCCTTTGGCATGCAAGTGCTGCCCCACATCTGTAAGATATGGCTCTTTTAAGCTGTAAAGTTTCTATTCCCAGTTACCGATTATCACTGTCCGCATAAAACTGCTTGCATCCATTGACAACACCAATGTAAGTGTCGTTAAGGTTCAACAGTGAATATTTTGGTAGGATGAAGATCACTATTCATTATGTGAAATTATCATAAAATATTAACGTCTGTCGTTTGAACAATCCAGAAGCATCAATGTTAACAAATGTTTACTGTTTCTAGATTTGAATGTAAGAAGCAAAATGAGTGTAAGGTTTTCGACAAAGTACTATGAAACGAAAGACAGTTGTGTTTGTTAGCATTTAACAGCATCTCATGACTTTCTAAGCATTTCAAAATGCTATCCAGTTTAATCACTTAAAACCTTATCAAACACGCTGTTTGGTAACAAGATCAACAGTGATCATGTTGTAATTCCCTTCCATATTTAAAAAGTACTGAAGTAATCAAAACTTCTTCAACGCATATCCATTACTTCTTCGCCTCTGATAGCCATTATGCTTTCTCTCTCTCTCTCTCTCTCTTCTTTACCTCATAATTATCATACAGTATCTAGGGTGACGTGTTTTGGCAACAATGTTATACCGATTGTCGTAAAAATAAAAGTAATACTATTGCCGAAATAAGAAAAAGTAGGCACAAACTCCCACATGTCGAAAATAGATATTCAATAAGATGATTTTTGAATAACTGCGCATTCCGGGAAATGATTATTTAACCTAATTCATTTTTATGGACTAAGTTGCAATTAAGATCTCAGCGTTAAAATATTGTTGAACAAATCACTTGGATAAAAAGTTCTATATTTCATCCTTTAAAAGTTGTTCACGCTTTCACCAGTTCAATAAATACAAATATCTCATAACATCAGTTTCAGAAAAACTTCAAAAGTATTCATACTGGTGATAATTGAAGGTGGAATGAAAATTTGGACTACGGCCAGATTGGAACCAGCGACCACTGGGTTTCCGATCCCGTACCCGGGCCTCGTAGCCCAGTTGGTTGAGCACCGGGTCGGAAACCCAATGGTGGCTGGTCCGAATCCCGCTGCGATCCAAATTATCATTCCACCTCCAATCATCACCCAGTGCAAACACTAGTCTCCCACACCACAGCCATCTGAGATAGTAAAAATGATAAACAAAAGTATTCCTTAAAAATATCATAATTATGAGTATCTTCGATAAAAAGTTAGCTCAGTGAATCTTACTTGCAGCATACATATATGGAAACAATGAACCCTAATATTCACTTAAAATAAACGAGAACTACAGTCGGAGGGCAATACTAGTTGCCACAATGGCGTCTTAGTTCACTAAGCATAGCTTATGACTTTGAATTACTATACTAAGTATTCCAGCCCCGCCCCACTTACTAAGGTTTGTCAGATGGATAGTAGCATCAGCCATTTCAAAATTATTAGCATTCATGACCCAGTACATGTGCCAGCTAGCCCTGACCGCAATAAATAGCGAGAGAAACTTAAAAGTAAGTTGGTCAACAGGTTTCGCAACGATCACCAGCAGTGGTGGGTGGTAAAAGCCAGAGACGTAGAAGGCATCAGTGCTGGGTAACACCCCGTAAATATTCACACTTATTAAGGATACCAGAGAGAAGAAAACGATGCTCACTGCAACCATCACCAAAAACGATAACATGCTGACAACCTCCAAGGACAAATGGATGGAACGTCGAGGGGAATACTTTGAAGCACAGTTTAACTACCTCACTGTCACACTTCAGTTGCCCAGAATCCTCCTCAAATCTCAATGGTGCAAAGATGTCGGTCTTCTAAATGTCATTGGAGTTGAGAAGACTGTTTCAAACCAGAAATGATGCAAAGCAGTAAGACCTGACGATTTGCCAACCGACATATTTAAGAACGCAAGTAGGGAATTACTTATTAAAATAACGGAGTCACTGCACGGCGTGTAGTAATCACAAGTAGTCCCATCCGACTGGACTACTCCAATGATCATTCCAATCTATAACTAGAAACAGAAGTCTTCCTCCAACTACCATTGAGATATGTCTAACTAATACTGTGTCCAAGATCCTACGGTCTAGTTATCCTATGCCTAACTGCAGTTCCAGAACAACGAACTCGAGAAAACCACACAGCTTCCAAACCTGAACGAGTATGCATAGATCAGATTTTCATACTTCCACAGATTACCGAGCAAAGGCATACATCCCGGAGGCCAACACTCCACATATTTCTTCACCTAAGGCCACATACGACCCTATCCACCATGAGATGGTTGCGGTATCTCACTGAAAGATGTACCAAGCAAGTATGTAGCACTAATCAGAGCTCCCTACATGAAATTACCCAACCATATAAGGGCTTATAGAGAGTTTTCATCAGAATCGATGATAACTAGTGGTATCCCTCACGGATGCCCACGGTCACCCTCCCGATTTAACTCCGTTATAGACGAACTAACAAACATAATCTTAGATACATCTCAATTTATGTGGATTGGTCTACTCCATGTGGATCATCTGGTTGACTTTGAGGTTACAAACGATAATGTCCTGCTAGTTGAAAATGCTGACACAATGCAGTACCTTCTTAATGCGTTGAGCAAAAATCCGTGTTTGGTATGCGTTTCTCCAGCCCTAATTAAACGTAAGATGATGCTCCACGACTGGTATACTCCAGGTACTCCCAGTCTAATGATAGCTAGTGGAAAGGTTGAATGTTTCAACCACTCCACTAACTTAGGAAGTTGCATCTGCCCCAACCAACGGGTCGCTGACGAAATCTCAGCTCAGATATAGAAGGCTCGTTTGAGATTTGCCAACTTGTATCTTCTGCGGTGCCCACTGGAGAGATGTTTTACTACCTATCAAATGACGAATATACTGTGGCGCAGTTCGTTCTGTTCTGTAACACGGCTGTTAAACATGCCCGTTAAAAGTAGAAGACATAAAGCAGTTACAAGGTTTTGATTATAGGTGTCTTCGTAGCATTGCTCGCGATTGATCAAATCACTGTCTGAGTAATGTTGAGGTCAGACGAAGGCCACTAGGCAAGACAGAAAGTTGATCTATGAAGTTGTGAACCTTAATCAACAGAGATGGCTTGGACGTGTACTGTACATGCCAAGCCACTGCCCACCTCGATGTGTCATGCTAGAGGAAGTTGGATTAGGTTGGAAGAGGGATCAGGGTGGCTAGAACAATACCTGGCATTAGACGACGAGGTCTCTGACTGCTGGTCTGAGTCGTGTAGGGAGATACAGACTATCGGGTTGGGGTCCTCGAAACGAAGGGAATCAGTAGTTGAGAACTCCTGGTGACGGCTGAAAATCGGTCACAATGGCGCAGATGTTATCACTCTTCGATGTCTTCAAAAGCTTGAATTTTAAGTGCAACAAATTGAACCGATGCACTTGTGTGCAAGGTTCTACGTTGATTCTATGTGTCTGTCTACCTGCTGAGCTGCATCGATAATCATGATGATACTTTTTTCGCCATCAATAAACATAAATATTTTTTAAGATAAACTATACATAATTCTGAAAAATAAACTTACAAATATACCCTGTCCACACTCGTATTCATTAACTAACGCATGATTTGCTTTCTTTGTATCGAATAAACTTAGTGCTGAAACTCTATCTATGTACTTCTGTAACCACTAGAAAGTAGACTGTATTGTTAACTTATTCCAGAAGATTAGATAAACCTGTGGAATCTTCTCAGATAACATGCCCTTAGGATGAGGAAGGCCACCCCAGTTTTGTAATCGCCGATCACGTAAGGTAACCCATTTTGGTAATGGTGAGGCATAAATATTTTTCAATAGATCTGTTTCTTCCTCTTCACTTATAAAATCTGGCATGTAAAAAATGTTTTGTGGCAATGACTTGACACAGTAGCTTTCCAACGATGGCAACATAATTACCTATGGAATAAAAACAAAGAATGAAACTCATGAGAACTCCTGAACATTGAATTCTTCCACACTTTGCTATTCGACAAAACGATACTTTCATAAAATACAATGGCCTAAGGAATTGAGCACATGTGAAAACCATTTTTATTCAATAAATATGATGACAGATACTGGAAACCGTATTCAGGAAAGTCAAGATACACAGCAACATACCACGACTATAGTGACTAAGTAGCCTAGTGGATAACGTTATGGCGTTTGAGGTGAAGGGTGCCAGGTTTGAGTATCAGTAGAAACACCACTCACTAGAAGGCAGGTACATCCAGTTGACGCATCTGGAAAAGGAAGAAACGCGCATCCTAGGTACGGCTGCCAGTCAATGCTTATCAATAGTAACAAACCATGGCAGCATGAGTCATACTTCAGTAGAAATTCGAGGCTACATATGACAAAAAGTAGCTGGAAACTATTGCCGAAGATACAATGACTTTTTAACCTACCAATAAAAAATATATATACTCCGTTTCTCCATCTGTCTTCTATACTCGTAGATACTGATTCGGAAGCAAGTATGACAACTCAGAATACTTCAAATCAACAACAGTATCTTGACGATCAAGGCAAACTCAAAGAAGTAAGTCAAAAGAGGAGTAAAAATGGTTACGAATACGATGTATGCTGGCACAAGGAGTTTGTAACACGTAAATATTGCATAACTTAATTTCAACATCTTTCATCAGATTCCTCATAGTTTGTAAACGTCTTTCTCATCTTTATTATCAATACTATTTCTTTTCAAACCAAAATAAACACAGTTTATCAGTTGCATTCCAAAAATCGTTATTTTTTGTTGACTGATTTACTCTGTGAGTGAAACTTCTTTGCTATTATCCATTTATTGTGCAAAAAGCTGACTAATAATGGCAAACCACTGGTTTGTTTATGAACCTTAATGAATTGTGGTGGACGGAGGGTAATGCGTTAAACACGCTCAGCAACCGCATATTTGGACGTTCTAAGCTGTTTGGTATGATTTGGTTGAATGACGTTAAGGATAACCAGTTTAGGGCGTCAAATCAATCCATACGGCCTAAACTTGTTGATTTGAGCCATATGTGAGAATATCAAGCACCTATTCTCGATTTGCAAAACAAATCAGTGGTTGAAGACTCTACGTGGTATGAAACAAATGTACTCACATCACATTTCGTCTATATCTTTAGGATCGCAGTATCAGATATCTGTAATCTGTTTTTGTCATACAGCTTTTTACAATCAGCGATAATACTTTCTTCTTTTCTCCGGTCTTGTTAACTTCCAAATTGTTGTGCTGATATGTAGTGTGGCAATACAAAACAATGATCAATTACACCGTAGCCTATACCGTTTACGTCTGTTAGTCAGCTTATGCCAAAACTCTGTTAAACTTAAGAGATCTAAGTGTACTGATCCTCAATATCTTTGGCACCCTAGATAACCCATGGATGAAAATGAGAACAAGTGATTAAATTTTTTGTCGATTCGCATTTTTCCACACCAGAAAATGAACTATGCCATTGAAACACATCTTTCATTTATATGATGCCAGTCATAAAAATGGGTCTAATACTAGCGTGTAATTAGTTTTCTAGCACAACTACAATTACATAGCAAGTATTCGAGAGCTGGATTCAACATCATCAGATCAAAAAGTTTTAAATTGGCATCGGTTATGCTTTTTTATTGCCGATTCTTATCAGTTCTTAATGCGGACACCAGAAACACTACAGCAGAATTTCCAGAACAAATGTTTTAACTAAGCCTAGGTAACGCTTCTTCATACAATCAGACTCCTCTAGATCTCATATGCATCATAAAAACAAACTCCAGGCTTATTATTTCTAAAACTACTATATCTATCAATTACGCCTTTTGGAGATGCTCGGCCGCTACTTTCGCTACTATTTTAAGCTCACCATCACGTGTCTACCATACTTGGTTAAGATTACTAACTACGCAGCTTTCTACCCTTCTGCTTTTAAACAACTGCTTACCATTATTTGCTGAACTAGTAAAAAAAACTTTGATGCAAAACACGTCACGTGATATACGTTTTCACCAAAGAACTTCCTTGCTAAAATAGCAGAAAGACAAATCAATGTACAACCTTACAGAAAAGTGCACCAGCCCAAGTTGTCACACTTAGCAGCAACATTCAAATAGGAAGGGGAAAGAAAAGGAATGACATTCAGTCAGACAAAAGTGCATGAGGGAGAAATAATTAAACTAATGGTCAGCAAAATTTGCGAACTTGCGAAGGTGAAAAAGAGTATACATCTGCGTTACTGTAAGCGATTTTGAGCCATATAACAGTGCAATTTCAATAATTAATTCTTAACGGTTCCATGACAACTCCATTTAGACATGGAACAATTTCGGGTAGACTTACAGGCTACACTCTTTAGGGATACGCTAATAAGTTGGAGAAAAAAGACTGAGAAACTTCTCCAAAACGAAGAGACGTGAACAATGTTGATTCGAATTTTGCGACCCTAGGAATACTTGCATGACTTTAATAAATGAAGCTAAATAACACATAAGAAGAGTTACATCTCCATGCAACAAAATAACAACTACATCACCTCAACCTACACCCATCATCTTGCCACAAATTATTAGACCTCATAACAGTAAGGCACATCTTCAATAATTATTTGGATGCCGATTTATCGCATCCATACTTCCTCTCTACAGTTTTTGAGAGGTCAAAAAGTTGGATAAAACTTATATATATATATATATATATATATATATATATATATATATATATATATATATATATATATATAAGCTTCGAGAACATTAAATATACTATACCCACTTGATGAGTTGGTGCTTTCTTAAACGTTTTATTGGAAGTACCCACTGCAACGGATTGCCTAATTATTTTCTCATTCATCCCCTTTATATTCCCATTTTTTAGTTTGAGGAATTCAGAAAGTACTTGCACTTTATGCAAACTACATAAGAATCCAGGTTTTTTGAATGCAGCCCTATTTTCAGTTTCAGTTTTCAGTTATAAGGATAGTAGGCCAGTTGGCCTGTGTTAATCCCTGCAGAAGATATCTCTGTGAGGATCTAGTTTCTCCTTGAACGCGTTGACAGAAGGTGCTGATACTACTTGCTGAGATGAGGAGTTCCAGATGTTGACAACACGATAGGAGAAACACAGATTCACGCTAAGTTGATTCGATCGCGGCTTTTAAAATTTCCTTGTGATGCCCTTGGAGATAGTCAGTCGTCCTAGCAAGGGTGAAAAGATAGGACATATCAGTACCGAAGTCATTATTAAGAATACGAAATGCCAGTATGAGATCACCTTGTTTTCAACGGTAAGACAGTGGGAATAAGTTTAGCTGATCTAGTCGTTCCTCATAGGATAGATTCAAAAGGCCTGCCACAGGCTTAGTATCTACTCTTTGAACACGCTTGAATGAGTCAGCATCCTTTTTTAGGCATGGGCTGGCTGACTGAATGCAGTATTCGAAGTGAGGTCTAACGTAAGTAGAGTATTCTGAACATGTCCCGATCAAAAAATTTGAAAGCTTTGCAAAAGGATCATAATACGCGGAAGCCCCTTGCTGCAGCTGCATTACAGCTTGCCGAGGTTGTCAAATCATGACTAATGATGACACCTAAGTCTTTTAGTTCAAAGACTGGGAGTAGTGGCGTACCACAAACGGAGTACTGAATACGAAAGCTATCGAATATGATACCGCTTAACGACATACCATTTAAACGCATTCAAAACAGCGAAGAAAGCTAGGCTGGGCCAAACGACCCTAAAAGATATGAAATTTGTAGCCCAACTGTCGAAAATGCCGCAAACTTCAAACTTCGTGTTGTAGAATTACTGAACTGAGGTTCCTTGGGTTCTACATCTGTCTTATTGGAACACTTTCTGAGTTTGGAAAGGTCACAATTGCCTTCTCGGTTCTGAAAAACCTGAAAGGACAGAGATAGGATTAATCAATTAATCTGGTCTCAAAGTAGTATTACTGCATCTGATCTGGGGAAAGCTTCTCAAGTACAGCCCATCGGTACCGTACGACTCCAGGTGTGCATCTAGCCTCCTTTTAAAGGTATCAGGGAATGGGGTTGTAACAACTGCTGAAGGGAGGGAATTCCACAGTTTACAGACTCTAACTGCAAATGAGTTAGCACGGATCTTGTACGTGCTCTCGCGTGCTCAATTCTTAACGGATGACCCCTCAAGTCGCGTTTCCGACTAGAGCTTAGAAGGGATCTGTTAGGATGGAGGGGATTATGGACGATACGGTACATCATGATCATATCCCCTCTGATCCTCCGGTACTGTACTGGGTGCAGCTGAAGAGCAACTAAGCGGTCTGGGTATGGTCTGTGCCGTAACCCAATCACTTTCTTTGTAGCTCTTCTCTGTACCCGTTCTAGGATGGCTATGTTCTTTTCCAAGCATGAAGACAACACAGGCGAATTTTTTTCTAGATGGGGGCGAATGTACAGATCCTGCACTGTAGTGAAAAGAGGAGTTAAACACCCTAAAGTTCGCGAGAGAAACCCCAGGATTCCACAAGTCCTATTGGCTGCAGGGCAACAGTGAACTGAAGCCCCTAGTTTGTCGCCTAATGTAACTCCCAGATCTTGTTTCATGTTAGAGTGACAGATATTTATTTCACCCAGAGAGTAAGAACTGGGACTGCTTTTATGTTTGTCAGCTGTTATTATTTGACGCTTCTTCCAGTTGAGAGGAAGCAGGTTCTCTGTAGTCCAGTTAAGGATTTTCGTAAGGTCCTCCTGGAAGACCGAAATATCCGCTGGCTCCTGTATTTCCCTCCAAATCTTCAGGTCGTCGGCATATAATAGTGAGAGTGAATTAAGGACCCCAGGTAGGTCACTGACAAAAGCAAGAAACAGTAGTGGGCCCAGTATGGAACCTTGAGGCACACCACTCAGCATCGGGAACCGATTAGATGGAGAGGAGCCAACTCTAACTGACTGCACCCTGGTGTACAGATAATCTCTAAGCCAAATTTAACACCTCAACATCCAACATGACTAGTGCGTATGGAGGAACCTCGTACTTTTTTCAGCTCTCCCTTCTAGGTCTCTAGGCTCGGTCCTTTTTGTTCGGTTGTATTCTTTCTGCAATTCCTGCTTTTGTAAGCACCTGCAAGAAAGTATTAGGCGTTACTTAAAGTGCTAGAAATAGAGTGACAGCGGAATGAGAAAAGGTGGAGTAAAAATCATTTATGGAAAGATAATTGCTACTGGTAATAATGTGGAGAAAGTAAGCGTCTTATTTCAGATACTATGGTTGAGGAATACAGGGATGGAAGAGCATATCACCAGGTGTTTAGGAATTATGCCAGCTTGACGCAGAGGCCGATCACTAATTATTCGTACTTATTATGTACCCACGAATACATGACCAAGGAAGAACACAATAGCGTACTCAGTTGTAATAGTTAATCTGTGGGGTAACACCAAAATATCGATGGGTTCCAACTATCTGCCTAGGGAATCGACTACGAGTAGTACAGCGTAACAAGACAACGTGTCAAATAGCATCGATCCTTGACCTTGGGCCTTCGGTTTAGCGATCCCAATAAAATTGTGAAGGTTAGCACCGACGCTAAATCTCTTGGGGCCCTAGGCTATCGATTCTGGAGAATTACATGGTGCTATAGTTGGTACCGACAAATGTTCGTGATAAGCCATTTGCACTGACGTACTTATCTGGTAGTCGTTTGAAGGAGTCGATTGATGTAGTTCTGACTACTTCCCTCGGTAGAATATTCCATAAGCTGCATACTCTGTAAGGGAAGGAGTTCCATCTCACTCCCGTCTTTGCCTTACCGTTGGGCATGCAAGTGGGTTTCCCGCGGACCGTCAGTTTTCGACCAATAACTTTGACCTATTTGGGTGGTGCACTCGGCGAACTATCATGAGGGCTGTCATCAGATAGCCTCGTTTCCTTCGATAACTTGGTGCGAACAAGTTGAGTCGTCTGAGGTGTTGCACACATGTTTTGCCTCGGGATTCTCTGTCCTCTAGATGTGCTATAAACCATCATATGAGTGGTTCACTGATAGCCACTTTTGAAAGTTTATCGAGAATGGTTCAGTGTGGAGGGCTGTCGAAAGCTTCGCCCAAGTCAACAGAGATAGCGTTGACTGGATCCTTGTTGCCTCACCTAGTTGTCCAGTCATCCCAAGCGACCATCAAGTTTGTGACATGTGACCGTCCAGTTCTGGAGCCGCGTTGGGTGGGGTGAATGATTTTGTTTCCATTCAGGCAGTCCCAGAAGACATCTGTAACCAGGCTTTCCAGTATGGGAAGTGATGCTATTTGCCTGTATTTTCACGGGATTTTCCGTCCCCCCCCTCAAATACTGGTGAATTGATAGCACGTTTCAATTCCTCGGAGTGTTGGCTCACTCCCAACGAGTGAGTGGCCAGGTTGCATATGGGTATGCTTATCATTTTGGCAGAGTTCCGTAGGACTACCGGCCCTAAGTCATCACGGCCGGGAGACTTCCCTGTTCCCACTGTCGAAAGTTTTGCAAACACCTGATTCGAAGAAAACTACGTTCGTCAGCAGCGTACCGCAGTTCTGGAACTTCACTACATCAATAGATGTTGATAGTGGATGCATCACTGGGTTGAGTTGCCCGTCAAATCAGCTGCTCAACAGTTCCGCTGTCTCACTGCCGTTCAAGTGTTCTTCTGTTGGTCCTGTGGTCAGGTTTAAACCCTTATTCATCGGTTTTCGTCATGGTATAAACCAGTATGGGCTTTTCGGATTGTAACAAAATCTTTAGTATATATATAACGCTCATATGTCAACAGCGAGTCCCATTCTTCTGGTCATATAGCCCCTAGGGGTTCATTGCTCGTGATATGATAATCCGCCATTCGGTAACAGTGGAGCGCCTCTGGCTCCACTATTGGCAGTTTCTCCCTGGTTATCACAGAGAATCTCACCACGGCGTGGGCGATTTTGCCTAGGGAGGGTTGGACGTAGGTATCGTCCGCCATCGTCTATCAGAACGTGGTGAACCTATGATCCTTTTCTATCTGGACACCATCTGGTGCCTTCTCCAACTTACTGTATCAGTCCTACCGCCATAAGCGTGTTTCGAAGTTAACGTTCAGAAGACTCACGTCCACATCTTACTTCACATCCTGGGTTGAGCGCCGGTGTGTTGGGGTCTTCAGCAAGGACTACATGGTCATGGGTTGCCAAGGTGGTTGTCGAAATGATGCTGAGCAGTTCTGCCTTATGCCCTGTTGTGCACATGGGGAGCCTGTATACCGCTCCTAATAGGTTCTTAGTTTGGTTCGTGGTGAAATAACACCGTAGGGAGACTGGCAGTGGGCTGCACACGCTGCCAGTTGCCTCTTTGAATTAGAGGTGCGTGCTGACGTACACGGCAAATCATCCGCCTTCTTTGAAATGCCTGTCCTTTCGGAACAGGGTCATGTTGGGCGGAGATATTTTCTAACAAACGATATCTGATGAGGGCCATGCCTCCGTGATGAGGATCATATCTGCTTGCAGACTATAGCACATGTTCCAGGCTCCAGCAATTTACTTCCAAAATCTCATACATTGCTGTAGAGGCGTATCAAGAAGCTATGTCCTGAACTTGCTGCAATACGAAGACTTGTTTCGAGGCTGGTGTGCTGTTGGATCGGATTCTGACTGCCAGTTCCTATTTGACTGGAAAATCTCCGCTTTCTGGTCGCTTTGGCATTATGGTGTTGTTGTAACGATATCGTTCATTGTTGTGTCTACGGGGAGTTCCCCAGATAGTTCTCTTGTGACCACAAACTGTTTTCAGTGTTCTTGTGAGCTGCCTCCTATTTTACGGTCTGGTGGACGGTGATTTACTTTCGAAGCAACGTATACTACCTGTTACTTGATCCTTTGCAACGTACCACACTGCGAGAGGTCCTGTGGGTGATGCCCTGGAGCCGGAGCGTGTAGCTGTCAATTTTGGTGAGGAAATGCTCTGCAGGTGCGTAGGTCTTGGTAACCTACTTACGCTGCTGGTAGGCAGATTTTCAAGTCCCATTTTTGCGCTAGCCAACTCCGCCGCTCTATATCATGGAGGTAATAACCACATTTTATAGGTCCACTCGCAAGTTCGGATACTCCACGCGCCACCAGGGTTGCAGCTTTGTGCAGATCACTGAGCGGGGACTTCCTCTTAACCTCTCGAGTGGCCCATGGCTTATCTGGCTTACCTCTTATAATGCATGAGCCAGTGGTCTCCCGTCAGCGCAGCAGCAGTAGAATGTTCTCCGACTGCTTCGCCGTCACTGACGATAATCTCAGAGGTGGTGGTTTGTCTTGAGGTGCTCTGTTTCAGCAAGAGGGCCAGCATAAATTAAGAATGATGGTTTCTATTCCCAACCTCCTGCAGTAGTCGTCCCATTTCTCCTTGTCAGACTGCTCTTTTTCTTCTAAGAGTGAGTCTGTTGGCGTTGGAACGTTGATCAGAAAGATGGAATCCGTCCTCTTACCCCGTGGGTGCAGGGTGTTTTGCCTGGTAGCCAGTGTTTTTGGTCTACCCCTCACCCCATTCACCTCTGTCCATGCTCCCCTGACAACCTATTTCTTCAGGTTGTTCAGTTCTGCCGGGTCGTCTGGGTTGCATCGATACAAATAAGGCCTTCTCTGATACCTAACTTGGAGTGGGAACTAGTTTTTCCATGTTTCCAGGGGTGACGACGTGCACAGTCGTGGAGCTCGTCCAGTTTCTGAGAATGGATTATGGTAGATCATGCTTTGTAATATCCTGGGATGTACCGGGTTCCCCGGTCTGCCGGTGTCGGTAGTAGGTAATTTCCGACGTCCTGGACATACCCCAATTACATCATCATCAGTATCAACATAGGACCAGGCATTACTCTGTAACGGTCCGGGTTGCCACAGCCCATATCAGTACACCAAGCGAAGGGAGGGTGAAGTGGGAGATGAAGGAAAGAAAATTCAGCCAAAAGAGGCATGAAGTACGGAAAGAGGGAAAGGAAGGATGAGGAAATGGTGAGATTCAGTATACCCTCGTTAAGATGAAGGTAATGTGTGTATACATCTCCGCCACTGACATCGGTTCCGTGCCATACACCCTAGAGCCCCTAACAACTGGTTACTCTTGTCCCACGAACCCCAACCAACTAGTCTGCATCGCCTCACATGGCTCAAACCAACAGTCGGAGACTTCATACGCTAATGCCATGTTTTAGTCCTGCCGCCTTGGGCCCTTTTCGAGCCTGAACCTACCTTGGCCAACATTCTGCGAAGAGGCAATCGGGGACTGGGCGCACGTAACGCGTATTCACGACCATCTCAATCGATGAACGTTCATAACCACGTCAACTGATCTACTTCTGCTCCCTAAAACCCTACACCTGACTCCTGCGTTACTCACCTGATGATACCACGGAATGAGGCTTATACCACGAAGGCAACGATGGTCAAACACCTGGAGCCTTCTCATATCTTCCACCTTCAATGGCCATGCCTCACAGCCATACGGTAGAACAGACCGAACTGCTGTGCAATACACGCGACCCTCAGTAGACGATCGGATATTATGGAGGCGCCATAGGTGGCGTAAGTTGGGGAGGACCCAGTCGAGCCTTTTGTACCCGTGTGGAGATTTCATCAGCAGCTGAGCCACCGAGGCTGATCCTACTTCCCAGGTCAATGAAGCGGTCAACACACTCGACCACTGCACTCTATTGTTGGCTGTGGCGCCGTTGAAGACCACTTACACTGGTGCTCCCTCATGAAGCTCTGGTACCGACCTGGCATACCATTACCACAATTGCAGCGTACCCATTTTCGACAGATGTTGCATGCAAAGGCTTCTTGAGCCTCTGACGGTGATTCTTTGCAAAACTTTAGTCGCTGAAGTCTGCTATATGTTAACGACTGAGCGGTTTGCCCTCTGTGAGGTAACGACAAGCACGGCGTGTGTCGGTATACTCGTCGGCTGACATGGGCTTTTTTCTCGTACTTTATTTTCCGCCAAAGGGACATTTGGAGACGTGTTACTATCACTCCGACCATTTGAATTAACCGGTTTGGCTGAGTGCTATATCTGGTGTGGAAGTGATATTGGGATCCTGGTTGTATGGTCACTGCGCGCTCATCTTTTCTTCACGGACTAGACTCTGCCCATCTGCAGACCTCGTTATACAGCTTGAAGCTTGTTGCCTGGTTTTATGTACCACTGAAGTTAGGCGGTTTTATCTTGTAATATAAAGAATAAGGAGAGTAAAGCGTAAAGTAAGTGCCTTACCAACGGGAACTTGGCACTAGGCTTCTCACTTTATCAGCAACCGTAACCGAACACTTCAGGTTCTTATGTATGGACTAAGATAGCTGTTTCTTGGTGAATGATCCCCGAAGACAGCCAAGAACCATTTTAGTTGGACAGCCCAGACGGCTGAAAATCACCAGTAATAGGTATATCCGAGTTGAAAAGATATTTACGTCATTGTAAGTAGTAATTCCCGCGTCCAGTTGACTTACTAAATGGCGTCCGCCGTTGCGATATGGTTGACAGCTGTTTTTGTTGGTGAACACCGCAGTATTGCCTCTAGATTGGAGACGCCATTCAAACCACTCATATATTTAATGCCTCAAAAGACCAATTCGAAAAACGACCGAACGGTTCCGTGAGTTCCTATGGCTTACCGAGACGTACTTAGTATATGAGCAACCTCACTAGTCCGCCGCTAATTCCTACTTACTTATCGTCGACCATTTCCCTCTTTTCGGTACACTTGTACTTCCTACCAACTCTAGCAACTGGACACGTACAATCTACATTTACCCCTTAGGTGAGTTATTTGTAAACTTTCCCACTTTCTTGTTATTCTTGTTCAGACATTTATTCAGACAGTAGTCGCGAAAGGTCCCCAATCTTCCCAGCTACTTGCAGCTTCCTAACCGTCTCAATCAACAAATTTCAAGCATCAACCCACAAAAACATTCAGCTCACTGGAGCTAAATTCAGGAAGGCAAGACAGGCTTTCTTGCCCACTCTAGGGGCCCACAAAGCCACAGAAACCACGCCACAATAACTAGACACGAGATATCAAAAACTATCGGATCACTGGGATGCGGCGACATCCGACCGGCTGTGTGGAAACAGTGTGCGGGTACTTTATACGGTCTGGTCCATAATCTGTTTCAACACCCCCCAGGAAAACACATGCATCCACGAGAGTGAAAGCGTGCTATTCTTTCCCCTGTCTCCAAAGGAGAGGACTTTGGGGGGCCGAAATGCTATCGAACCATAGTACTCCTACCAATGGTGTCAGAGGTAATTGTGAGCCTGATAAAAGACCATGTCACAGGATGCGTGGACAAGAAGGAAGCAATGAGTGATGCTCAACATTGGCTCCGAAAGGGTAGGTCCTGCGCCTCGAACCTTCCAGCAACGGGTGGTAAGCGTATAGCGGGGTGGTACTTCCAAGCCCCTGTCCGTGATATTTTCCAGGATTTCGCTAAGGCCTTCGACACAGTCCCATGCATGATTCTCATCAGCAAAATATCAAGACTGGGTATCAGCGGTCAAGTGTTGTCCTGGCTACAGGACTATTCAGACGGCAGGGAATTCTGCATAAAGGTTGCCATGACATAGGAAGCAGAATCAGGCGCACTCCGATGTGATCTCAGATCGCTTGCAGAGTGGGTGGATAATAACAGACCAGTACTGAATCCGCATAGATACCGAACCATGGTTCTCCACATCCCTGACTCTCAGGATGTACCCTGCTCTCTCTGTGGGGCACAACTCTCCAGCAACACCACAGAGGAAGACCTGGAACTAACGCTGACCGACAAGCTAGACACCAGCTCCAATTACCTGAAAGATGCCTCCAGAGCCCACGCAGTACTGCACTTCATGCTCAGGTAACTGTGTACCCCCACACTGGAACTGCTCTTGAGGCTGTACAAGACCTCCACACCACCTCACTTGGATGTCCATGACGTCACTGCACCACTACGCCTGAATGAAGACGTGAACCTCCTGAAGAAAGTCCAGAGGCAAGCGACTAGAGGTATTGCGAGGGGGCAAAAACCCTATGAGGACAGCCTGAAAGATCTAGGACCTTACTCTTCTAGATACCGTGGATTACGCGGTGGCTCGATAACGGTTTATAAAGTACTAAGTAATCCAAGCCAACAGCGGAATCCTATCGAGCGGCGACCATGCTATTTCTCAAGGTCACCCGAGGAAAAATCCCACGCCAGAAGGTGAAAACCAGTGTGCATTCACACTTCTTCCCTCCAAATTTTTACAGACACCGCAGTGCGCCGCTTGCCGAGATTGCAACTGCCCCGTTTGTTGAAGGCCTGCAGAAGAGGTTGGACAGTCATGCAACGGCACAAGACTTGCTCTCATCCAATTGGAATACGGGCTAGGTTGATAAAACCTACTTACTCCACACAGCCCAGCACAGCCAACCCATCACTGAATTCCTTGTAGCGTCACTATCATCGTGCACCTGATTCAATCTTATACCTCCGTGTAGATATCCCCTTCTTTTACCACCTCCAACGAATAGTAGTACCATCACTATTCCCAAAACCCTCACTATTATCTTGCTTGCTGCTTCTCTTCTCTCTTACTGTATTTTCTCACACAATCTATGAAATGTTCTGTCTATTACTTATCTCTCATGAGTCTACCTAGATTTCTCTCCTCCGTTTTCGCCTCCTTTCATCTTATCGGCTTTTTATTTTTTTCTCCACAGTTCCTTTCTCATGATTTCTCCGGACGTCTTTTTACAACCTGTTTGACCAATTGTCTGATGAAACGACACCTGAGGAACTCGTCGGAATCATAATCCTTGGAAAAACCTCACAGTCTCTACAAATTTAATCAACACCCGACTGCCTATCAAGCTAACCAGAGCTATAAAAGATGAGTGGATAAACCTACTACATTGGAATCCACCAAAGATCTGGAACCGCTGCGAAAGGCCTGGAAGCGAATGAGAATAAGTCACTTGTTTTAAACTGCCTCATAAAAAGATATTCGATATGGGATATTGGAATTTTCCATGCTTGCACTATTGGAAGCTGTATGTTGGTGGAATTCACAAATGACCTTGAAAGTAAATCAAATTCTCAATGAACTGACGAGATAGCACTAATTACTCAGTGGGGTCATTTGGTAAATGTTATTTTAAGTTAACCTGATAGTGCTACCGCGGACTACTGAAATGAACGATAAGACTTCCATATTTTGGCCTCAAAATTGATTTTGTAAGATAAATCTAGCCCGATTTATTTTTATAGTAAAGTGATTTACCACATAGCTTTAGCAACTACTAAAATATTTTATTAGTTGTTAGATTGGCTCCTAAAATTCGTTGGTACCCTGAGTAAGAAGGATTAGGATGTAAAAAAAATATATCACAGTGCATACAAATCAAGGGTGCGCCTGTCACATACGTATATTCGTAAGTTCTTTGGAAAAGTGACCATGACCAATTTAAATGCTACAGCCAGTTTCTTTTGAAATCCTCTTACGGCCACCTATTATTACAACGTACCTATTCTAATGTTCGATGCATGCATTTTAACTGACTGTTATCTCGATTCTTTAGTTTCACACATTTTCCTCTTGTTTCTTGTTTCTGTGTCAGATTCTCGTGCTCTCGGAATGGATTGCAGCTACCAACCTTCCGCATACTCTTCTTTTCACCCCGTGCAATAACTTTCTTACAGGTTTGACGAGAACTTACCTATAGCTGGTTGCTACGCAGAAATGTTTGATAAAGATGCTAAAAGTTCCCTGAGGGCCTTGAGCCTTCTTTTAGAACAGTGTGGGAAAGATGACCTCCACTTCGTCTTTGACCAAGCACACGTGTCTCTTCGCTCTCTTCTTTTCAGGGAGTATGCATACGTTTCAAAAAACATTTCTTTCAGGAATTTGAGGAACGATGAAATTGAGTCCATATACAAGTTGTATCGTCAGCTATTCAACGTTTCGATCGGTTTTGACAAATCTCGGACCTCTGTTGAATTCCTTGACGATATGAGCAGTACATTGTTTTTAGTAACCACTAAGAATCCTGGTCGGAACTTGTGGGATTCGCTGTCTGAAGAGTGTAGTTTGGCGATTATTTTGTCACTGAATTCTTTTTTCTCATCCATAAAACACAAGCAAGTTCTCTGATTGGAGTCATTTATTCTGTAGTGACTTGATATCTGTGTTCGCACCAGACAACTTGCCGACAATTAGTCATATTTGCTCCTTCCTACTGAATCTGAGTGAACACTCTAAGAATCGTGATATATGTTTGAATTCCCTTTACACTCTGTCACTAATAGCGGTTCCTATGGATAATATTTGTGGCGCTGGTGACTCATCTGCACTTTTCATCAATTCAATGAAGAGTCTTCTTCCAGGATTTTCTCATACGTTCCACAGGATTATAACTGGTGACGACAGGAGAAGTTCTAGTGTCAAGGAGGTATGTTAATCACTCACTGCATATTACTCTATTCAGGCTGCTTTTAATGCATGGTCTTCCATCTTAACTTCTGTTTTCAAAAAGGAGTGTAGCTGTGATGCAGATTTACAGAAAAGTAAGTTTCGGTTTTATAGTTTTTATTTTATAAATATGTTCCTATCATTGGCATCCAAAGGTTGCAGTTCAGATTGTTAGGGAAGAGGACAGTCATGCCACTGTTTCCTAAGTCTGTGTCCCCTGACTCATTTTTGAGTAAACGACAAACTCAAATTAACTGGGAGCTAGATTGTAATGTTCAACACTCAAGATACGAAAAGCCACTTGAATAAAAAGCACATCGTCTTTCTGATCCTTACTTTCAGTGTTGTCCTTCAACTTTTTACGCGCTACTAATATTTAAAACAGAAATAAAGTAAGACAATAGTAATGTGGATGTACAAATATACAGAGTACAGGTTTCCAACGTACAGCTCATCTACATCATTGGAGTAAATCTCAGAACTGTATACAAAAATAAATGACTGGTTTTCTGCAAAATCATACAGTATTTGAGGGTACCTAATGATCTAACTAAGATGAAAGTTCAAACCCATAATCTCCTATTTCTATTAGTTTCTTTTGCCAGCCTGGATTTTCTGACATTTTGAGGCCTTTTTGAGGAAGACAAATTGGGGGTCTCTGGAAAAAAACATTAAATGGGCAGTTGGATTGTGCTTGTAAACCTGGCATATAATCCATGTGCCAACATAATAATATCGTCGTTATTATTATCATTGTTATTAGTAGTATTAGTAGTAGCAGTTAGTATCCTTTTGTTCATTCTCAATTTTACGATCACAGAGAGTTCTTACCTCACAAACAGTGCAGTATTGGGTCAACTGAAGCCAGAAGTTGTGTGGATAGTAATTGCGAGATTGACTTTAAAGATACTTTAAACTGGTTATCAGATATCTGATAAGTTGACAGATAATGGGTTTTAGTGCTCCACGTGTGTGCTACCAATCGTTTTTACTACTTGGAAGATGTTTTAGTTGCTGGCTGTCACCTTTCTAATTGACATCTATATTTAGTATGCCAGTGGTGAATGCTAACTAGACGTGTTGCAACCAACTGACATTAGAAACCACCCATCGATGCTTACCGGTCTCACCAATTTGCATATCTGGTTTAATAATCTGTCGTCCCTGGCTTGTGTGCCCGGAGCTTACCAGCATCTATACATGAAAGTTAAAAGTTTGTCTTACGTTGAGTCAACATTTAGTCGTGTATAATGAGTGTCTTGAGGAGTGACTACTTGAAATTCAAGCATACATTTATGTCTAGTCTAACCACAACATTAGTCCGATATGTTTTTAATTCAAAACAGTCTTAGTCTGTTGGCATATTTTTTTCATATCATTCTTTGTTGGAAGATATCAGTAGGCTCCAAATGCAATAAAATGAAAGCCAGTGGTACATGAACATGTCAGGAATCTAACCTATGATTTGGGGGATAAGTAGGTTATAAGCGCTTGGGAGAAATATTTGCGACTTTTGATTATAATAAATGGACCTAGGCCACTGAATACGTGAAGCCAAATAGAGTAGTGTTTAGAGAAATGGTCACGGAATAGAATTGGTCAGTGACTTGATCCCACAGTTTTATCATCAAAATAGGACTAGGCATTACTGCATAACGGTCCAAGTTGTCACACCTCACATCAGCACATCAGTTTAGAAAACACTGAGATAAAAGATGGGGATAAATCGATCAAAAGTAGTAAAAAGAAAGGAAGGAGAAGGAAGAAAATACTGAATTCATTATGACAATTAAGATGAAGATAGTGTTTGGATACATTTGTGCCACTGAGATTGATTCTAAGCCATGCCATCTAGGTTCTTCAGCCACTGGTTTCTGTTGTCATGCGAACCCCAACCAGTGAGTCTACACACTTTATTCAATGATTCCACGTTTTAGTCTGACCACCGCTGACCTTCCAGCCTAAACCTACTCCACTCAATATCCTGAAACGAGGCAGACGGTGATTAAACATGCGTAATGCATGTCCTAGCCATGGAAGTCGATGAAGGTTCATAACCTAATCAACTGACTTTCATCTCCCTAGAACTCTCTACCTGACTCCTACATCACTGACGTGATGACGCCATGACATGACGCACGCTAAGAAAGCAACGACGATCAAACCCCCGAAGACTTTGCAAACCCTATACATTTAGTGGCTGTTTCACATCCATATAGTAGAACAGAGCGAACTGCAGTGGTAGGGAATTAGAAATTTTAAAAGAACACTTTCAGAGACAGACCACTTAATCATCGCATAATTGCAAGCAAAATGCTAACCAGTCATCTTCAAGTGAGACTAAGACCCCTGTGGTTTACTTGAAACATGATAAAACAGTTACCTGCGTGGTTGTTCTAGCCGTCTTTAAAGGTGGTAAACTGGTCTTTGGGTTCACTTTTGAGTGATGCTGTAAACTGTGTAGAATCTAAATAGTTTTTCATGACCACTGGGTAATCTGTCATATTGTTAAGAATTAGAAGCTTCTCATGAAGCCACATGTCATTAGTTGAGATGGATCACTTATTTCATCTTCACACCTGTATTATACCAAAACCATATTCCAAGTAGTCACCCCTCAAGACTGTTAAAGAGGCGCTTTTGTGACATTTACGATTGAAACCTGTGATAGTAAGTTGAATAATCATAGGGAGATATCTTGTGAGTGACATTCGTTCACTGTGCAATAATTTGTGCTTTCTAACTTGGCATTTATCTGTTTCTGGAAGCCGCTTGCTAGTAACAATATCCTGTGAATTAGTCCTCATGCATGACTATGAGATGTATGTATGTGTGAATTATCCACTTTTCCTTCTCCACCTGATTTCAGTGGTGATTTCATAGTAACACTAATTTTGCGTTGGAATTACTTTCAGTCGCTTTATTGAATTCACGTGTACGTAAAAAGCAAGCACATCCGACGGAATGAGGGAGGAATCTCTACTAATTTTATGGACCATTTTTCTAGAGCCTCATATCTGAAAGGAAGCAGAATGTCGCTAAATGTAGTTGCTAAATGTCCAATAAAAAAATGGCATGGGTCAAATCTCTTCAGACCCGAAAAGTAGTAGGCTTAATGAGAGCGTTAACTTCGCTTTCAGAATTCACTGCCACCATCACATGCTGTGATTTAAACGGAATCAGGATGTGATCAAGGGTTGAGTGTTTCAGCTCAGTTGACGAAACGCTAGTTGTGTCCAAGTAGTGCAGAAGCTGATTTTATGAGCTTGGCGGAGACAAATGCTCTCGCTTATATTTATTCACCATCGCCAGATTAATAGAGTCATCTTTTGACCAAGACCGACTCAGAGACCTACCTGAGAATACCTGGCCATGGAATTCAGCTTTAGCTTTTTCTTCTTCTGTTTGTCTAAGTATAAGAAATTGTTTTCAAACAAACGTCTATTGGATCGAATTTCATTTGAATAGTATCGTAGTGGAGAATTACCTGCCAAGTGTTTTCCTGATATTGACAATAAATTGCTTCTATCTACTTTACAACTGTCTTTACTCCAGTTATTTTTTGATTTTAATATGTTACTGCTGACGTACTATATTGTTTGTAGGGAAACTTCCAAGGGAGTCAGAAGCTGAATCTTCGGAATGGATTGCAACAACTGTGTCACACATAACCACCTTAGTTTCTGGAACTATCGAAAGCACTATACATATTCACTTAGAGCTGGATATCAATGAAAATGTGCGATTGTCTACTGCATTTGCTCGCTGGTTAGGTGTACTATTGCTTAAATGCCAAGCACTTACCAACCACGAAAAAGGTCAACGCCTTAGATACAATGTGGTTTCTGGTCTGCTCACATTAGCTTCACAATCGTCATTGCGAAGTTCAGTTCTAGATCAAAGTTTTGAAAAAGAAGGTAACTGTTTAGCTCGAAGCTTGTTAGCTGAATTTAATGCACTCTATGACAACAAGATGAACTCAATCACAGTTCCAAAATCTCTTTCGAATCTTTTCGGTCACGAATTAATAAGAAAAGTTGCTTTTGACTCTTTAACAGAACAAACAAATTTCCTTATGAACCATTTGTTTAGCCTTTTGGGTAAGTCTGTAGCGATTTGATTTTTGTTGCCAACTATTCTTGAATGACACTGATAAACTTTCAAAACTTCATATTCATAAATGTGGCGGGACTCACAAAGTTTTTTTTTCATATATGGACACTACATCACTTGATTCGCGTTTACATGTACTTGTGAAAAGGGTTGATGGTTCAGTACTCGCAGCTGGCGGTAATAATGGTGAAGGCTTATATACGAAGCTGTCCGCAATCACTGAGTGATGGGGAAAGATACAACTAAATCGCCCAATGTAATTTAGGTTGGGTGGAGTTTGGATACGTAATAATGTCGTTGGGATTTCAGTGCTATGAAAATGGAACCATTAAGACAGGTTAGACAGTAGTGAAGACTTCTTCCATTGAGCTTTAGTGTTTGGTTGACTGACATCTATAACTCCATCTGGGATCATTTGATGATCCTGAAGCTATGTAATCATTGCATCATTCTCTGAAACAATGCATCTTATATAGACACTTGTTCATATTCGCACTTAAGTTTAAATCTCTCTCGGATTCCTTTGTAAGTTCTCGTCGAAATCAGACGTAGTATCTAATATGTGAAATCATGTTTCGTATTCTTTTTGTTAAATCATACTTCAAATGGATCTTAACTTTAATCATCAAATTCCTAGTAATTTGTGTTGACATTTGTATTTCTTTGAATTCACTAGTCGGAAATTCAGCAGTCTGTATGATAAGATTTTCATCGTGACACTAGGATATCCATCCATCCTGCTAACTTTCCACAACCTCATTCTGTATGAAACGTGGAATTTCAACTCTTATCACATACATACTAGCAACCTCCCTGAATTACAAGTGTAACAGAACGAATAAATTTTTTAAGTGGCCACAAATCACACAGTTCCACCCATTTTAGTTATATTCACGTCCTGGTGTAATTACTTAGATAGCGATCGATTCCCAACTATTGCCGTTGATCAGAATGCGAGACCTATTCAGTACACAAAGGATGCGTGAATGATGTCCCCTCATTGTTTACCTGTGACTAAATATAGATTGATAGCGTTTACACTTAATCTACTTCGGGTTCGAGGGGAATCTAATGATAAATATCATTTGCTGCTTGCACATCTTGTTTTCATATTAACAGTAAGATATTCAGAAATTCCTCATGAATTGACAATACTTGGCTACAGAGTTTGTCCGTTGTCCACCTTGCGATAAAATACAGTCAATTTATACTTTCACCAACCATCATCACTGTAGATCTTATTCGAACGATTCTGTGGGAATACAGCCCTTATTAGTACTTTTCGCACTTCGATTTGCTTGGTATCAGTTTTCCTGTTTCGGTGTGTGCAACTGAGACAGACTCCTAGTCATATTAGGATTTTATGGTTGATAATAGGTCAATCCGTAACAATGATAGAATCTGTGACTTATTTTTCTGGCCACTAGACTTCCACCAGTTTCGTCAGGGACTCTATCCCATTTCGCTTACTTCCGTGTCCGTAGTTTGATGGTATCATCATTTTTCGTGGGATAGCTGTTACCCTCAGTCAATCGCATACATTTTTGAATAGCTTTGGCGTTCAATTCATTTTGCTTAGTGTTTATTTCACCTGGAATTCTATTATTAGCCTGAATTTTCACTTTTTCCACACGTATTTTGATTACTTTTCAGATGAGACACAACTACAAAAGAGATTTAGAACGATCCTTGGCCACCTTATTGTACTCGGTAATTTTTGCCTGTTGTCTATGGGATATGACCATTTATTTGAATGTTTGACTGATGAAATAAGTACCTGAGTTTATGTGTTTCGGTCTGATATATGATTCTTTTTTCTAACTTCATGTCGACATTGTCTCTGTCTTGAAAACTTGTTACAAGTGGTTGTGGCGTTTCGTTGATGGTTTATAATGTATTTCAGAACTCGTCTTGCGTACTATTTGGGCTCATCATATTGATCCGCCAGCGTTCGAATGGTTGTTTACGTTGACACTGTGGAAACTTAGGTTGCATTGTTTCCAACTCCTCTGTCAAATTGTACACTTTAGTTCTGAAAATAGACAAGTAACTGTTTTTCCTAAATGATTCTGTTTGTCATAGATCCACTTTTAGGACAATGTGGCTCATGTATTGAATGAATTAAGATAGATTTATATCCTAAACCATCTGAGTTCGATTGTTGAACTTGATAATAATTAAGGCTATTTTAGATCCAGAACAATTTATACATGGTATCGTGGTAAATTGTTTCCTAAACATCTTTGTTTCTAATATCAAATTAGTCATCCGGGAAATCAGACAAACAGAAATACAAAATGAACATGCAACCTCGAACAAATGTGCATTGGTTCAAGTTGCCGCACTTCAAAGCAGCATGCAAACCATGTGGGTAGACAGAGATTGGTGTTAAAGTAGACAAGGGTATAGAAGGAGAAATGGTTTGAAAATATTCAGACTTTGGAAGACTCCAAAGGGTGAGTACATCACCATTTTGACTGATTTTCAGCCATGTCACCGAAAGTCTGCGACTACTGCTTTTTATGGTCTCAGGGACTACAGCCAGATAGTTTACACTTCCCTACGCAGCTGGTGCGAACAATCAGAGACTTCATGCAGAGGTGCCACGTCCTGGTCTGACCACCTCAAGTCTTCTTCAAACCCAGTACAAATTCTGCTAGCATTGCACGTCGATCAAGGCAGTGGATCGGTATGTGCAACACGTGTCCAAACAATCTCAGTCGCTGAAGGTTCACAACCTCATCAACCAACTTTCCTTCCTTGTCTAGTACCTTTCTCCTGGCTGCAACATTGCTCACACGCTAATTCCACCATACGCGAGCAATGTTTGGAAGGCACCTGTAGTTTCTTCATCTACTTTTAACGGCCATGTCTCAGCCGAATAACAGGACAGAACGGACTGTAGTGCAGTGTACTCTTCTTTTGATAGGTAGTCGGATATCTCGTCATTCGGCGCCATAGATGACCAAAGTATTCGAGCTGAGACTCCATCAGCAACCAGCCTGTTGGGGCTGATGCAACTCTCTAAGTAAGTGAAGTGATAGGCGTATTCAATTACTTTCTATCCGTAAACTAGGAGTGGCAGAAGATCAATCTTGGTGCACCACCTTACATTTGACACGTACGAAACGCTTGTCAAACATAGACTGACTTCTGCTCAAGGCGCTACATTTTGTCGGCGACCTGATCTAGCAGGACAGTGTTGTCCGCATGCCCCAAGTCAGCCAGATACTTCCCCCAAGGAGTGAAGTCAGAGTTACCTATGGTTATGTCCATTTGTACATCTACAACGATGTTAAAGAACAATGATAGCGGGCATTCCACTAGTTATCAATTCAGATGACAACTCTCCATTGGCCCTGACATGACTGTATGATTTTGCATGAGAAGCTTTGTTCAGCGTTATGCACTTGTTTAGTATTCTTTTCACGGTCAGATACCACCGCAACACCTCATGGCCGACAGATTCAAATATCGCCTTCAGGTCGAAAAATATGGCAGGTATCGACCGGCGGTAAGCATCCCTGTTCCAGAACCTATTTTAGACTGGAAACCTGATTGATGGATCCTCGCTCAGATCTGAAACCTGCCTGGTTTTCTCAAGTTTGTTGCTCTCGAGCTCCATTTAGGCATTGGGTAACTATGGATCCAAGCGTCTTGGATATGATATTAGTCAGGCTTATTCCGCTACGTTTGTTGCAGATAGACTGCCGCCCTTGTTATAGACTGGAATGATCAATGAAGTAGATCTGTCTGATGACACAACGTCTGATTCCCATACACTACCCAGTATCTCCGTCACTGTAATCAGCAATTTCCAATCTCCATCCTTGAAAACTTCGGGGAAAACTGTCAAGTTCCTCTGCTTTGCGTCGTTTCAGGTCAAAAGCAGTTTTCTCAACTTCAAGGAGAGCTGAAGCACCTATATTCAGGTTCAGACTGGATATTGGGCAAATGAAGCGTTGCTGTGAGCCATTTAAACTGCGGTTCAAAGTGTTTTCTCAACGTTCAGTGGACGCCTTATAATATAATATCTCCCATATGCTTGAAGCTAGTGCTGCCCTGAAACAAGTAATTGGCAGAAGAAAATTGTAAGAGATGATTACCGTTAGCGGTTGGTTGGCACGGGATACCTCGTCTGGTCATTGTGATATACAAGCCCAACCACTACGTCAAGGTAGCAGCTATCATTTGGTTGCTTCCTGTAGTCGTTACTTAAAATGTCTGAGATCTTCAAGATTCTAGCTACTAGGTTTCATGAACAATATGCGTTACTGTCCCTTGAGATATCACCTTTCTCCTAATTTAACAGAGGTGTCTAGTCTTCATGGGAGTTCGGATTCAAACAAATCGTATTGTCTCCTGTTTTCGGAAGGTGATAGGCATAAGGAATAGGAAACTTGTTGTAATATTTAGTATGTTGCACTCTGACTTGGCATATCTGATTGTGTATGCAATTTTTGTAACTCATATCTGGTAGAAATTCACCTCATGCCGAAGCAATGAGTTCTTTTGACTGTCCTGTGATTAGTTTTGTCATATGTGTATTGTTCTTGAACTTGCGCTGTACACTTTCAGTATTACAGTGAGTTATATCGTGTGTAACATTCGAGTGACAGAAACATTGTATTTGCTTCGCTTATGTTGAATTGGTGGAATAAAGTATTTTATAGTTTCAAGGTTATGTGTATTGAGTTGTGCAAATTTCTAGGAGTCGCTCTAGTTATTTTTCTTGCTACGTATACAACATCTTGTTGTACATTCGAGTTTTCTGAAAATACTGCGTTGTTGTTGAGGTATTCTAACACCTGTACCACTGTACTGGGATATTGGTTGCCACCACAACTTATCTAAGTTTCAGATTAAAAAACTGCTTGTCGATTGAACTGGCTGAATCCATAGTGAAAGCTCTCACTTATGTAGAAAAGATGTGGCGTAAATAACATAACGATTAACTGTTTACCAGACAGTAGACAATCAGTGAAAGATTTCCAAAGGTCAGTAGGTAACCCATGACATTCTGAGAATAAATATGAAATCCAATTTTTTGTCGATTATAACATTGCTATACTTGTTGCACTGGAAATAGTTGATAGTTATGTTGGATCGTTTGTGAAACGTATGATTTCTTGTCAAAGGTTAATGAATTTTAACATATTCTACGGTTTTTCATTTGTACTTGTCAAAGATCCAGAGGATGTTCGCACTTTTGTCTATTCATCGGAATTTTTCCATCGATTTTGTTCTGCCCTGGCTAAATTTCTAACCTTTAATCTCAGTTCTGTTGAATTGCATGAACAAAGTTACTTATTGCCGGTGAACTACTACTACGATTCAAGTAAGTGGGAGTGTTGTTTCATGTATTATGATATGTACCATTAAGCGTATGTACATTAGAACTGGACATTAGAATTCTAGTTATGGACTTCAAAAGGATAATCAGTCACATTAACTTGGGATCTGTAACAGTTACATTTACAATTCTGTTCAATGTTGCAGCAAACCTTGCTGACAAAATAACCATTTATCAAAAAATACTGGTTCTGATGCAGATCCATGAGGTTTTATAAACTAGCGCTTGGGGATCCTAAAGCTTTTGCTCAAAGTCGATCACAATGATGGCAAACGCATTCTTTCTGTCGTTTTTTTTCGATCCCGAATATGCTGCTTTTCTTAATTCCCCACCTACCTGTTATTTGTCGAGTTCACTATGTTGTCTCTCATGATTTAATGATATTATCTCTGCAACTGGAAATTTTGCCCTTGTTTTCCATCTTGATTGAGTTGGACGGTTTTTGGACAGTCGCTTATTATGGTCTGGATTTAACTACTGGTTATAATAAAACTAAGTGAAGTATTTTGAGCAATCACAGCTTTTGCAAATGCGTGATTTCACTTACAACTGTTTTATATACAATATGGCACTATGTATTGACATTTCTTCTCATTCCACTATTATCTTTACATTTTCACAAGGAGTCACATGCATCTTCATGATTTTTTTCAGTTTTGAAGAGCACCATTTTCAAGTTTGTAAATTTTTCCTTATGATATTGACAACTGTTTGGAAAGATTAAGTTTGTAAGTGGACCACCTACAAATTAGTTGTCATTTTTGAGTTGCAATACGACATTGTGATATGCTTAGTTGTGTTTATTCATAATTTCTGCGCTGCAATGGTGAATGGTATGTAAATAGTTGTGTCAACCAGCTTGTTGTTTGTCGGGGCAATCGTATTACCTCTTACTTTGCATCTCAATTCATACCTACGAAATGTGAATTCGCTTTGTTTCTTTGAAAATCTTGCAGGTAGCTGTACGCAGGCAAGCGAAATACAACCTTCCAATCTGTTTCGGAAATCATTTCAGCATTTTCGTGATCATTCAACTTTGATGCTACTTCAAGCGATAGCTGGAAAACTGACGTCCCAAAGTACGTGTACACCTTTGTAGATGATACAACTAGTTCATAGTAAAAATAAGTAGTAATTCTCACAGTGGTCTTGAGCGTCGTTAAATATCAATTAATTTTCCATTCTCTTATGAAGGATCACTTAAATCTAGAATATCACTATATATATATATATATATATATATATATATATATATATATATATATATATATATATATATATATATATTCTTCGTAAGTGCAGGAGGATGGTAGCTAAGTTAAACACTATCATCTTAGTAAACGTTCGACGCCATATTTCAAAGTTCCATCTAGACTGCAAACTAGATAATTCGCAGCGGATGTTGGCTAACTAGCAGCTGAATTGTTACTTGAAGTGTATTCCTAGTCATTTTAGTTATCTTCTCAGATAGGGAATTACCATCACTTCCTTACGTTTATATGAAATGTCTCCTTTCCTCTTCTTTCCATGAGTTTCAACAACTTCATATTGTTACCTATTGCATCTGCCTTCTTTTTGTGTCTTCCACTGTCCACAAATGCTTATGATCACAACATCGAGGCTGTTTTCACTGTTTTCATCTGTAATAAGTTTACATGCACGCATTGAATTGATTTGTCAAGATCTATTTACCTTTTTTAATATTCTCCTGCAGATCACCTATAGTCTTCAAGTACATCCAACTGACGAGTCCCAAATTAGACTAAAATGCTTTCAGGATTCACTGTTAGTCATCATCAAACAATTAACATCAAGATAAAGCTTCAGGCAATGTTGAGGCATCTATTCAGAGAGTCCATATGTTAAGAGTCGCTGGTCAATTCGTTTTAGCATAGTAATCAACGACAAACTGTAAGCATCAATAAGTAGTCTTCGATACATTTTTTACACCCAACTAGAGACGATAGCAAACCATAATAATATTAGATTAGCTTTGTCATCATGATTAACATCTGCGTCTCGAGTTGTTTATGTTTTTCGGCAGTTACGTTGGTCTGCAAGACTGTGGGTTTACTTACTCATAAGAGCCGATTCTTAAAGCACTACAAAGCTAACATGGGAATAACTGTCTTACCACGCTTACTGTTTAGTCAGCTCTTCAAACGTACTCTTAAAGTCCTTACTTTTGAGTTGCGCTTTGCATGGTCTCTAGCCTTTGAGAATTATTAAAGATCATTCACATACGTATTTAGACCAGTGCGTCGAAATCCACTGAGCAACCTTGAGCGCATTCATGTAGCAGGTCATGAACCACACCTGTTTTGAAGGCTAGTGATAGTACCTGGCTCCTCAAACTTCGGTAGATGGAGCTGTGTTCCGAACTCATTAATCATCGTTCGGAAATTAGGTAGACAGACCGATAAGTCGCTAGGTGTGAGACAGGATTGTAACTTGAGCATGTGTTTTGATCTTTATTCGTATTCAAACTGTTATTGGTTTAAAAGTGCGCGGGCCATTATCGGCTAGTTTGCAATTGAGAGAAACACAATTTGCTTTCAAACTCACTGATATACGTGCTTTGCAAGAATATGAGAAATGGAAATTGTCACTGACTATTGTATGATCATCGAGTGCGACTGCAGATCTCACAGGATAATGACCTTAGACTAGTCACATATGAGTTTCGGGGGGATATTTAACTTCAATCTACTTCGGTTGTACTTGCCCTCCAAAAGTATACATTGAAAAAAGTCTTTGTGGCGAGAGTACATGTGATATTCATAACAGATCTTTCTTACCTAGACAGTGATGCTAGTTATCTCCGAAAAACATCTAACTCATTATGAATATTGATACCAGACAACATTTATTTCCATCGTAGGATTTGATGCCGTTTGGCGTTTGCCTGTTTTCTGGTTCCACTGGTAAAAGGCATTTGCTGGTCCTGGCAACAAAGTAGTAGGATGCAATTGTGGACTAAAGGGATCAAAGCACACTAAAGTTCCACTCAGTATTATGCATGAACTCAGACTTTTTTGATCTAATTCAGTTTTTTGCTTTCTGTCAGCATCAAACGATCAAGTGTAATGTGACTTATTTGGATTTTGGACTACTAACCATTGAGTCATAAGTACTGACCTCTCTCTACTTCGGTATACACCGTTGAGTTGTAACTGATATAGCCCAATATACCAGATTTCGGAGTTCGTATTGAGTTGTAGATGAATCCTTCATGTACTGTTGGTGGTGGTAACCTTTGTATTAGAAGGTTTTCTGTTCAAAATCTCCCATTTTATATAGTATTTTCGGTTGAATGAAATTTTTCTCGTGGCGCATTCAACACTTACTGTCTCATTACCGTAGACCTGCTTACTTTCTTTTTTTTTGACTCCTTAAGTCTTTTTCTTGGATTATTTTTCACCATTGTGTTGTTTTACCGTATGGTTGTTTGAATCGATGTATTATGGATCTTTACTTTAAAACAGTAGCCATTTGAGTGTACACTGTCAAGAAGGATAACAAAGGGAGTTTCCAATGACATAAGCATGTTGATTATTAGCTATCGTATGGTTACTTTTGAAGAAGACTACATTGTTTTTGTCTGCTTTCATAGGAGAAACGGTTGACTTATTTCTGGATACATGTCGAGATATTATGGACGAAAGTGATCATTCTCTTCGCAATTCGTGTCTTTTACTTATCTTAGGTGGGATTGCAGGATATATAAATAATGGTGAGTCTTCGTCATTTTTATGTTGAACATTTTGTTTTACAGTACATATACTAACCACCTCATGTGTAAATCAGTTCATGATGTTATGACTCTATTGACTAGGGCGGTTGGAACTTGTGTTGCTAACAGAGAGAGCTAATTTGCTACCTCATTGGGAATAGAATAAACCTGGAGGAAAATTAAGGGTGGCCAGATCAAAACATGGTACCAATATATGGAGTTACTAACTGTCAAAGTCAGTTTTGAAGGGGAGTATAAGTTTCCTGGTTGAGATCTGTGGGATAGCTGAAATCGATGACAGTGATGCGATGAATCTTGGGAATATCATCACTTATTTAAGCTTGGAACTTTTCTGCAATACACATCCCGGCACTGCTAGGAACCAGACCTGGGACCATCAGGTCTCACAGTGACGGCGTTACCATCCAGTTAGAGGGTTGTAATTTTATAGTCCACTATTTCATACTTCTGTCGACTCGCGATATAGCGCTACTATCATCCAGTATCATTGGTGATCATCCGCCTCATTCTTAACTTATTGGATTCTATAAGAAAAGACTTCTCACTAGAACTTTGAGAGATCCATCTCGAAGGAAGTTACTAATGAGCACTGGAAAGCAATTCAACTGGTGGTTTTTAGAGGTCAACTCACCAATCCCAACTTATGTAAATCCTCTTGAGCTCGATCTCTCAATGTTCTAATAAGAAGTCGTGACCTATGAGGTCCGCTAATTTGGGAATTAAGTGGAGGCCACTGATGACATTGGATGATGGTTACGCTATATTATGAATTGTAACGCGCTACCAGTGAGATCATAGGGTTCTGGGGCTAGATCTCATGAAATTGTGGGTGTGCACTGATAAAGAGTCCCAAACTGCAATGAAACAGCTCTCTGGTGCTCCTTGGTTTTTAAAGATTCTCAAACTGATGTCAATCCATGTTGAATACTGATGCGTCCTATTGGTTGATATTGATGATTCTGCAGTATTTTGGTGTCATGCATGTTGTCCTTTTTAGTCGCTTCTGATTTTTTGGCTGCTAAGTCAGAGACAGACATAACAATATTAAACGTGGTATCGCTCTGTTACCATCCAAGTCGTCACACTTCCCATCAGCTCATCAAGATGAAGAAATTAATATTATTATGTTACAAGAGGTAAAAGACGGTAAAGTGGAAGAAATAGACAGTAAAGTCTTTGTCAATCCTAGCTGTTTTGTTGATCCCAACCTAGAAGCGTACATTCGACTACACGGTTCAAACCAGGAGTCAAAAACTTCCTAGATTGGTACCACATCCAAATCTGGTAATCCGTAACTTCCTTTCATGTGAGCTCTACTTCGATAAACATGGATTATTGACATAGACAATGGGATCGGCCTACGTGTAGGGCTGTGGCTCAATGATTTCGGGAGATGACTGTCAACCAGTGGGTCATGGGTTCGAACCCCGCTCCGCCTAGCAAGGTTTGGGCAGCCAGGTAGTACCATTGGTCATTATGCTATAGGTGTAGCTTACTGACTACTACATGAATGTGCACAAGGTTGCTGAGTTTATTTTGTCCCTTCGTTCGGCCTACGCAACACATACTTCATCCATTTCAGTCGAAAAAGAAAGGGGTTCTCTGTAATAGCACATATCAGCTTCTTGTGATTTGTACTATTGTTTATATTGCGTTTGCAGATTATGATTAGACCATCACAGTTTGACTGATATTTTCAATAAAATTTCTTAAACACCGGAAGTTGTAAAACTTTTATTGAGTCTTCAAGGTGAGGAAATCCACTGGAGATTGTTATACCCTTGTCTTTATCATTGTACTGAAACCCCAACCATCCACATGACAAGAACCAACTTGCCTTCATAAAATACTATTATCCTTGTGTAACTCACCTCTTTAAGGTTTGATATGAACTTCATCCTGTTGTTTTCGTGCTTTTCTTAAAAGCACTCTTGATCTACATGTTATAGTTTCTTTTTTCTTTAGCGGATTGATCGTGTGTTTCACCAGATTAGGAGTTTTTAAGATTATTTTAAAAAAATGCAAACTTGACATTATGAGAAGACATTAAATTTATCTGGAAAGAAGGAAATATAAAAAAGAATGGAAGCGAAAACGGAAATGGATTGTTAGATTAACAGCTTCGAAAGTACATACAAGGAAGTATTCACTGTCTACGTTTCACGTTTAGGACAATAGAAGAAACCAAGAAGCTGTATATACGCCACTGGTTTTTATTCTAAGCATTGTCTGCTATTATCCCAAACTAAATTAACTGCAGATATTTGTGAGGCACCAGGAGATGTTAACCCAACACCAGTATCCTTTATCCTACTGTGCCGCATCGTGCACTGACCTTTTCTTTTTTGTCTTCTCCAACGGGTCCCCAGGGCAAGAAAATGGAAAACGATATTGGGGCTGTTGAGATAACATTTGTAACACATGTCCAAGCCGATAAAGCCGTTTTCAGTATACACCATCTCTTTTGATTCCCTTTTGTTATGGAAGCTGCAATCGATGCATCTTTATGTTTGTCTGGTTTGAATTCGTACTATAGTAGCTTTATTCTGTCTCATCGCCACAAGACGTATACGAATTTCTTTATTTTTAAGTTCGAAACTACTCTGTTTTAGTAAGGTCACTGAATTTTTAAAAATGAATTTATAATCAGCAACTGCTGGACAAAAATGCAATGAATTCGCCTAACTTTTTCACTATCCAGTTTATGTGATGAATACACTTCTGCCGGCGTAATTCGAACTTCAGAATTGATGATAACTCTTCATACGTTTACTCTGCAACGTATTTGTTACTTATTTTCTTGTTTAGAACTTTCATTTACTCTGTTTTTAATTCCTTTTTGCTTCAACTTTAGATAAAATATCACGGAGTGAACGTAAGCATGTTATTTTGTAAGTTTGATATTCTGCTTGTTCATCATTACTGTAACTACTATACAGCGGTTTTGTAAATATTCTATGTATTAGGCTACTAGTTACTCAAAATCTTCCTAAAAAAGACTTTCATAACCTAAGGAGCTAATTTGTGCTTCATTTCAAAGTCAATCTCATAAAAGAGCTCATTCGTGATCTGTAATATGATTTTGTCCCATCGTCTAAACAATAAAGATCAAACATTTTAAACCAGTTCGGAATGGATTTTGGATAGCTGGCAAAGTTCACTTTTCGGTTGCAGTGATTCCTGTCTACTATTCATTCATCTCGATTTCAAAGGTGATGCTATTTTGAAAATGATAAACAGAAAATTAAGCACCATACTGACCAAAAGATATCCTGCAGTCGATTCGATCTCTCCATTTCACTTTTGGTTCACTTATACAATCAAAAATCCACAAGTACCATTCATATGTTAGTTTCATCTGTGTGTAACAACTTACGTGTATATGCTGGAATAATTGAATCGGAAGAATAGAAAGCAAAGAACTTACCTTAGATATTTTTACCGTGCCCAGAAGAGTCTACGATTGAGTGAAGCAAGGTTTCTCAATAGTTCACTTACTTAGCGATTTGTAGACACATGAAATCAAGAAGACGTTTTAGAGTAGAGTTGTTCAAAATAATCAATAAACAGAATGATTCGAAGCTTCTTCGTTTTGCTTAAACCGTCACTGTCAAATGCCTGAAATGAGATTTATGTCTTCAGAAGGGATCTGTTGTTAAGCGTTAACTCCCCCACTAGCCCGTTTTCTTATGTCTTCGTGCATTTGATTGCATTCTTATTCGTTCATCCCTTCGATTTTCAGTTCATACTAAGCCTCATTACATTTAATTACATAATGTCTTTTTGAGTAGTACAAACTCATCGACTTACGTAGTTTCTTTTTCAGAGTCCTACAATATTCATTGTTCTGTCTTCATTTAAGTCTTGCGAGAATCTTCGTCACAATAAGTTATTTACGTAGTAACGCTTAGACTTTATTTTAACTCGCATATTTGCCGTGGTTTTGCTACGGTTTTGTCCTGTTATGACCGACCTCAGTGGAATAATATGTGTTAATGCTTCACTATAATGTGATGTTTGAAATATTTTTTTCGGTTGCATGCAGTTGAATAGAGTCGACAAAATAATGAGACATCTATATTGTTGTACTGCAATGTTTTATTTTGCTTTTTTCGAAGTAATAAAGTGAAATCTGTGTATTCGGAATTACTTAAAGGTGTTAGTCATCGATCGAATTAATTTTCGACCATCTGAACACCTTCAGTATAGTGACTCTTTGACAGATTAATGATATTGACGGAGGACTCTGGTAAAGCTGTATGTCGACAACCGACCAAATGTCCAGGAAATAAACTGTTAATTGATTGGGATTCTCCCCCCTGATAACCATCTGGGATAGACCCTGGAGATACCTTCGGTAGGTACGAGCTATATATAAATAGCTTCACAGCAGCAAGTAAATTTATAGGCACACTTTAAGGTACCAACTTACATCAGTGATATGTATATATCTGTTCAAACGGTGATAGAAATCTTACTACAAACAATATGACTGGGGATTTTAACTCTAATTCTATCTAATCAGACAACAGGTTTACTGATTCAAACTAAATTAGGATACTATGTTTATTATGCTCACATCAAAAATGTAAATATATTTGTTGAATTAACCACAGCCAACAAATATGAAAGGTCTGAATGATTAATCTACGACTTGACTAAGGATTTATTGACCTATTGAGGTGAAATTGCAGGTGTAGTGTTAAGTTTAATGGTAGATAATACAATTCACTGAATCTGAGGGTTGTAGTAAGAATTTGGAAAGATCATGATACACCATGGGTACATATAGATCACATCGCTACTAGTGACCATTTCCCTGACCTTAATTATTGTGTTTGTGAAGATAGTTAAAACTCAGAAAGGCATAAAATATAAAGTCTACTCACAGTAATTGTAGATGATGAAAGCCAATCAAATCGAAAGATGATAGTAAAAATGTCTTAAGAAATAGTGATTAACCTGTCTTCACTCAGAGTATATACTTTACAGTTCCATGTCATCAAACCACCTCCCAAACCGTATGTTGATTTTTTCCTTGTACAAGTTATCGGCACCAAAATTATCTTCACAACACTAACGGTTTTAGATGGATATAGATATTTCTATTTCATGTTTATCCTTGGAAAAGTAATCCTGTTTAATCAAAGCATATTTCAGTTTTCATGTGGTCTTACGGTCATTTGTAGCCGAATGGCTGTTAAATAAAGCGTAAATATTTCAATTTGAATTCTGGAGACTGTAAGTTAGGCTTAAATTGGGCTTATAGATACTCGAACGAAGTTGGGATTTGATGGTTTGAAAAAATTTGGGCATTAGGTAAATGATATTCGTTATTTTGGTTTAGCTCAAAAAAAGAAATGGATAAGGGGGAAAAGCCTTTCCTTGATTGTCTTGTTAAGCGGGGGGAAAAAATAGACATTCAGGTATAAGCATTTTCAGGAAAACACCGCATTCAAACAAATATTTAGATTTTCAGTCCACATCTAATTAGTGCGAAAGTTTCTGTTGCTTGCAGTCTTCTAAGGAGAGCACACACTCTAAAAGCAAATGGTAATGAAAGAGTTAGGGAATTAAAGTATGTAAACAGAATACTTAAAATGAATAATTATCCGGTAAAATTATTTCGCAAAATAGAAAATAACATTAAATTAGACCCTAGAACTATGTCTAAATCATGGACCTCAACAATAGTTCTCGCTTACAGATCACACACATCGGATGAAATTAGGAGAGTACTCGACAAATACAATATTAGTGTTCCCTTTAGATTCACACTTTAATTGTGTTTATAAAATAAAATGCTCAGACTGCAATGCAATATACATAGCAAAAACTTCCCGTGAAATGAAAATTCGAAAAAATGAACACCGAAAAGCTTTCACTCAACCCCCTAGAAGTCCAGTGGAACTGCAAAAACTTAAAAATAAATCAGTCGTAGCTCTACACAATATAATTTCAGGTCACAAGGTCGATTTTGACAATATCGAAATTATTTAGAAAGGCTTTAGAAATGATAAAGAACGTCTCATAGCAGAATCTCTTCACATTTAGTGGAATCAAAACTAAGTAGGAATGAGGGAGTGAAACTTAGTTTGACATGGTCTCGGCCCATTCCCACATACTTACATAACCAACATACATATGGTAAGAGCTATCAACATATGTGTACTTAAAAATCTCAATCTGTATTTCTCACACTCTTCAAACACGACACACTACATGTAGATATCATCTTCATTCTACAATTGTGACATCGCAGAATCATTTATATAGAAAAACACTTGTCAAGTTATCAAATATATAAGCTTGGATATTTTAAATTCCGGTTAACTATAACTCTGCTAAAGCTATTAACACTAAATAGTGAAACATCAGTTGAAACAAAATTATTTTGTTTGACATTCACTGGGAGATACAAATACTAAAATAATGGTTATTGTATTGGGTGTTTTGAACAGATGATTTTTAAATAAAATAAATTTTACTTGTCGTAGTTTCCCGTTGTTATATTGAATTGAGTTGCCTGATCTCTGTTAGTCTGTGGATTCTTATGCGGATGCCTAGACACTACCTGAATATTCATCATGTTTTACCTTACTTGGTGGAATCCAGGACTCTCGTGTCGTCCTATTTGGGACTCGTCAGCTGGATGTACTTACACTCCAGTGAGTGTTGTTTCCACAAAGACTCGAGCCTCTTACCCATCGCTTCAAACGCCACAGTACTATCTACTAGGCCACTATGGCAAGATAGCCACCTATTACACAGCGGGTATTAGTTATAACTTTTCGTTGATATAGTTATCGCACCTCATTGGCCTAGTGGATAACTTTGTGGCGTTTGAAGCGATGGATATGAGACTCGAGTCTCAATGGGAACAATATCACTCACTGGGGTGCAGGTATGTCCAACTGACGAGTCCTAAATAGCACTAAACGCACGTACTGGATTCTTCCGCTAGCCAAAACCAAGTAAATTGCCCACCTCAGTTCCTAGTTGTTTATGTTTCCTAATCCAAAAATACTTTATCATATGCACTTATGAATAGTGCTCAGTGTATCTCTTGCAACTTCCCATAATCCTAATGATCAATATCTTCGTGTTCTAAGTTTGGTGTATGAAGTTAGGGCTTGACTTTTGTTATTGAAGCGTAGTTGTGTGTAGGGGAGGACACTTGTATAAGGTGCTGGGATGCACGATTTCCATCCCGTATATCTTTGCAACAGTCAGAAATCACAAAATGCATTCAGAGCTAATCAGAATCCTTCTAAGCTTCGAGAATATTGCTTGACTACACTTGTACTTACTCGATTAGATAATATAAGATCGGTAATAAATATTTTTAGGGAAAAACCTGTAAAACCCAAAGTCACCTCTAAATGTATTAATGAGATTTCTCTTTATACATAAGATGACCTTGTAATATACGTTCTATGGCTTCACCACCTTTTTCTACTTGCAAGAAATTAACCAGTAAATGAAGTGGGAACTTAACGTTATGGTATAAATATCCATATATTGAAGCATTCACTATGTGGAGTAGTGATGGGAATGCAACTCGAGAATTTGTGATGGAACCCCAATAGACATAGAGTAGAACAGGTTCTAAGTAACAGTACTGATGAATTTTTTCAGAGACAAAAAACACTTACGTGGTTATATTCACCGTCTTTATTCTATGCACCACTGTTAATAGCGATATGTTTTATGCCTTAAATTTATTCAGATTTGTGTACACTAAGCGAAAGAAATATTATTTTAATTCTAGTTTACATGGTGTTATGATTCAATGAGTCGAATACATAGTTCACAGAGATTAATTCATCAGTTATGAGAATATCTTTTAACACACAGTTGTGGGTGAAAATTTTGTAGTAGTACCACTGTCTGTTGCGGTATATTCAAATTCGTGTTTGGTATCCAAGTTATTTTCTTCGAATATTACATCTTTGAATTTACCTTATAAATAAATACTTTTGCATCTTTTATTATCTTTTGTCTTTTCGTAGAAGCCTGTTAAGTTTATACTTTGATCCAGATATATTAAACTTGCCTACGCGCCAATTTGAGGATGTTGATACTAGTAGTATCAATGACAATGACAACAACTGTGAAGATTATTCAACTTCTTTATTGCAAATATCAACTAAGTTCCCTAGTCTCGATAATGATCAACCTTGTATGATGAACACGTATAAATCATGGCCAATTGAAAAGTCTTCTAATGAAAATTTTCTAACGTCTACAACTAATCAACTGAAGGATATTAAAATGAATTCACTTACAATATGCCTGTTATTAGAAATGTTTTGCACTGTATCACAGGTGAGTTTCTACTCTTGTATTATTTTCTTTGTCTGCATTTAGACAAAGAAACATATGTTGCGAGTATAAGTCAAGTATTTTGTACAGGTTGTGAATAAAACGATGTTAACGAACTTGTTGAGAATATGCAAAGTAGAGTAGTTAAGAATTTATAATTCAATGTTTGTAAGTCGACTGTCTAGATGGTTAAAGCAGACTGAATGAGGTTATGAAATTGTATCATCTCAGACTATTCGGAGATATGTCGCGCTAATCAAGCCACTTACACTTGCCTCAACGTGCAGTATTCACTCATATGCAGTCAGGTCAAAGATAGTTAAACGAAGCTATGGAACCAATCTATGAAGTAATTAACTGAACTGCTGGTCTTAGACGTTTAGGAGAGTTTAAGTTGTTTAGCTAAGGTTGTTATGATGTAAGGAATTGGTGGTTCTAGATTTTCAAAATCGATCTCAGTAGAGCATGATATGTTCACCCCATCTTGAAAATGCTAAAGATATAATCAACATTAATTTATTCATTCTCCCTCTTCCCATAGTTTTCTTTCTTTTATCATCTGATTTCTGTTTATTTGCCTTTTCATTCCTACTGAACAGTGTGGCAGGTTGAACCGTTGTAATTATAGGCGTGCTTCTCATTTGGTGTTCTGTTTATTTCTCAACTATAAATGTATTTATATCCTCTTGATTCTTTGTCTGTTCAGTCAGATTTTATAAGTAATAGTTTCCTACTTGGTCTTCATTGGAATTCTTTTTCATGGATTACACCACTAGCCGCTTATAACGGATATACAGGTTCACTTTGATGTTAAAAACCCGATTGTGATATGTACCATTCAATCTTTATTCAACAGATGCAGCTTAGTACACGAATCTGTATATAGTCATTAGATTAGAATTATTCATTTTAACATTTTATCTTGTAATGATAGAACTGTGAAAATGAAATGAACTGCAACTCACTGACTACATGTATTTACTTGCACCAGGTAATGAGCCTAATTGTTGATTGAAGACTGATGATGCTACATGTTCGCTCAAACTTTGATAGGTGGGATGGAGTTTGAACTTATGACTCGTCGGTTGAAGACTCATTACCTACGTTATAGAGCAATAACACTACACTGAATAAACTACTTTCCTTAATGGCCACTAAAGTATACCATCCAACCATAGCACATTGGGGATTATGGTGTTGAAAGATGTTGTAATACTCTCCTCTCATATAATGCAACTAAACAGCAACTTATAGACTCATCCACTCAACAATGAACCAAGTGTGTTGTATATGTGCCTGCTGCTTAAAAATTAACGTTGGGTCCAACTCGGTCGTTACTTAGGATTCCAAATAGTAGTTTATTGAAAACCTTTTGTTTTGTTGTGAATAAAAAGCGTTGGGTAAGTTAGAGTAACTATCTCCATGAGTCTTTGTTCAGCTCCGTAGACAAAGATTTTTTAAACAAAATAGGGAACAAACAGGACGATATCTTAGAAATCAATGTAACTTTTTGTTGTTTGTTTCATACAGTTACAGATGTAAGCAGTTTATACTTGAAGTAAAGCGTTTCACGTTGTACTTTGTACTATCCAGCGTCATGAAACTGTGGTTTATTTATTTAATCTTCCAAATAGCAGGTCCACGGGTTAAATCCCATCCCACCCATTTTCAATAATAATAATAATAATAGTAATAATAATGGGTTTATTCTGAGAGGTGTTTCGGGAATACCCAGCAGAATTTCCAGCACATCATAAAGCATCCGTTGGACAGAAACAGAGTATATGTATACATAACAAAACGAAATCAGTATAAATTACACATAAGTGATAAGAATATTCACTGTATATACAACTTTCTTGAAAATGCATAGTTAACTTTGGTAGAAAATAACATTAGCAGTTATATTCATAATAGACAAATAATAAAATGGTGTGTACTCATCAACTAGTTTGCTGCCAAAAACGGAAGTTGATTAGTTAGCCCATTTGTAATGCTTTCATCATCGCACAAGAGACGAGCTAAGCACGATATTGTAGAGCTTTTATATTTCGTAGCACGTGCATAAAATCTTACCTACTTGTTCCTAACCTTTCCTGATGACCGACACACTGAGAGCTTTGAGTGCAGAGGATGCCGGTCATTTGATAAAATAACTCCTGCCAGATGCATGCATGTTTATCCACACCTATTTTAACTAGAAGACTTTGAGGTGCACCACTAGTTCTGCTGACAATCTTCAAAGTTGCATGCAATATAGCACAATCCTTCTCCAGCAACTCAGAAAATAATAAAGGGGGACAATAGAGGAGAATAGGCAAGATGCAAGAGTTTATAAAACACTAGAGAAGACACTCAGTTATACCAGATACTCTCAGCTTCCTAATGTAAAAAGTTAGGTGGGAGATCCTTTCGGAAATGAGTAAGATGTAGGAGGATCAAAAAACGTCTGAAGAAAAACATACATTTAGATAACATTCTCTCATGCACAACTATCAATAGAACAGGAATCACGAGAACCAAGCAGTTTACATAGGTTACATTCACATCTGCAATTAAAGTTTATTGTCTGACAGTTTGAAGAATTAAGCACAAGACCATTCACACAGGACCCATAGTCTAACATTCGATGGGAAATCAATCATTCAGGTGGGAACAATCTGTGAAAGAGGAGACAGGTTTTGGAACCGTCAGGTCATTAGCATATTTAATAAAATTGATACTGGCTGAAGATGGCTAGTCATATAGGAAGAAAAAGACTGTTGGAAGGAACGGCACCTCGGGGAACACCAGCTTCAGTAAGAAGTGAGGTGGAGCGCTTCCCTCTGTGAAGAGTATATTGTGTCCTTTCAGAGGAATAAGATTACAGTCAACTGATTATCCAGAACTCAGTATTTGTCCCCGCTAGCTTGTCCAGCAAAAGAGGTATTGGGACAGAATCAAATACTGAAGTTCAGTCTCAAAAGGCACAGCTGACGAACTTGACATTTCTACTAACATTATAAGCAACAATGTGATATAAGACAGTTGTGGCATCTAGAGTGCTTCTTTTGCTTTTATATTCAAATTGATTAGGATCTCCAAAAACATTTGATGATGGTTGGAGAATGGGTATCATTAGCTTTTGCATTATTTCCAAGTACTGGGAAACAACTTGAATCGGACGGAATTTCGGACTTGCGCCTGGAGTCCCTGACCTAGATACGGAGACTATTTTAATATTTTTCCAGGCAACTGGTATGGTGTTTTCATTCAAGCATTTGAGCAGTATCATGCGTCTTGATACCTTAAATGTAGCTCATAACTTAGTACACTAGTATGTGTGTTAGTTAGATGGATTACATTGTTTATCTCTTATTTATTGCCAAGCTGATGATGAATTTTGGAATCATTAATTAAGTATTATCCATCTGAATTCAAAAGACAACTGCTGGTTTTAATTCGTGACTTCACTGCTAACTTTCGAGTCATTTGTAAAAATTAATATCCAGAATCTGTTATATGTTGTTAATGGATTCTAGAAATGTTCCCACGCAGTTGTCGAACATCTTCGAATTAAAGAGGTCATATTTTATGGGCGTACAGCAAAAATTTCCGTGCCGTAAAGTTTCACCGCCGACCACTTCTGTTAGAGAATATCAAAGGTGACCCAGATTGGTGTACAAACCTCAAACTTTTGAAGCAGAATTAAAAATCTTACGCTCTAGAGTTCAGTTTACACAGACAAACAGACATAATCAACATAGAACCTCCCATACAGGTACATTCCTTCAAGTTGCCACACTTCACAGTAGTACACAAAGAACAGATGGATAGAAAAAGAGTGATATCAAAGTCGATACAGTATTATGGGGGAATGGACAATATGAAGATAACCGTCAGAGCAAATATTCAAGCTTTACAAGGTATCTAGCAGTGAATACATCTGCGCCACTGTGACCAGTTTACAGCCATTTCACCAAGAGTTCTCAACCACTGATTCCTTTCGTCTTGCGGTCCGCAACTAGTTCACACTCACAAAGATTCCAACCACTTCTGACAAATTGCCTCCAAGGATGAGTGCAGGTATAGGCTCTTACCGTTCCTTTAAAAGCATTTTACACTGATAGTGTGAAGCACCTACCACTTATACCTAGGGATTTAATCAAATCTGGGCAGTAAAACACTGAGATTCTTATTTTTCATTTACCTTGTTTTTATCACTACACTGTTTCTTGTTTATTTCCTATATGGCATCTACAGATGAATACATTACCTGTTAATAATGATACTTCACAATCTGTTGAAGATCAACATTTTACGGAATGCTTACGCATTGGTTTACTGCCAACAATATCATTTGCTTCACGAAATGATCTAATTGGTCAAACTGCACGGGTTTGTTTAGATCAAGTGGCTAAGAATTGTAAATATTCAAGGTTAGTAATTTGTATTTTTGTTTTCCAGCAATATAAAAAAGAAGTATTAACAGACTTTTTACTAGTTATCTTGAATGTCGAGCATAAATAACTATTTTTAGAGTTGCACTGTCTTATTTCAGTTAGATACAAAATATCCTAAAAGAATGGTAAAAGCTGAAAGCAAACTGGTTTTTTTCGGAATAATTCACAGTGTCACCTGACTGAACCGTTCAGTGCTAAAGAGATTTACTGAATTTAAGGAAAAGTTATATGTTCTAATGAATTTTCTCCAATTTGGACCATCACTGATTTATGATTCGGTTATAAAACTTATTCTGAGGCAAGTCACGGGTTCGAACTTAACCCGGTTTACTGATGTTTAGGCAACCAGATAATGTGACCAGATGTGACTCTAAGGGTTATTCTAGCAACTACTGAAATAACCAACTGGGTCTCTTCATTGCTTTGCAGCTCAAATAAAGAAACCTATTTGACTATTTCAGTGATTGCTAGGGTGGCCTGTGAAGTCACCTTGTGACTAGTTGTCATACGAAAAATGTAACTCACTACCTAACACAAACGTGTACTTTCTCGTTAAGTTGTACTGACTTAGCAGATTTGTGGTCTTATTCTCATCTGAATAATTATTGAAATGATGGGAAATATTTGTAGCTAAGGTGGATGGTCTTGATTGTATTGTGTGTCTTTCTAGACAATGAAATGATTACCGTGCAATTTTATCTCATATTTCATACTTAATAGTCACGACTTTGTAGTGGTGTTATCAAAATGTCAGTATTTTGGGAAGCCTTTTTCAAGTTGTTATTCATCGTAGACCGACACCAGTTGGAGGAACAAAGGAAACCTGGGAGAACTGGACAGCCGTTTCGTCCTAGTATAGGACTCCTCTGCAGTGCGCAACCACGACCACTCCAGGGATTAGACCCGTGACCTTCAGGTTCCGTGGCCAGCACGTTACCATTGAGCCAATGGGTCAGAATCCAGTGGTTCATATTTCCAACTTGTGTTAGCTGACGGTATGGCGCAACCGCCACCCAATGTCATCGTTGAGTAACTGTCCTTACGACCATCAGGCTTTGCCCATTTTTTCTTTCGAATATATCAACCGAATCTCAGTGTACACTACATATAATAGCGATTTTTCAAAACTATTTGTTGTTTCAGGTTCATTTTCATCAAAATCTTGTCGTAGTTAAAATAAATAGTTAGTCATCACCCATAGTCTATCGATTTATGACGAAACCGCTTTGGAATCGGTATCAATTGCTATGATGAGGAATATGATCAGCTTCGAGAAAGTTTGGGACAGGAAAATTCACATTAATACTAAAGCGCTTTCACCTTTCAGATATTGGCTTGTTCAGTTTGTTAAATTATCTAGAAATTTTGTGCTGGTTATTTGTGAAGTAAATAACGTCATAATATCCACAAGATTCACACTACTGAGTGGTTACAACAGACCACATTTCTGTTAAACTTTCATAGTTTTCTTTCTTCATTATGACATGAAGTCAACTGCAAAACCATTGAAAGGATGATGTACCACTAGAGCGCCATATTATATTTCATTAGCATACTTACGATCTCGAGATGATGGAGAATATTAGTAGCTGAGGAGGATGATTTTGATGGTGTTATCTTCTCTGAACTGAATGGTTTATTCGTGAAGCTTTCATTGTCATTCTAGACAACATCACCAGCACAACCTTCAGAAAGTTTGTGCTGATGATGTCTAGAATGATAGTGAAAGCTTCACATATACATCATCCAGCTCAGAAAACACAACACCACGAAAGACTAATTCTCGTTTGCAAACTGGAGTATTCAGAAAAGTAGCTCATTTAGATCAAATCCTCAACTACGGTAGCAACAATCCAACAACATACAAAATCAGTTGCATAGAAGCATTGTTCAAAAGAGAGAAAACACACTATAGTACATCAATCTTACGGAGAAAAAAAATATATTTAATATCTTCAGCAAAAGATGTTTGTCTAATATACACCGTTAACCAAAAATTTAGCCTTGGAAATCAGCGAACGAATCGTCTTACCATACCTAAAGAATGTACCAGAGGTTACAACCAGATTGCTGATTCTTTTTGGAATCACTATAACTCACAAGCCTACAAAGTCTGTTATACAGACGAGAAGATACAATTCCGAAGGAAGACAAATCAAACGTTATCTACTAAGCTGCAGAAACTGCGAAAAACGGTATATCGAGTAAAGTGGTCGCTCTCTTCGTATCCGTCTACATTGATGTCATCTATCAATGAAGCGTCATGATATATGTTGGTTCATTTCGACACACATAGTCAATTGTGGACATGAATCCGACTCGGAAAATGTGAAAATCCGGGATATAGGAAATACAAAGAATGCCAGAAAATTCTTAGAAGTTTGGCACAGTTCAGTTGGCGATCAACAGACATATTGATATTCACTCAATCTACCAACCAATAAGAAACTAAAGGTCAAAGTTCACGTTGGTAGGACAACCAATCAAAATATGTATGGAGACAATGAAAAGATTTTAGCAGAAACAACCAATCGCACTCTAGGTCATTAGGACAAGCTACAAAACAACTTGTAGAGAAAATTATGTAGCTCACTCTTCTGAAGTTTGTGCTGATGATATCGTCTAGAATGACAATGAAAGCTTCATAACTAAACTATCCAGCTCAAAGAACACAACACCATCAAAAACACTTACGATCTCTCCTATGAATCAACGTCTTCCGTATCTTCTGATGATCTCGAAGTCTAAAGGTTAGCTTTTTCCATAGGATGCTGTTCATTAGATAATCATATTTTCCCTCTTCAAGAAGTGATATTCATAATTATGCATCAATTTTTTTGTTAACAATTTCAGTATCAGCGAACTTATCACAGATAACGCAGACTACCTGGTTTCTAACATCACATTAGATTTGCATCGTGTTAGCATGTTAACTTTATCGAATTCACTAAATCAAAGCACGCCATCTTCTTTGTCAAATGAAGCTGAACAAAGCGTATTATCAGCCTGCAATGCTATAAACACCTTGTTTGAATATTCTACAATTGATGTGTTACCAATTTTAAAACCGATGGTTACACAGGTAATGCAGTTAATTTCTTTTCCTTCATGAAATTTTTATTCTATTCAGTCATTTGTCAAAAGTCAATATACTGAAGGGTTATGCATCAGAGCTATTGGTAACTGGTATTAGTCAGTCTGTTCACTATCACTAAACTGTCGGTTTCAATCCCACTTCAATCGCTTCAACTTGCTTGGCTGCTTAGCATCATAAGCTATCACATACTAAATGTATTCGGCTTTTAGCTAACCACATTCGTCGATTCCCATCAAATTACTTCTTGTGTTACTTATTTTAGTGTTATATAACACCACATATAACCAACACTTTTGGGATCTCAAAGTGAAGAATTTGACCCATCTCTCTTTTGATTGAATTGTTGCCAGAAGTGACGTTATCGAAACGAGATTTTGTCTTATGCGACTATTTACGACCTTTCGCTTTCACATCTTATCCTTTTAAAAAGTTAGTTTGATAACTAGGATTTTTCGACTGATGATGAATGATAACACATTTATATGATTAGGTAGACATCAAAAAAGACTATCTGGTGTGCCTATATGAAGAATAAGATATATAACAGCAGATGCAGTATTATTGGGAGTAATTATCAGACCATAAACCATGACTTTCATATGCATACAGGTGATAATTTCCATTTCGTCTTTCGATGTGTCTATCCATAGGAGGGTGTTGATGATGCTTTCTTTATTGACATTTTTCTAACAACTACCACTTCTGGACAAAAATAATGCAACAATAAAGTTCCATTATCAGCAACAATAAAACTATTTGATTCCAGTCCTTAAGTTATTACTGCACACGAGATTCCATAGTTAGCCAACAGTTTTTTCAGCTTATTTAAGTTTAAGGCACTCATATTCATCCGCAGGGTGTATGTTCTCCAAAAGATACTATGAAGCTTCCGTAGGACTTGTGACAACTAAAAGCCCAAAACAATCTCAAAACCATAATGGAAGTCGACAACTTTGAGATGACCTATCATGTAATTCTTTTAAGATATGCATAGCACAAACAACACTATCGTCACAGAATTTCATGGTGAGGATAAAAGTGAAAATACTCAACACTATGCGAGTGTCATGCTGGGTTCTCCAATGCTTAATCCAAAGATATCCTTAGCAAATTCCTATTGTCCTTTCATGATATGTTCATTGATTGGTACTTCTGCAGACACGTTCCTTACTGTTGATACATGGGATTCTGAATCTATCCAAAAATTTACTGTATAACTGAATATTCACCTTGCCAATCTCATCACATCTGCAGCCAGCGTAGCACATGTTCCAAACATATCTTGTGAGTCATCAGTGTCACTTAATGTTACTAGACAATTATCCATGTAAATATGGTCATTAAGTATGTTCTCAAATAAGGAAGTTGACAGGTTAAGTTTTATTACATCCTTATACCTTATCCAATGTTTTAGTACACCATAAACCTCTTCAAGGTAAGTTGTCTAAATACTACTTTGCAGGGAAGAAATTTATTATTCCTTTTCCATGGTAGATCCATTACCAAACGACTGTTTCTATGTCATGAATCTTCAACCCCTTAGTATGTACCCGAGATAAGGAGCTCTTCTGGTCTCTGATATCGTTAAACTGTGGTCCATCTTATTGCTTAACACAGAATCTAGGTCTCCTTTGGGTCTTTGAATTATACAAAAATTATTTCGGTGCCGATGTCTTCTTATTGTTCACACAAGTCTTCTCCTTCATGCCGTTCCTCCAGAACCCTGAAGGTTACCGAAACATAACATCCAGCTAACAGCTTCATTTCCTTATCTTTCAACCTTGTTAGCGGTACACCACAGAGGTGGGGCTTGTTAGCAATCACTTTACGGTCAGGTAGCAAGGCTGCTCCATGATTTAAGCAAGCCACAGTGTATGCATCCTCCACGTCTACTGCACATTGAATTATTAAAGATTGCAAGTAGAATAACACGCTATCTCAATTCCATGAACCTGAAAAAATAACTATACGAACCAATAAGTTAGCTAGCGAACTGGCGAGGTTAGTATCCATAAGACTAACACGAACTGATAATTGAGATCTTCATACTCTTATTCCCATTTATACAATTTGAAACTCAAGTACCCTTGATGCAGGTTAGTATTCATCATGGACTGACATTAGTTGGAGGAACATTGAAAACCTGTGAGCACTGGACAGCTGTTCCGTCCTAGTTTTGGACTCCTCAGCAGTGCGCACCCATAACCCCACCAGGGATAAGACTCAGGACTTTCAGCTTCCGCGACCATGATACCTTTATGATCCTTGCTGAAGCAATATCATTCTTTATACTAATCAACAGAGGGGGTCTACTGAGTGATTTACTACCGTCTTCATTTACAATCCCGACTCATTTGTTCTCTTCTCAAAAATCTATAAAACGGCCGTTTTCTCATTGCTACCTCTAATCTTTCCTAATGGAACATCTTAAGGAAATTTGCACATTCATGAAATCAGCATGAGTCATCACAAACAGCATATCTGTCATTTCTCACAACGCTCTCGGGTGTTTTTGTAGCAAAAGCTTTCTTCTGACCCACTTTCTCATTTTGCAACTGGGCGTAAAATCTTGGTGAACCAGCTCGATGTTTGACTTAAACTCTCCTGTACTAGCTTTGAAATATCGCAAAAGCTGGGTCTCATATCTTCACGTTCAATACAAGCACTGATTTTGACCCCGTTCCTTTGGAGGTGGATGGACAAACTTCTGGTAACCATTTCAATGACTGACATCAAATTCAACTCATTTTGAGCAGTTCAGCGATGCTAAGATATTTCTATAAGTCAGGAAGTTGTCTAAGAACTCTATGAGTTCTTTTGGACCGTCTCTCAGTTGTCTACCGTCTCTTTTGACAAGCTCAAATACACTTCCAGAGATCATAAATGGTCTCCCTAGCCTCTGGCGCAAAATGCTCTTAGCTTCAGCACAACCCTCTTTAGCTAGTAAGAACTTACAGCACTATATGGTGCCAGCAGCTATTGCAGTGCATCGTCGTATTAAGTGCATCAGTCTAATATTATCAAACAATCTTTCACGAAAAGCTATGTCCACTTCATGAAATGAGGATACTTTACGGGATTCCCGTCAAACAAACGTGGCCCATACTTGGGCTGTTTGGAATGCGCCTTTTCCTGAATAGTTTTGTCACTCAACAAACGATCTCCATCAAGCATATCAATCATAACATTGGAGATGTCAATAACAAAATCAAACTTATCATCAGCAATCACCTTAGCATTTGCCTCCATATTGCTTTGTCTTTTCTTTGGTCTGGACATAGCTGGAAGTTGATGGACAGCAAACTGATACCAAGTTGAGACAGCTGAAATATCCCATAAGATATATCCAGTTTGTCCAATAAAGGGGTTCCAAATCAAAGCCTCATAGATACTGTCATGTTTGCCAGAAGGTTTTCACGGTAGGTACTAAATACCGGATCACAGAATACCCACTAGTGGACTGCTTAATGTCCTAGTGAGACGAATGTAAGAATACGAAGATGAACTTTAGTGATTTATTACAAAAAACCAGTATTTCACGAGCTTAATTTTGTCGTTTTCTAGTGTTCACTAAAGAGATTCTTTCCGTATTGCTCTAGCCTACCATTAGCAAACTGAGATCAACTGACACAATCAAAATAAACGAAACAGGCGCACTAATACGTTTCTGTCCTGCCTTTTGTTTAGTGTACAGTGTTGGCATATCCTCAACTTCAGCGCAGTGATTTTCCTCAGAAGTAGAATCTGTAACTGGAAGTGATTTGTTGAGTAACTTCATACATTACTATATATAGTAAAGCTACTACTTCTCATATTGCCGAAATGAATTTCCAGTTTGTCTGCTTACCAACGAGTTTTGAGACTACACACCTCCAAACATACTCTTATATTCCTAATATGCTGATACATATCAAGCTTTAGCTCATAGCCGTTATGGTAGCGTTTATTTGACTTCTGTGCTGCCTTCATTCCTGACTTTGAATATCCACTGTACCATGTCTTTTATACAGATGATTTCGCGCGGTGATTTATTGGGCTAGGCAATCAAATTCTAACCTTTTATATTGGGTCTAAATCTCATTACACTTTCTAGAGTTCAGACAACTGAGTGGTATCGTAATTTTTCATGTAGTATCGTATGAGCCCGCACATGATTGCAAAGACACACTTTCTTTGTAACCACCAGAACAACTTATATTTAAACCGCTTTTTTCATGGATAAGAAAAGTTCAGCTGTCACTGACCATTTTAAGCTAATCCTGAGGTCACCGAGATAATTGACTGGCTTTTGAAACAGGCGTCTGTCGTACATTAGTATACCGCTAACTTATTTACAACTGAGATTTGTGATGCCTGACATTTGTTGGCATTAGATAACAGGTGTATCACTTTTTTGAAGCATTTTTCACATGACATGAAACTGGTGAACAAGCAATATTCGCTTCACATAAGGAGTTATATACGCAGGAAGCCAGTTGGAGTGGTTGTAAACTTGTGTTGGCTAAAAAGATAAGTTGTTAAACTGTCTAACTAAGCTCTTTAGACTAAGCGAAACTTGCGTGAAGTGAAAGACTGTTTAGTTAAACATATCGATGTTCCTATTAAACTGAGACATGTGAAGCATAGTAGTCATATATTAATCCATATATTATTTCCATTGTTTGAGAGGCACTGACCATATCCAGTTACTAATGTGTTCATGAGGAGCCCCCTCTTTCCTACTGCATAACTGTTGGAGTGCTGTCAGTAACCGTGTACACGTTTGTTTAGTAGGCACTTAGCCACACATACCGTATGAAGCCTAATGATGCTACCTGGCTGCTCAGATTTCGGTAGGTGGGACAGCGTTGAAACCCGTGACCTACTTGACCTATGGCTTATTGATTTAGGCTCGCGATTTGTGTCCAGCTAGTCATGGATCCTAATTCCACTCCACCTACCAAGATACGGACAGCCAGGTAACATGACTACTCCTCAAACACTAGGTATATTGCCCATTGCCTTATGTACTTACATGCACATAGCTGGTAAGTTGCTTTTTGGATTGTACAGTTATTTAGTGTGTCCGTTGAGTATGGTTGACTCGAGAATTTTGCAGGTATTCATTCCTAAATGTCTTTTTAGGGTTCCTGGCATACGGTGAATCGACGTAGCCAATGTTGAGATTAAGTATAAGATTTAGGATGAAGGTAAGTTAGTCTTGATGTTTTGAACATACAGTGGCTTGAATGGTTTAAGTTTGTTACTAACGCTTAGTCACATTCTTCATCGAAACACGATACCGGCTGGTGTATGTTTAACCTTGACAAAAAACAAAAATGTTCAGGCCAAAATATTTTACTAATTTATAAAGTCACTAACTGCTGTTCTGGGTCATACAGCGAAATGTACTTTGCTTGTGTTCGATCCCACACAAATACCTATGGATGTAGGTAACATTTCCATTTTTTTATATTCTCTTTCTGTGCAATGCCAAATATGGCAACTTGGGTCGATGAACTCGTGTATGCGGTTCTACGTTGTTGTGTCTGTTCGAATAATATTTTTGAGAAAATACCTTAAATTCTTAAACGCTTTGGAATTATGCTAAGGACTTTATTTAAGTATAATTAACCAGTTCCCTGTAAATTGGAATTTGGACAAATTTCAACTATCATCCATGTGGTTTTCTTATCTAAATTCTGATTGTTTTCTCATTTTCATCAGATGCTTTCTTCTTTGGATCTAACATATGAATATACAACTGAGCTCTTCCTTTCACCATTCTACCAGTTAATGCATACATGTTGTAAATGGAATCTTCTATTGGCAGGTAAATGTTTACAGCAAACAGATGATACTTCTTTAGAGGACAAATCAAATACAACCAGTCATGCGGTAAATCTCAATGGTTTTCTTGTTGCTTTCAAATCACTAATTGTATATAATTTTTTAATGCATGAATGTGAAATAACTTTAAAACTTGGTTTATAGTTAACATTTTGCTCCAAGTGTCCAGTTTAGTGGGTTTACAATACTCACTACTAAATAGATTGCAACGTCAATTCAATCACTGAGTATTCTTCTCAGTTGTGGTGCTAGTCATCAACTTCTTTGGTCAATTTCTAGCCAACATGTCACGGATACGAATCTGACTCTACCTACAGAGGTTGAGGAAGCCAAACAGAATCACTAGTCTTATTTGTTGCAAAGTACCTATAAATGCATAGCTTAATCTGCTAACTGACACTATATTCGGTACTGGAAAGATATATGACCGTCCATCAAAGGATGAGTATACTGCTCATCAGTCCCCCTTGTCTTGTTACACTAATGTAAGAAGTGACCATTCAATACATATATATATTGTGATGAGGTTACATGTTTGTATGAAAACATATGTCTTTGTAGTATTGCTCATGCGCATTTGAGCCGTCGTATAGGTTATGTTGAAGTTGGTCTCAGAGTATCGGGCAAAGAAGACAAGTTAGTGGATAGAGTTGCAAACGTCTACTGACGGAGTTAACTTAGACTTAAATTGTATCGCCTTATTACATCCTCCTCAGTTTCTGCTTAAATGAGACATTAGGTTGCTCGTCTTTGAATGGCTTTAGCTATCTTCTCATGTTACCTTGCTTTTATATAAGTCATTTTGTAATATATTATAATACTAAGGGGATTAATTATTTCACGAAAATTGTTCTTATTTGGTATTCTGCGTGACGTTATGTGCAGGATGATACAAACTAATTATCTCTTAAGTTATTTATTATCATTTTGATTATCTGAGATAGCTGTGGTTTGCTAGAATAGTATTGTATTGATACTGGTTGCTGATTGAAGGTGAACTGAAAATTTAGACCGGGCCAGAAACCTCAGTGGTCGCTAGTTCGAGTCTGGTCACGGTCCAAATTTTCATTTCACCTTCAGTCACCATCGAATATCTTAGTTATTTATCAAATTATTCATTACCTAAGCTGTAGTGAAATCCAACTGTCGTTCAAATTCCACTTTTACTTGAATCTTTAGAGGTTAACTCAGTAAATTTTAGGCGTTGTTTGTCAGCTAGAAATATATACTGAGTAGTCTAATTGTGTGTTTATGTGTTGACGATTCATGTCTCGTCTCTAGATTAAAAATGTTGAACTTTGTAGTAGTGCATGAATTCATATTTGGTCTTCACAGTTATAATCCCTAATTCACTAAGTGTTTTTTTCTGACAAATTTACTTCATGGGTATAATGTTGCTTGTAACCATATTTATTATACAGTAGTCATGGTGTCGGCAACCTGCTTGAACTTTTAGCTACGAATGATATTTTCTACCAGACTAATTAAATTCCCTTCCCCCGTTTAGTTTGTTTTAATTTCTCAAGAATATCCTCCAAACGAATTTTTAAAATGTCCTGATTTATTTGTTTTTCGAATTGATAACATAACGAAGGAAAATTGTCATATTAATTGGAAATGAACTTTTGAATGGACGAAAATACATTATATTTCTACCCTTCAGATGCCTATCTTGAATTGTACATTCTTCTACTGGTTGGATGAACCACCACCACTAAACATCGAACGCTAATCCAGCACCAACCGGCTGTTTCGCATTATTACCCTTGATACTGTTATTATGGACAGCATTCCTACACCAAAATCATTTTGTTTTAAAGTATTGTTCAGGGAGTAAATCTGTTAATTTATTATATGCTGAGAATTCCATACTGTCTCAAACATATTGTTTGGAATAAGGCTATTATTATTATTACCACTATTATTATTATTATTATTATTATTATTATTATTATTATTATTATTATTATTGTGTTCATAGATAACTTCTGTATATCACAGAAAGTACTGTGAATAGTCCTACTCCATATTTTTGTATAAACTCTTTAGTGGTCATTATTATTGTGGGGGCAGTTCTTTAGAGTTTATTACCTGTCTTCAAGTGGTTCGCTATATAATCTGGTGTTCAGTGCTAAGTCATAAGGTTTCAGAACATTTAAAAGGCATTACTTCGAAATTATTTTATCTACTTCAAATCAGAGAAATGTATTTCATTGGCGTGAGCACTTAACTTCCATGCAATATGTTCACGGTTGAAACGGCACTCGTCCTGTATATTTTAGTCAATAACCCACTTCACATGAAGTGTGATTCAAAGTCTAGTAGCAGTCTACTAAGCTGCAATTACTTCACTGAATGATTATTGTTTCCCTTTACCATTCTCAAAAGCAAATTATCAGTCAGTTTTTGTCGATTAAATGTATAGTGGAGTCTTGATATACTCCTCTTCCTAATGCTGCATTCCATACTATAAGAATGTTTTGAAAAATCTATTTCTTTTGGAAATATTTTTATTGACTATCGATAGTTTAGAGAGTCCTATCCTTAAAGAAAATTAATGAACCTACAACTTTTCTTAGTAACGTAATTTTTCTAAATCTCTGACGTAACACAGTCAAGTCGTTGACCGTTGGCCTGAGCCGTGTGGGAAGATGTAAGCTACCTGGTTGGCATCCCCGACACGATAGGAATCAGTTATCGAGAACTCTTGGGGAAAGTCGGTCACAGTGGCGCAGACGTAATCACTCCTTGACATCTTAAGCTGGAATATTTGCACTAACCAATGTCTTCAAATTGTTTATTCTCTCATACATCTTTGTCTACATTTATATCGCTCTTTTTATACCCATCTGTTCTTTGTATACTACTGTGGAGTAGCGCAACTTGAACCGTTGTGTGTATGTGAGGTTCTGCGTTGATTTTGCCTCTGTCTATCTACTTGTCACTAGTTACGATTTGAACATGTATTCATGTCTAGTCTGCTTCTGAGTACACTTGCTCTCTATGTATGCTCTATTTCATCAAATCATATATTGATACGTAGATTCTGGTTGTTATTAAAAAATCTACTAAGGACTTAGATATGGCTGAGTTGTATTCCTCCATTATCAACTGAAGATTATATAAGTGTTTCGATGTAATCAGAACTTGTTGATAAATTGATTTATCTTACCGAGCATTTATGATGCAATTTACTCACATTCACTGTTGAAAAACGATGTCAAGAGTATGTAATCACTCTTGAATTTGCATACTAGACAATTAATTTTTTTCGAACAGAAGTGTAATTCAATTTTTATGTCACTCTAAAGAAAAGAAAAGTTGACGTATCTATAAAGTAGAGTTTCATCCATTAGATATCTCATAGTAATAAAAAGTTGCCAATTGTTTTGCAAACTTAAAATCACTGGCTGAAAAGTGTGATTTAAATGAAACTTTTCGGTGTTCAGTGTTCAGAGATGGAGAATAAGTTGTAATCCCTGACGTATGTCATACTTGGTGACAATAATTATCAAAAAATATATAATAACTTTAGGAAAATGGTAACATCTCTAAAGTGTGAACTCTTATTTCAGTGCTACAGAAAGGAATTACAGCCGGGCTGTGCAGATTGCATTTGGTCGTCTGTAGATTTGTATATTGCTTACAAATTTATCGGTAGATGCTTTAGTTCGTGATGTAAACAGAAATTTATTTCCCATTTTCAATTAGTATCGATATATTTCTTGAATTTAACAGTATTGACGCTTTGTATATCTACTCTTAGATAAACAACTCCTCAGAATATAATAAATCGTTATTATCCAATATATATCAAAAGACATTACGTCGTATCTCTAAGACACGTTCTCTTCATCATATTGAACCGATCCAGCCTATCCATCAAGATGCTGATGATTCGGAAGGTGATCAAAGTTGTGTTGATGATTTGAAACAAACTGGAAAACAATCAGGAGATCATATCGAAGAAGATATGGATGAGAATAAAAGTCGTACATTCCCAGACCACTTACAAATAGTTGAAGAAGTGAGTAGTTTCTCCAAGTCTTGTCTTTTATTTAGTTTGTTCGTGTTTTGAAACTATATTTCCGTTCATTCGCTAGTTGCAAATCAAGTAGTTAAATTGTCTTTAATTTTAGAGGATTCATGATTTACAGGTGCCATGCTTTAAAGTGATTGGTGATTCTATTCCTTGTCAGTTTACACTTGCCTTCCCATCAGTAAATTGTGAAAGGAATTAGAATTTGAACAGTTCGAAATTCCATGCAACTGGAGTCTGTGATGAGAACCCCTTGACCAATGAGATGTTTTTTAGTAATTGAGTGTTGTGAAAGAGTGTGAAGGCATTCAAAAAAGCTGACGTACGACGTTTAACTACAAAGCCTCAGTTTTCTGTCGTCTTCTGCTAACAGAATTCATCCAAAGCATAGTATTATCACTAGTATCTGAATTGAATCGTTAGTGAATTTGTCAGACATTTAACTCACATTATTTCAGATTGCACTATGACGTTTTAACCGATCCCCCATTAATAATCACTAAATTAAGTTATATCGGCTGAAATGCCTGTTTCCCAATGTCCTGTTTATAATGGAAGGAAGATGACCATGAAACTGATAAGAACTAAACCAGCTAATCACAGTATAAAAACGACGATTATGTCAAAGCAGAGTGCATAGTTGTAATGCTGATTGCACTTGGATGTGTGAACAATAAGTAGTTTACTAAAAGTAGTGGATATGTCCAACTATGATATTTTCCCATTGTACAGTGATTTAGTAAAGGTTGACCACTCAGTAACTTGCTGTCGATGATCACTGTGGTACTATTCACTATAAAGACATTTTGGAGGTACAAATTAAGCTCATATGTTTTCATGAAAGCTACATGTAACCGGTCTCCAGCAGATATCGTGTGGACTCTGTTATCGCACTTTTAGATAGATAAAACTACCTGTGTTAATCTACCGTTTTTAGACACCTCAAGAAAAAGCAATTCGATCAGTGTGGTTGATCTCCAGGAGTACTTAAGCTCTTCAGACCAATCTGTCACTTACTGAAAATGTATCACAACATATTGCATTTCGTCAGAAATCGCATGAATTAGTGGATTATAGTTTGCCGCCTAGTCTTGGACCTTGATTTCATATTTATTTGTGCTTATCAGAGAGGCATGTGCGAAATTATCAGGAAACTTTTGTAATCCTGGTGATTGAAACCTGTACCACTCAATAACGAAGCCAGAGACTTCATCATTGGATTATTCAGACTTTCAATAGCCAACCAAAGGTTTAGGTTACGTACACAAATCGGTCACCAGTTTAGAAATCTCAGTATGGTTGTTATGCATTTCCCACCTATCAGATGTAAGATGATGCTCCAGAACTTGTCTGCAACTACTCTTAGTTTAAAGAAAGGGAGCGGAGTGGAATACGTCGACCACTTCACTTACTCTGGAAGTCGCATCAGCTCGAAAGAGCTGGTTGCTAACGAGATCCTAGCTCGTATACAGAAGGCCTCTTTGATATTTGGCAACTTGCGCCATCTATGGCGCCGACTGAGAAGATATCCGACTACCTGTTAAAGGAAGATCATACTGCTTTAGAGTTCCTTCTGTCCTGCAAGATGTGATCGGTAAAAGTAGAGGATATTGTGTGGCTACAGGTTTTTGACCATCAATATTTTCGTAGTGTTGCTCGCATATGGTGAAATCACTATGCCAACAACCTCGTTGTTTACCGAATAGTACGATGCAACATAGGTGATTTGATCGATGAGGTTGCTTGCATATGTGTTGCGCATGCCTAACCACCACCTATCGTGACATGTAATCCTGGGTGAAGTCGGATAAGGTTGACTGTTGATTCGATCCATGTAGGGAGGTGTAGACTACCTGGCTGGGATTTCCGAGAAGATAGGAATCAGTGGTTGAGAACTCTTGGTGAAATGTCTGGAAATCGGTTACAATAGCGTAGATGTATTTACTTCTTGAAATCTTTTGAAGTTTGAATGCCTATACTAACCTTTATTTTTCAATTCCCTCTTCTCATATACACTTTTGCTTATTTTGATATCAGTCTTCTCTATCCATTTGCTCTTTGTATACTACTGTGATTTGTGGCAACTTGAATCAATGCGCTCGTGTGCAAGGTTCTACGTTGGCTTCGTTGTATCTGGTCACCAGATGGTTACCGATGTGGCTGTCAAACTGTAGGTGCTCAGCACTTACCGAAGTCTGTCGATCAATTTTGCAGTGTCCCTATTGAACTGTATGTTTTTTTTTCTAGGTAATGTTACGATGCATACATTTGATGGCTGATGGGAATCCTAAATTACGCATACTTTCAATGAGTGTTTTGAAAGAAGGTTGTCTAGCTATGCAATATGAAAATGGTGAGTTTATGTGTTGATTAGTTTCTATTGTATTTAACTTGTTTAGAGAAGTTAGAAAGCTTTTGCTGAAACTTGTTACTCCTGTTTAATTAACAATCGTGAAACAAAGAAGGCCATTAGATACTTATGAGCTGCTACAAAATACGTTCGAAGAGAATGGTGGACAATTTTTGTTGAAGTGTAGAAAAGTGTGACATAATTTTTGTTCCTTTTTAAAACATTTCTTAGTATTCTAGGTTTTTCACAAAGGAATTTATCATACTCTATTCATTGGGATTGCCTATGTTACACTTTTTTTCCTTTATGGAATTGAAAATGATACATATGTAATACATATTTGTGTTTTACTGCAAACTGACTGGCTACTTAGATATAGTTTGGTCTGGTCCAAGCTTCTTCAGGGAAATAAAATTAAAATATCAGGGATATTTAAATGAATCCAAGGTCGTGTATTGAATCTCCTTGCCCACTCCTCTTTGTATGGTCACTATCTTTCAAAGGTAAAGGTATGATTACTAATCATTCAATTGGAAATCGTCTGTCTCTTATTGTGCGGTTAGTGCACGCGTGTGTGTTTGAGATCCACTCTATTCCGACAAATCAATGAAAAATTCGTTAGTACCATTCAACCCTACATACCCAGTGAACTGACAAATGTGACATATATGTCCACCTCATACTGCACTTACAATTACCGTCGAATGATTATGTCACCAGTGACCTTTTTGTCTTGTATCAACAATCAAGGAGAATAAGAATAGTAACACCTAAACATACAAAGTAACCGTACAACAAGAGACGCAACCCTAACAACAACTCCAATGATCAATTAGGCTTTGGTATTTCACATTAACCATACTTATGGAAGACAATGACTATGCGAAGAAGACTGGGCAAGACGACTCGATACACGACCTTGGATTCATTTATATGTCCTTGATATTTTAGTTATCGATTATTTCCCTGAAAAAGCTCAGACCAGGCTTTCCTGCGAAACACTTGAATTGTTTCATGTCAAACACGCTGTAACCTACACAATTACAAACTATATCTAATCTCAACCTTTTACTCTATAATATGTTCCATGTAATACTTAGGTGCAATATAGTGCGAAGTCTCCAAATTCATACAGACGAAACTAATCCACCAATAAGATTGGTCAACAGATTTCCAAATCTATCAAAATCACACATGTTCTGTGAGTACATAACAAATGGAACAAATATTAGTGAAGCGTCTGTAATTCCATATTCGGTTTGTTTATTTGATTTATAACAACAGTATTATTTACTTAGTGGGCACGTTTCGAGCATAACTTACTACTCATAATCATATCAGTGTCACCAGACTTCTTCCGATGTTTGATTTTGATAGTCCTGTCACCTGTTATTCTCTGCTTTTACTGGTGGTAAACTTTTCCATATCTCTGGTATAGGTGTTGCGTCATTCCGATTACATGTGTTGAGTGTTGGTTCGTTGAATAAAGATTAAGTAATCTGTCTTTTCCTCTTCACCTTATTGTGTTGGGCTTCAGTATAGTGGCTTTATCCCACCCTATTGTGTGGTTGTATGTTAGCGGAATAGAAGAATTTAGCTAAATGTAGAATGACAGACTCCAATAAGATCATGCACTAACAATAGGGTGGGATAAAACCACTGTACTGAAGTGTAATATAATTAAGTGGAAGGAGAGAGAGAGAGAGAGAGCGAGAGATTGGTTACTAAATTTTTGTTCATCGAATCTACACCCAACACATATAAGAGAAAGGAGGCAACACCTATACCAGAGATATGGGAAGGTTTACTATGAATAGAAGCAGAGAATAGCATGTGACAGGACTGTCAAAGTCAAATATCGAAAGAAGTCTGGTTACACTGATATGATTATGAGTAGTAGGTTATGCTCGAAATGTGGTTATCAAGTAAATAATACTATATCAATGTGTGTTGTTATAAATCAAATAAACAAATCGAATTGCATTCTACCGTAATGCCTTAGTTTTACACTTACGTTAGTAAAGCATTTGCATTATACGACAATTTTATCACTTGTATTACACCCCAAATTAATGAGATATTTTTTAAACAGTAACTGCATTCTTATCTATTGATACTTATAATTTCTGGTTATTCCGAGCACAAAATAATTACTCATCAGGGTGCAGGTACATGCAGCAGATGAGTCAAAAATAAGATGAAGCGGGCGTCCTAGATTTCACTGTTAGTCAGTTTATAAAAGGGCAAAATTAATAAAATTATTCTGTGCAAATTTTAACGTCAGAATTAATAATAAAATATTTTTGTTGACAAAACCTAAATACTGGTAAACTAGTTGTGGTCAATTTTTAACCGAAAATTGCCTTTAACATTCGTGTGTATTACAATCGACTCTATGAAGTTAAACAGTATTTTAGCTTTCCATTGGACAGTTTTTCATCAAGGTTAACTAACTGTCAGTTTCTAGACAGATGAACTGACATAGACAAGATAAGGCCTGCAATTATTGCATACTCAACCAATTTGCCATACTTAACATAAGCCTATGGAAACGAATCCTAAAAGAGTTAAGATGTAAAAATGAATATTATAATATCGGAATCGTCAGAAAGATAAAGTAAAAAGGGAGGAAATATAATGAAAGCACGTGATAATATGATTTATATGGAGATAATATATGAACGTATCATTACCGTTTCTATCGACTTCTGGTCATATCATTTGAACTGTCTAATTTTCGGTTTAATTTTGTCTGATGCACAGCAACCAAGAAACCTATACATGTCTACACAGCTTAGATCAAAATTAAAAGAAATTTATGCATCAGTGTCATTGCTTGATCTTTCCACCTTGTAATGTTTCTTCGGACTAATCTCTCTCCATGCTTCGTAGGTAGTTATCGTAATCACCGAATTCTATGAAGATTCACAAATTCATTGCCACTTTCTACATCTTTTCTACTGAATATAACAATCATTTTATGTCACTGAAAAAGGTGTGACTGATGTATATCCAAATGAATCTATGAAGTTGAAGATGGTGTAGTTGGATAAAAAAAAAATAGCTATTGTTTTTGTCATAGTTTAGAGATCATAGCTCGTGTAGTGTTTATAGAGTTGTTTTTTTTTAAATTACCATAAGAATTGTAATTATCTATATTACGTAATTCATTATGTAATACAACCAATGCTTCTTTTGTGATAAGCGTGAAAAGTAGTGATATCCATTAAATTGAGTATATGCTACTTCACCAAATTGTTTCACTCTAACTTCTTCCATCACTTTTGATTTTTTTTCTTTTTCTAGACCTATTATTGCCAACCGTTCATCATATATGGGGTTCTTTGATGAAAAGATTTCGAGATAGACATGCTATAGTTGTTGAAAAGGTAAGTTGTATACAATATCTTACTTATATCAGGTTAACTGTACATATTCCTATCTCTAACGTAATCTATTTCTTTAACAATGTCTATTCGTCGAATCTAATCATGAAGATAGTATTAGGTTTGGTCGCATAGTATAAATAATTAAAACTTTGTTTTTTTTCGATAATTGACAGGAGTCGTACAACGCATACGCTTTTGCATATTGTAGTATGTCGTTATCTGATGACTTCCTTCTAAAACGTTGCGTACATTTATAGTCATATAGAGAGGAATTCTTCTGTGTTGTGTGCCCTTTTTTTCTTCTTACACTCTTCATAAACACTGTTAAAATATGAAGTTTATAATAATAATAATAATCATAATAATGACTTTATTCCAAACAACTGTGATACAATGTTGAATTCACAGCATGTTTATGAATCAGTATGGAGTCACGCAACAGTCACCCAACAATCGTGCACCTCACTCTTGGATTAATCAATATTTTTCAGTGGGAAGTATCTTTAGACTCAAAGAAGTATAAGCCTTGTGATACATTTACTTTCGAGTAGTTCATTGACTACGACCTCTAGGAAACTTTTTAAACATGATTTACGTGTGAAACTTTTCAATTGTGGGACTTCCTTCAAGTTAATTCCGAATGTCTAATACTAAACGTCATTTCAAGGTTGGATATCTTCTCTTAGTTGTAACTTTTTATTTATTGCTCAATAAGCTTGAAGAGAGCCATCCATCCATTGGTTGGATTTTAGATATTTTCACTTCATATTTTAAGTAAATTCCTCGTGGGATACTTCAAGATGTTCGCCAAACGTTTTTAGGAACGTTTCGACTTTCTTCAGTCAGAGAATACTGAACAGTATTTTGGAGTTCTTCAGTACCACATAAATAAATATGTATCCCTTCACAGAACTCACAAAGTTGAACTCTTATTCTGATAATGTGGTATTCCGTAATACTCATTTGAATTTCTCTGCATTAGTATTTGTCATAGGTGAATATCCGTCATTGTAATCATGTTTTTGCAATAAAACATTAAAGCTATTATAATGTTCCTTGATTTTAATCGGTTATCTCATCTACCACTAAATAAGCCTTATTGTTTTAAAATAACCCTTAGTATTATATGCCTTCATAATTTCGCTGTGTTCTGCCCTCCTGATTGTTTTAGGCATTTGAACTCTTGACTGTATTGTCTAAAGTTGCTGGAAATTTTATTCGATCACGTGCATCATCTGAGATAATTCCACCATTAGTGATGTTTTTAACACAGGGTGCTTCTGTAAGGTTAGTTGTTATATTTTGTCAGTGTGTTTAACATTCAATTTATATGTTGAATACAAAATTAGCTGATACTTGATACTTGTAATTTCCTGTTCCTCTACGGGGTCTAATTGCTCGATCTCTGTTGGCAGATGCTCTCCTACGCGAACACCTTGATACTGCCAGGTATTCATGATGTTGTACTGCTCTTGGTGATTCATAGTGCAATTAAGGTCGTGCATCTCGTCATATTTGGGACTCGTCAGCCTGATGTACCTGCATCCCAGTCAGTGAAGTTGTTCCCATTGGGACTCGTTCCAAGTACACATCTTTTTGGCGCTTGAAGCGATGCGTGTAGATAGCAAGAGAAATAGAAAGTCGCTGTAGCTGGCAGTAGATCTGCGTGTGTAACTTGGTCTTCCAAGAAATCAATCATAGCGTAGATAATTTATTGTAATCTCACTGATTGCAGTGCTGAAACACAGGTCCATATCTCAAAGGGTTTGTGCGCTTCCTCGACGTAAAAATAGTAATTACGCAACTGATTTACTCGGCTCAAGTTCATGTGTCATGCTTCTTGTGTTGTAAAGGTTCCTAATAATACATGACTGGTCAGGCAAAAGTAGGAACTAGCGTGATTCGAACCTGAGGATCGTTTGTTTGACAGTCGTTTTCGTTAGCGAATGCTCGTGCGTATCTAGCTAGTGATTTTAAGTAAACAAAAATTGTTGCGTACTACTGTCTACTGATTGTGTCTAAACACGGATCGGATCATTATTTTATATCCTTTAAATTATTACTTATGCCACATTCTTTGATAGATGGATATGCTTCGCTAGCCACCTTGATCTAAATTATCACCATTTCTACCTCATGATGACCACATCTTGATTACAAATAAATTTCAGGGGGTATCTAAAGCAGATCATAAGCCTCAAGGCTATAGTTGTTACAAGTGTCTTGAAACAAGTTGAGCGCTGAGTCAGGTTTCTAAACACGCTGAAATTTTATTAAAACTTACTTATATAATGATATCTGAAGCAACTACACTTCAATTTATAAATTTTGAGGTATTCAGCAGAAGTACTTTATATGCAATGAACTACTGGAGATCATGAACCTGTATCCAACAAAGGTTGACACAGTAGAAAAAGAAGCGCTAATTTATCCCTACAAACTCTGATATCATTTAAAGGAAAGTGTCACATCTAATCTCATCAGTTAACAGTAACGCACACTCATTTATCTATCGAGTAAACTCATCAATCAACTCAAGGAAGAGCAAGAGGTTTTTCTGGATCTGCATTCGATCGTTACTTTATCCATTTCTCCTTTCATCTTATTGCTTTCAGCAACTTTTACTGGATTTGTTTCTTACTAACTCTCGGTTTAGATATAAAAGTCGCATCTGGCATTTGCCAACCTGTGCCATCTGTGACACTGGTGAGATATCCGACTATCTATCAGAGGACGAGTACACTGTATTGCAAACCGTCCTATCCTGTTCTTCAACTGTATGGCCATCAAAATTAGGAGACATGGAGTGGTTACAGGGTTTTGATCATAGGTGTCTTCGTAGGATTGCTCGGGCTTGGTGGAATCATTGTGTGAGCAATGTTTAGGTCAGGTGAAGGGTTCTGTGGAAAACAAGCATGTTGACTGAGATGGCTTGGACATGTGTTGCACCTACCGATCCACTACCTACCTCGACGTGCCATGCTAACGGAAGTCAGATAAGGTTGAAAGACAGTTCAGGATGACCAGGTGACGACGTAAAACCAGCCAACGAAGTGGTTAACTGTTATTCTGAGTTGTGTAGGAAAATGTAGGCTGCCTGGCTGGGGTCTGCGAGACGAAGGGAATCAGTGGTTGAGGGACTGACTCTTGGTGACATGGCTAAAAATCGATGGCTAAATCGATCACAATGGAGCAGTTGTATTCACTCCTTGACATCTAAAGCTTGAATACTTGCACTAACCGTTACCTTCAAATTATTTATTCTCTCACACAACTTTGTCTTCTTTGATATCATACATTTTCTCTCTGCTACTGTAATGTGTAGCGACTTGAACCTATTCACCTGTGTGCAGGGTTCTACGTTGACTTTTTCTGACAACTTTTAGCTTATTGTTCCATTTTTTGTTCATCTCGTTACCTTTTATATTGAAATGTGGATGGTAAGTATGACCATATCCTCTTTTTAATTATAACTGATTCACCAGCTGAGATATGCTTCGTTTTCTCTCCCTTTTGGTTTTGTGTTCTATGTTGAATGGTGATTTTACCTAAACTGTTTGACTTCTCACTTGTAATGTTATTTTATTTTCTTTCTTTCTTGATAATAGTGCATCAGCATCGAAGTCGTACAAATACCTCACATCATATCGTGTTCAAAAGCGTTTACTAAAAGAATTGGGACCACTTTGTCGAGAAGTAACTAGAAATATAACCCCTATTTGCCTATCTCATTCAATCACATCTTTTTTATAGATAAGATTATCATCAAAATCATTACAATCAGTAATTAATGTACTTGTCATATATTTAGATGACTCACAACCAGAAGGGTTACAACAGGTGTGTTTGCAGTATATTGTAGTTAAATTAGACTTTGTTAACTAAATTAACTACTCATTGAACAGTTGATATCTTATATGTTTTCTTTCTATTCAACAGCTTATTTGTGATAAAAATAACCAATGGTCTGTAGACGTCATGAGTAGCGATGATTTTTGATGATCATGTATAAATTAGGTGGAATATTGGTGACTGAATTGAATCTCTTCTTCAAAGCTTAAAAGTGTTTGAGATGACAGAAGATCAGTTCTGTTCCAACTTGCACATGTGAATGATGATTGGACCTGGCGGTTTGTGTATGGAAACCTATTGAACATTGAATTGATGTAACAAAGTCTTTTCGGTTGCAAATACTCCTTGAAACAGTTGACGATGAAGCTGTCAATCAGATGAACTAGTACAAATAAGCTTGCACATTATAATATGTACTGATTAGTCACTGGACAGTAATCAATCTCATGTTGTCTAGGCCTAAGTGCATATCTAATTCCATCAGTCTGTTTGTAATGTATTCACAGACCCACGAGACTAGGCAACGGGGTGCACTTTAGTTGATAGTTGGAGGCAAGCTTGTTGATAACACCATACCAGTTGCCTGGAAAAATATTAAAATAGTCTCCGTATCTAGGTCAGGGACTCCAGGCGCAAGTCCGAAATTCCGTCCGATTCAAGTTGTTTCCCAGTACTTGGAAATAATGCAAAAGCTAATGATACCCATTCTCCAACCATCATCAAATGTTTTTGGAGATCCTAATCAATTTGAATATAAAAGCAAAAGAAGCACTCTAGATGCCACAACTGTCTTATATCACATTGTTGCTTATAATGTTAGTAGAAATGTCAAGTTCGTCAGCTGTGCCTTTTGAGACTGAACTTCAGTATTTGATTCTGTCCCAATACCTCTTTTGCTGGACAAGCTAGCGGGGACAAATACTGAGTTCCGGATAATCAGTTGACTGTAATCTTATTCCTCTGAAAGGACACAATATACTCTTCACAGAGGGAAGCGCTCCACCTCACTTCTTACTGAAGCTGGTGTTCCCCGAGGTGCCGTTCCTTCCAACAGTCTTTTTCTTTCTGTATGACTAGCCATCTTCAGCCAGTATCAATTTTATTAAATATGCTAATGACCTGACGGTTCCAAAACCTGTCTCCTCTTCCACAGATTGTTCCCACCTGAATGATTGATTTCCCATCGAATGTTAGACTATGGGTCCTGTGTGAATGGTCTTGTGCTTAATTCTTCAAACTGTCAGACAATAAACTTTAATTGCAGATGTGAATGTAACCTATGTAAACTGCTTGGTTCTCGTGATTCCTGTTCTATTGATAGTTGTGCATGAGAGAATGTTATCTAAATGTATGTTTTTCTGCAGACGTTTTTTGATCCTCCTACATCTTACTCATTTCCGAAAGGATCTCCCACCTAACTTTCTACATTAGGAAGCTGAGAGTATCTGGTATAAATGAGTGTCTTCTCTAGTGTTTTATAAACTCTTGCATCTTGCCTATTCTCCTCTATTGTCCCTCTTTATTATTTTCTGAGTTGTAGAAGAAAGACTATGCTGTGTTTGTGGAAAGGTTATCAACATAATTATAAAATTGAAAAACTTTCCATTGATGTGCAGTTCAAATGTGGTCGATTGAACTTTTTCCACGTTATTTTTTTTCCATTTGTGGTATACTTAGTAAGGACGTATGTGTGATATATCTACCTTTTTGTGATTTAGAGCGTTAATATAGATTTTCAATTGTATTGTATAAATTACTGGACAATTCTCTTTCATTACATAGGCTTCATTTTCTAGCATCGAAACTATGTGGTCCCTTGATGCTGGAAGCACCTGGGCTGTCCTTATCAGTCATCTTACTGATTTAGAATTACAAAGTTTATACTGCCAAAAATTAGTGAAACCATTTGAAATGATACACGTAAGTGCCTTTATATAATTTTGATATATTGTGTGTCAAGGATGGCGTAGTACTATGTGCTGTCTATCAGAACATACTCATTTACTGTGCACTAATTCTTACTATCTTCCCCTATAGCTGTGAAAAATGATCCTTAAAGATGGAGGACTTAAGAATGCTTCAGATGTTCGATATCTGTTTTCTTCGCGACATCACCAATTGCGTGTTGTTGAGTCATTGTATGCCCTCTACGTATGTTATTCGTGAAGTATTAGGTAACTAGGGTAGATCATTTAATCATTCCGTAAGCCTTCATGCGTTATGCATATCCAATTAACATGTATCCTAGTAGGCTTATTATGTAGATGTAATCAAACCAAAGCATATCACAATCCATAAAGTCACTCACTGTTGATTTTAGCAGTGTATACAGATATAGACTTCATGACTGAGGTTCGCTGGAAAACGCGAATCGATGTTTGAGAATTCGAAACGACGTCTCAAAGTGGATGGCAAAAGCATTTCCCTCATGTCTTCACTAAAGAAGTAATATTTATCTTTCTTCCCTTTATCTTCCTTTTGGATAGGCAGTGTAGCGAAAGTTGTTCCATTACTCTTTTATATGAATTATTATGCTCAATGCTATCCATTTGCTTTATGCAGTTTTACGGAAATAATTTTACGTATTTCTGTATAAGGGTTATTTATATATTCTCTTTTTCTTTCCAAGATTCCTTATCGTCATCATAACTCATCAGTAGCACGAAAGGGAAAGAATTTAAAACTAAAAAATATCTCTGTTCTCCTGAATAGGCTGCATGGAATTTGTGCTGAATAAATTTACCAAGTGGTTTGAACTAATCTACTCTGTTTTTAATCATTTCTAATGATGTGTAATCTTCCATTTTCTTCGCTTCCTGTTTATTTGATTACATATTTTGTAGATAAGAAAGTGATTATTGTAATTTAATGATGGTTATCATTATTATTTTTAATAAACCATTACTGAACATATGTATCATCACGTTTTTCCGTTTATTTTAGTTAATTTGATGTATTTCATTACTATTTGTTGGTATGCTTGTAATTCTCCGTTGTTTTACTGGATCGAGTTGCTCGACCTTTATTAGCATATAAGTTCTTATCCAGATACCTCAATATTGCCTGAATATGGGATGAAACGCGTGTCCTGGATTCTTCTGCCAGCTACACCCAAGTAAATTGGTGAATTTCAGTTCGTCTGGTTATCAGACAGCGTTTTGAAGAGTATATCAATGCTGGTCTCCACAAGAAACCGTGAAGTAGTAACCCTGCATGTACCTCAAAATCTTGTGTGGCAATATTGATTGTTTACTCAAAAAGTGATATCATTAAGATAGGTTTTGCTTAGAGTTACCTTGTTAGTTCTTTAATGTTTTTCTAGTTATCAACTTTTTTCTTTGACGTCTCATCACCAGGTTAGGTGACTTCATCAGCACTTGTTTCATACAAAAGTGAAGTTTGGGTGTCTGTTTAATATATCATCCTTGCCGACTTTGAGCGTTATTGGCCGATGGATAGTCACGGTTTTTATTTCGTTTTCTTTAGACCACAAGTTAACCTTTATAGCTATTGTGATCATCTCATTATAAATTTACTCGATCAACTTTCAGTTGGCTGCTCGATTCTTATTAGTCCACATACTGAGTTACTGTATGTACCTGTTGACTAAAATACCATGCTCTTTGTGAAAAATTTCTTTCCGTCGTCCCAGTTAAAGTTGTGGTTGTGCCCATCTACGTACATCGATATCAGTGATGATACAGGAAATCTCGTCTTCTGTAGGTACTGAATCTTTCCGTCTTCATATGGGACTCGGTTTATTCTCGTACTAAATCTGTAATAACACAGGTGAACACTAGTGTATCTAGATTTTAAGCGTCAATCAGGCTGCAGTAAACATGCAATGATATGACGCGACTTTGATTTTCACTCTCAAGGCCCGGCTATACATAGACTAGGCTTAGGTTTCTGTGACTGTTGTATACTGCAGTGTGCAATATTACTGTCCATATCGTTGGGGAGAAGACTAACGCTGTTCACAGTTAGTCAAAGTGTCCTAAACGCTTTTAGAAGCGACACATGATTGGACATGTAGATATCAGATTGGTTGATGAGGGGAGGTCAGTGGAGAATGCTCTTCTAGACGGGACCAAACATGATTAAAGTCAGTGTGAATAGGTGGGATGGCCACATTTCGCATCTAGTTAAATTGGCCGTACACCTTCTGTTGTCTTACCAACCTTCCTCCCTTTCAAGAAAAGACCAACCATCAAGGGTAGGGTTAGAAGGTTATTGCGTAAGCGCTCAGAGGCCTATTTCGGCATATCGCTTTATGCAGTAGTTACTGATGTGTGATACTCCACAACACGTATGCGTCATAAGAATTGGAAATACAGTGCATTTATCTGAGGGTTTTGAGCTGATCGTGTGATCCAGTTTGAGTGACCAGTGTAGACTTGGTATCTGGTGTTCAGCATGCATTGGTATGCGCACCCGTTAGGTAGGTTAACTTGCAGTGCTAACCATACTTTGTCACAAATTTCCTTATTCCTTGAGTGTTTGATGTTCCCCATTGACTTTTATTGAACTATGTATAACTTTCAGTATGCTTGTTTAAGTTAGCCAACTTAACTTGCCCACCAAAGTGCTTACAATGAACACGTTCTGCTACTATCCCCGCTTTCTTGTTTAGTGTTCAGTTGATTATCCATGGTAAATCGTTCTGAGCGTTAGCTATAAGCATGGGACTAACGAAGTCTTACAAAAATATCGTTGTGTCTGCTGAACCAACAATATCAATAAACAGCTCTGTCAATCTTAACGTTTTCGATTTGTGTGTTTGTGATTCTGTTATGTAGACATCCTATTCAAATATGTATACTCATCACAAATCTTCTCGGTTAGTTAGAGTCGCCATGTTACCATCCTTGGATGGAAGCCGGCTACGAGTCGGGACCCCACTAGACTAAATGCACGCCGAGGGAATCATTATGGGGCATGTGTTACTCTCAGAGATGCCACAGCAAGAGAAGAGTCAGTTTTCACTCACTTCGTTGATGGAATACCATAGTGTTCGCCGAACACATCGCCAGAGGGTGCTATCGGACAACATCGCAGATATCATGCAGAAGATGATTGACAAATCCGTGATTCCGCTAGCTGTGCCATACTCATTTCCACAACCGATAACTGCTACCTTAATGTGGTGGTCAGACTTGGATATTACAACGAGCTATGCTGGTTGAGTGCTCGTGCCCTTGAAATCCAACTATGCCACCAAGGTCTGTAAGACAGAAGGCAGTTACCCCTTTATTGCAATTCGCTGCACTGTGATAAGGGTCTGCGTGCAAAGTCGTGCTGCTGCTAGTTGGATGAGGTAAGACAGTAGTAAGATGTTTCCTTTAGATTTCCAACTGTGCTACGCTGATGCTGCTATCCAAGTAGAAGGAAAAATTTAGGATAGATCTCCCGGTGGTATGGTTCCTCTCTAGCCTGCGTTCAAACAACCACACTCGCAAGAGGCTGTGTGTTACATACCTCATGATTCATAACTAAATGTGTGCAAATAATACAAGGGTACAGGATCTGTAATGTATGATATATCAAATTATTCAGATATGCATCGATCACTTCTCACGAAATTTTTTTCTTCTACACTACTGTTTTCATGGATTGTTCCTATGGTCTTTGAAATGAGGTAGTAGTGTAGAGATTCGCCACCACTTCTCAGTATCACTGATATGATCTTAAAGAAACGCATATAAAATCTGCAAACCCATACGGAGTCCTATTGAATCCCCTGCCAGTCATACCTTTAGTAATATTAGGGGACTAATATATTGCGGCTACAAGCATCACACTTTCAAATGTGGGGAGAACTACATAGTGCTTTACACGATACAGTTTATTATATTAGTACAAAATAAGATTTGGCAATTAGTTCGATTCAACCTCTCATATGACAAACTTGTGTCGTTTAGTACGACGCAGCTGTATACAGAATTTCAAAAGATCTGCATATTTTGGAGCAAAGTCTTCGATTTTACCAACAGGGCTCGGAATATTTCACCCACTAACCACAGCATTATGGGACCGAATGGTAGACGCAAGATACCGGAAGTCAACCTGAAATGAATGAACGGACTTTATAATGCTACCATGGAAGTTGAACTCTGCATTAAAACACCCTTTTTTCTTTCATACATAGCGATGGCTTGTGAATCTTGGGAATGGCCATTCCTAGTGGTCTCTATGAAAAATGTTAAAGACAGCTCAGGCAATTCCACCACCAAACAGTCATCCCTGCGAAAGCTGGTCTCATCAGTGAAATGATTATGATCCACCACTTTCTGATATGAGATATTTGATTATCGTTTGGATTTCGTTCACATTTGAAGATGTGACATGTTTATCCGCCCATGTTAAGATGTCACATACATTGGGTACTGATGGTGGAATTTTCTGCGTGATGGTTTTCGTATAAGACATGTATTTAGAGAACGGTTTTTAACAATTTCACTTATGCTCTTTCGTATGACATAGCATTGAGGGCAAGATTTCGAAAAATTATGATATTGCTAAAGCCTAACGTAGGCGGTGTTGTGAACGGGTTCATGTGGAAGATAATCATAGGAACGTCTCCGGTGGTGGAAGGATAAGTGTTGTGTGTGCACGAGACTGTGAGCTGTTGCCACGTCAGCTTGATTACAATAGACATCGAATTTTGTTTACTTTGTTGCTTCATAAGTATCGCCATTTAATTTTCAACGGAAGGACGAAGTTTGTGATCAAGCAAAAGTGAGGCTAAGAGAAGCCAGTAGGAGAACGCGCTGATGAGCCGTGAGTGGAGAGGCGATCGGATGAGAAATCTGCTCAGGTTTCTGCGTTTGACGGGTGACAAACTGCGATAAAAAGTTTGTTGGTGGTTGTATCAAGGCGTCCCACTCACCCGTTGTTTTGTGCGTGGTAGCGAATAGTACGGGTTTCCTGTGTACCAAAGCTGTTGCGGATTCGGGCTGAGTTCACTTTCGAACACTACATCTTAGTCACAATACAAAGGTGTTACAGCAACAAGTCAATGAAGTTTGTTGCCAATGGATGGGTGGGCAACATTAGTGGCCTCCTACCTTCGTAATGGTCTAGCTATGCGCCGTTCGGTGAAGTAGTCAACTATCAAAATGCAATGGGACCCAACTTTGGTACTGTTATGCTGCACCTTCCTGGCACCAAAATCTAACTAGGGCTAAAATAAATAGTTTGAATTAAATTAACTAAACACATCTCTAGCTTGCCTCAGGATGCTCAGGGTGTTTTAAGTTTTGTTTTAACAAGCATGCATCCTAGCAGGCTTGGACGCCACTTTGCGCACCATTAGGCTGATTACCACGCACGTACTCCGAGTCCGTAGTTCAGCCTCACAGGCCAGATAAGTTGGTTACACTTTTCCCCCACTCATTATTATTACATTTACTTTAATTAAATACATAGCTCCTTCAAATACATTTCATATCAGTTCTTTTGATTTGTGTTTTGTTATCAGTACTTACACGTTAGGTAAAGTACTGGTTAAGCAGGTTCCAGAGCACATCAAGTTAAGTGGGGTTGATCAAACGTTGCGGAATTGAAACATGCTCCCCTACGCTGTGATGGATCCTTCGATATCCATAGACACCTGATTGTGTGCATCTATGCTCATGAACAAAGGGGGAGCTCTCGATACTTGTTCATGTGACTCTTATCCAGTGAGTACATCAAGGTTTCGTCAGAATTCGTTTATCTTTATGAGCAGATGGTCAATAAGAATCGTTATCGAATGACATGTTCAGTTTGCATTACCTGACGTGGCCGAGTTGTTGATGAATTTGTTACTTCCTCCAGAGTTATCATACGCAGAACTAAGGGGCATGGTTGCAATGAAAGTCCCGTTGTGATCAAAACTTCGCTTATCAACCGTGGCTTACAGAAGTGCGGCTCCTTGAGTTTGAATTAACATGCAGTCTTATTGTTGATGGCTTTAAATTACCGTGAACTTGTTGCAAATAAATAGGTTGGATATCTACATCAGCGTCCTCCCTTAATGTCCACCTCCGCACTAATTAGGTTGATAAAGCTGGGGGAGTCGATGTATAGATGAAACAGAATGTCTGCGTCTGCACACTGACGTTCAAAGCTTCATGTACAAGTGAAATCAAATTCTTACACGGATTCTTTGTAGCATCCCTCTGGTTCACCAGGCGTTCTAAGCCAATGTGATGCATGGTTGTTTGTGCGAGCTTGAAGCACCTGACGAGATGTTTTCCAAAAGGTTGTAATAATTTTACCATAGTTGTCTTGTCTCTTCGCCGGGGAACAGCGTGCCAGCAGTTTGCCTGGTGTACCACTGGTATGCGGAATAATGCGGCGGTGCGGGTGCGTTTGCATCCCAACAGATTCACCAGCTTCTGGAAGGTAACGGATTCGAACTGTTGGCCTCTGTCGGTTGTCACGGTGGAAGGGCATCCAAACTGTGAAACCCTTCCTTCGACGAAGACCCGACTTACTGTTTCGGCAGTAATGTTAGACAATGGGATGGCTTCCGGCCAGAGAGTAAAACCTATCGACACATGTCAGTGGGTGGCGATATCCAACGGAGGACGGGAGCGGGCCGACAATGTCTTAATGGACATAAGTGAATCGTGAGTCCGGTTTGGCGAAAGTTCCAAGTGGTGGGATGCTGTGGCGATTCATCTTGGAACGTTGGCACTGAATACAGGACAGTGTACAGTTCCGAACATCACGGTTAATATCAGGCCAAACAAACCTAGCAGATATCAGTTTGTCAGTAGCAAGAATACCAGGATGCGGCAGACTACACGGAGCACCAAAAACATGCTTACGCAAGGGAAAAGAAGCAACTGGTCTGGGTGTGCCTGTGGAGATGTCGCACTATATTGTCCCTTCACTGATCAGGGGCGGTAAACGCCGCACCTTCAGAGAGGTTGAGTGTTGAATTTTTTCAAACTCATATCGTCTGAATCATGAAGTTCAGCAATCTTCCGTAAGTCGACTGCTGGAGGTAAAATAGTGGGGCGAACGCGAGACAACACGCCTGCGACGGGGTTATTCACACCGGAAATGTGGCAGATGTCCGACGCGAATTGCGAAATATATTCTAAACGATCTAACTCACGTGGTGAGTATCTGTTAGTGGTGGTGCTCAAGGCGTTAGTCAGAGGTTTGTGGCTGGTAAAGATAATAAAATCACGGCCTTCCACAAAGTGACGGGCAATTCCCTGCCAAAGTTGCTGTACCGCGTTTAGCAGGCAGATAGCTTCCAGGAGAAGAATGCGAGCGGGATCCAAGCGTGATCCGAAGATTGTTGCAACACAGCTCCAATGGCCGTGTTAGAGGCGTCAACCGCAATGCTAAGAGGTAGGTTTACGTCTTGATGTACCAGCATCGTGGCGTCTACTATTGCGGTTTTGATCTTGCGAAATGCTTCTAGTGCCTCAGGAGTCAAGCTGAAAATTTTACACTTACTTTCCAGCAGGTCGGTTAGTGCGGTCAAAATGTGAGCAAACTGAGGGACGAAACGCATGCACAGCTTTAAGCGACGCTGGAACTGGGAAGTCTTGGATCGCCTGTACCTTTTCAGGTAGTGGGTGAATGCCTTGCTCGTCGATAACGTGTCCCAAACATTTCAGTGAACGAACGCCAGTCTGGCATTTGGCTAGGCTGACTGTCATCGAATGCTCTGACAGTCTGGCGAAAACCTGTTTCAAGTGGTTAATATGAGTGTCTTCGTCTGGACTAGCGATTAGTATATCGTCTAGGTAGGCATAGACGAAATCGAGTCCACGTAAAACATCGTGAATAAAACGTTGGAAGGTTCGTGCTGCGTTGCGAAGACCAAAGGACATGCAAAGAAACTTAAAACGACCAAACGGTGTAATGTAACATCGTCAGGATGAACTGGGATTTGACGATATGCACGCGTCAAGTCAAGTTTACTGAAGGTAAATGAGCATTTTATAGGTGCAGTCAAGTCGTGTATGTGAGGGACGGGGTAACGATCTGGAATCGTCTTAGCGTCGAGCCCTCGGTAGTCACCACAAGACCCACAGTCTGTACCATTGTTCTTCAGTACCACGTGCAAGGGTGAAGACCATGGACTGTTGGATGGTCTGATTATTCCCATTTCATGCATGTGTTCAAACCCGGCTTTTACAGCGCGCAGTTTCTCCGGGGATAATCGTCGTGGTTTCGCAAACACTGGCGAGCCAGTCGTCGTTATGTGGTGAGAAACGTTCGAAGTCACACAAGGAACACAACGACTTGGCTTAAAGACATCCAGAAAGAACTGAATGATAGAAGCGTAGGGACTAGAAGCGTCCGTCGTGGATTGCACGGGACTGAGGGGCGGCGTCTTTGTGACTATACTGGAAACAGAGAGTGTTGTGGTAGAATCTATCAACTTATGCTTGCCAGCATCTACCAGCAGCTGATAGTGCTGTAAGAGATCCATACCAACAATACTGGTAGTCACATCCGCCACTATGAAAACCCAACCAAAGGAACGACGCAATCCAAGGTTGAGGTCGAGGAATCTCCGACCATATGTTGTGATGGGCGAACCGTTGGCGGCACGAAGTTGCAGAGACATTGGCCGCAGAAGCCCTTCCTTCGTAAATGGGATGACGCTAGCTTCTGCCTCAGTGCCAACTAGGAAGCGTATCCCGGAATGTCGACCCGTGACGAAGAAGAGGGGACACGGAAGTGGCTCACCAGCGACGTTAGTCGCCGTCACGTGCCGGCTCACGTTTCCCTCCTGGCTAGCCCCGAAAGGTGTAAGGTCGAGTGCACTTTTTGGCACTGGCACCATAACGTTTGTGGTACCAGCACAACCTAGGTTGGGATTGTCGCGATTTGGAACGCCTGCTACCGGTACATGAGTCAGATCTGTTGCGCGAGCGAGACGTGCGACCGTCGGAAGAACTACCTCCTGATGCTGCACAACTCATACAATTTCGGGATATAAGCTATACCGTCTAAACTTGTTGGCTTACTTGCTGAGGTAGGGCACGAGCCTTTAGACGAATCAGTGGCAGTAGACAGTGCAGCTGAAATACTAGTGTTGGGCTTCGTAGCGTCCACAGATCTGTCAGCCGCTTCCGCCAGTCCTATTAAGGGACACTTATGGAAGGGTGCAAGGATCCCTTGAACCGCCTGCGGTAACCTCTGTAATCACAGTTGCTCGAGAAATGCTCCATCAGATTCTGCTTCATGCTTCATCTGACAAAGCAGCTGAGTAGGCCTGTGGTCACGCAGATGCACATCCCTGAAACGTCCTTGCACTTTCTGCTGATCAGCACGTGCAATGCGTTTGATGCGAGCGGTTCTGAGGTTATCGTACAGTTTGGGTGCTTGTTCGTCTTGCATCCCTGAAACATCTTCGCTCACATTTTCCGGCAAGCTGACGATTACTTAGTTGGACTTAGTTTCTTCTGACTGAATGTATCTCAAGGCAAATTGAGCTTCCACGTGGTAGGACTATGTGGTTTGTCTGTGCACCTAGAAGGATGAAGCTGAAGAGTTATTGCCATCTGCACAGTCTAGACGTTGTCACCCATTGACAAGGGGTCCAACGAGGCAGGATGCTGATAATAACAAAATTGCACTGTAAAAAAACCAACGGGGAATGTGACAAAAAATGTTAAAAGCCGTGCCAAAAATAAAAACAGAACAAATGAGTCGATGTAGGATGAAAAAAATACTGGTCAAAGTAAGGAATTACACTGTGGGTCACCAACTGCAGCGGGTGTGTCACTATTCCGTGACGTTCGACCGACCCTACTCTAGTGCCTGCTTAACCAGTATCTCACCTAACGTGTAGGCACTGATAACGAAACACAAATCAAATGAATGGTTCGGGAATATATTTGGAGAAGTAATGTATTTAATTAGAGTAAATGTAATAGTAATAAATAGGGGGAAAGTTTATTCACTTTATCTGGCTAGTACATCTGAGCTAGGGGCTTTGATTACGTGCCTGCTAACTAGCAGTAAGGAAGTGCAAAGTGGCCTCCAAGAATTCTCGGATGCATGCTCTTTAAAAAAACTCGAAACGACTAAAGCATTCGGATGCGAGGTAGAGGTTTATTTAGTTAATTTAATGTATTTATTCTTGCCCTAGTTGTACTTTGCTGCCAGGGAGGTGCATATCTTTGCAACCCTCTTCGCCTTACTTGGGTGTAAGTAGATAACTACATTAGCTCACTTCCTTTCTCTCCTTTTACCCACACAAATTCACATATATAGGTTTTCTCTTCATTATCCGTAACCCTCTCTAGCGACCAGTCCAAACAACTGTCTGGGTACTCGAAATCTGAAGAAGCCAACTGCATTAAAGTCCAAGGTAAACAAAGCAACACTTAACTTCCTGTTCTTTAACTCAGAGCTGTAGCAGACGAGTGGCTGGATCTACTGCGTTTGAGGCCGCCAAAGACCTGGAGCCGTTCCGCCAGACCAAGAAGCGAGTGCGAAGAAATCAACTGGTTTACACAAGCCTTTTGAAAAGATATTAGATATTGGATAATCACCTTGGGAAATATATAAGCATAACTTTGCCCTGGCATTATGTCTATTCATTCCTCAAATTTGGATACAACTTATTTTCTTTTGTTATGTAATCATGAAGACTGGGTCTACATTGTACATCGGACGAGCCATCTTGGTTTAGATCGTCCTTGAAAACAGCTAATTTGCTTAGGTTTGGTGAGTTGTTTTGGTCACGCATAACATTTTCAGATGCTGTTGTCAGGTCTAAGGAAATTCTTCCGTAGAAACTTTGTTGCTATATTTGCACCATCCTTTACAGCATATATAATCTACCTTGATTACAAAGCTTGCCAAAGGTACAAAGTAAGGTCTCAGGGTATCGTATCATTTTTATCAATAGGAAATAAACCGTGAAAATGCTGAGCCAGTCGTCTAAGATCACTAAGTGGCGTCGCCCCATCATTTTTGGTGTGTCTTTCCTGGCAGGAGTTACAATTTCTCTCACTGTTTTGTGTTCACTAAAAGGAAATGATCGATTGAAAGGTAAAACTGCACTCTATCGGAACAGAAAAGTCCCTCCTGGTGAAGATCCTTGGAAATACTGAAAAAATGTGTAGATTTAGTATAAATACACAAATTTAGGAGTTGAACTGTCTTCTATATTCTTGTATTTGTGCTCATGTAATCGTTTTGTCTCTGGTTATCTTTTTGCAGTGTGCTATGGAAGACTCTTCTAGAAGGATGAATCATGAAGACGACTTGAAAAACATTGAGTTCGAGACCTCGGAGAATATCGAGGTTATTCCGTCTTTTGACTCGATGTGTCTTCGGGACGACCTTCTGCGTGGGATATATGCCTACGGTAATTTCTTTCGTTACTTTATATGTTTTACCTCAGGATTTGAACGTCCTTCTGCTATTCAACAGAGAGCTATAAAGCAGATAGTAAAGGGACGAGACGTGATAGCTCAGTAAGTGTTTCTCAAATTGTCTAATACCTTCAGAGCACAATCAGGAACGGGGAAAACAGCAACATTGGGCATATCCATTTTGCAAATGCTGGATACCCAGCTACGAGAAACCCAAGCCTTGGTTTTATCTCCAACTCGAGAACTAGCGTCACAAATACAAAAGGTGATCCTTGCTTTGGGTGACTACATGAATGTACAGTGCCACGCTTGTTATGGTGGTACTAACATTGGAGAAGATATCCGAAAGTTAGACTACGGGCAGCACGTTATATCTGGGACTCCTGGTCGTGTATTTGGTAAGTTGATTTTCATGTCCGACTTCGGTTTGCAACGTGTTTTTGTGTATGAAGAAAACTATTATCTCACCTCGATGTCCCATGCTTAGGAAAGTTGGATTAAGTTTGAAGAGAGTTCAGAGTGGCTAGGCAAAGACATTCTGAGTCATTGAGTTCTATTACTGTTGTTATGAGTCGTATGGAGGATGTAGAATGCTTTAATGGGGTCCCCGAGACTAAAGGAATCAGTAGTTGAGGCCCCTTGGTGTCATTGCTGAAATCGGCCGCAGTGTCACAAATGTATCCACACGTTGACGCCTTCTAAGACCTGAGTATCCACACTAACCTTTATTTTCAGGTTGTTTTTTCCCACACGACTTTATCTATTCTGTTATCACTTTTCTATCCACATGTTCTCTGTGCACTATCGTAAAGTGAGCAAATGGACCTGTGTGCGAGGTTCTCCGTTGATTTTTTTACTTTCGCAATGTCGTACCACCTTTTCTGTTTTTTTGAGGAACTAAGGGACTATCAAGGGTTGAGAATGAAGGTTTTTGTTCAACCTTCCATACTTTTATATTGATTGACACTTGATGAAAAGAAAAAAGTTTCACAACGAAAGGTGTTGGACGTCAATTGTCGTGATGCTTTATAGCAAATATACTCTTAGCCGTTTGATAATACTCTTTTTGTACTCAGCATTGGACATGAATTTTCAGTCGAATAAGTCTAAGCTGTCCTAGATTTACGATTAGGCACCACGTACTGTCTTAGTATATTGAAGTCTAATTGATCCATGTGATAATCGCCGTATTTCTGTCATGTAGACTGAAATCATCAGTGATTGAAGTCAGTCTGGAAGAATTATCTCTATACTTCAATTAATTCAGCAATTAGTTTATTAATTCTGGACACGCTTCTCTGAATACTTCACAGTAGCTCGTCATAACCTATTTCCCTCCACTTTTTTAGCTACACTCATACTTAGGTAGGAGCTAGGAGTGATTACACAGAATTTTCCGAGTCTTTGCTTTATAATGTGTAAATGGAGGATGTCAACGAAAACTAAATGAAATCTCAACCTTTTAGGGAGGTATATTGTCCGATTCGACAAAAGGTGTGGATGTTAAGTAATCCCGCATGCAATCGGTAGACTTGTGGTAGACTGTGAAAGACACTATTTTTTAGAATGCAGTTGCTACCACTGGTCTCATAAAGTTGGGAGACCAGTAGCAATGATGTCAGTAATTGAAAGGCATGAGGATAGAGAGAGAGTCTATGATAATTGAGTAGATCTTTTGATCGCTCACATCGTAGTACCTTGTCTTTTTGAAGTATCCGAAACAAATATATTCGACTCAAGTTCTTTTTGGAAGTTTTTAGTTTCGGAGTGTTTCACTTATCCCTTAAGGTAACCTCATCACCAGTGTATGCCATTTCAGAATATGTGTGAACCATCCTTGTGTTTGTGGCCGTTTCATCTGTATTTCTTAGTAAGAGTAATTCCTTTTGTTTAGCCTAAATCCGGAAATACGTGTGCGACCAATGCACAACTAGACCTGAATTTAGTTTCCATCTGCTGCAGTGCAAATTACTAATGTAAATCAATAGTAACACACCATCTGTTATTATGGCATCTCTAAATAAAAAACCTTGAACTCATCTGTTCCCGCCGGTCACATATCAGATTTCTATAAATGAAAAGGTAATTTCGTTACAGCCAGAATTCCAACATAAAAATAATTGATTATAGACGCTGAGTTACCTAGCTGTTCACTTTTAATTACTTAGGTGTCCATTTGAACCTGAAATATTTTTCGGTTGGCGCAACTTAACATAATTGTTTTTCGAATCAATCATTTTCAGATTCACGCGGTACCGCAAAAGTAAGAATCCATCACATGTAGACTTTATATATAGCATTAGGACAGCTTTTGTTATCTGTAACTAGCCTTTCAAAATATAGTAATCTGTTGCGTTTTACGTGTTTTTCTCTAGACATGATACGTCGTCGCAGTTTGCGAACAAGGGCTGTCAAGTTGTTCGTTCTAGATGAAGCCGATGAAATGTTAGACAAAGGTTTCAAAGAACAGATCTATGATGTTTATCGATATTTGCCTCCTGGTACACAAGTTGTCTTACTGTCAGCTACTATGCCTCATGAAATTTTGGAGATGACGTCAAAGTTCATGACTAACCCTGTTCGAATTTTGGTCAAACGGTAAGCTTCAACCTGTTTTTAAATAGCGTTAGTAAAAAGTTAAGGCACAGTAATTAAGGTATTTTGATGAAATAGAATTCGTACAGAGTCAAAATTAGTTTATGTAAGTTTATGAGCTATCCGATGTATTCAACGTATACAGCATTTGATGGAGCTTTTTGGTGTCACAGGTATCCATTTCTTTGAACAAGAACTCAATACTTGGTTTAAAAGTATAGAATTTTTTGAACTGTTTCAACCACTCACTTTTTCTGGAGTTAAGGAAAAGAATAGTTAAATTGGATCAAGACTCGCACCACTCACGATTCTCCGAATTCATCTACTTAACAGTTTATTCTCCATAGAGTAATTCAGCAGCTCTTCTGACTAAATAATTGGTTGTGGCAACGAAGTGTTTTTTTGATTAACAACCAGTTTTTACTTGAAACATATAAGCTAACGTATGAATGAAGACTACAAGAAACCAACCACAGAAAAAAGTGATGATATACAGATATCGTAAAATGATAACAGGATCTACCAGGAATAAAGGTTATTAAAAACTAGCAATAGAACCCAGGGAAACTTTGTTATTCTTCCAAGAGTTTATGTTTCCCAGGAAATTAGAATGTAAACGACTAGTAACATAAGCACTCAGTAAAAAACCACACCTGATTTGCAGTAATGTTACATGACCATTCAAGCCTCATTCGGATGTAAACCCAACGTGCTGCGTGTAATTCAGCAATCACATGGAGTTTCATACACTAAGGAATAAGATACACCTGTTGTGTGGCAGATGAACCAAATCAGCGTAGAACCTCGCACAAAATGCATCGGTTCAAGTCGCCCCGCTTCACAATAGCATGCAAAGAAGAAGTATAAAGAGAAAGAGTGATATTAAGGTAGACAAAAGTCTGTGCCAGATTAAGGGATTTTAGAACATGAACGTTAGTGAAAATGTTCTTACTTTAATAGACGTCGAAGAGTAAACTACATTTTTGCGCCATTTGACCGATTTTCGACCATTTCACCAAGAGTTCACAACCATTGATTCCTGTTATCGCGAGGTCCCAATCAGACAGCCTGCACCTACCACCTGCCTACATGACTGAGATTAGTGGTCAAAGACTTAACAGACTGGTTTCACATTTTGGTCTCGCCAAAACATAGGTTGTTTCATGTGAGTTAACACTGACCTAACAAAGCTGAAGGACTCAAGTCCTAAAGTGTTATAAACCACCCAGGTCAGCCAATCTTTCTCCTTCTAAGAATGTAGGTGAGACTGTAGTCAGAGGATTGCCTTAATTGTTTGGAAAGGTATGGAAAACTGAGTATTCCTTCACTCTGAAGTGAACCCATTATTGTACCCATCTCCTAAGGTGGTCTTAGTAATCTATATGATAATCACCAGGGTATCAGTTTGCTCCCTGTGGCGTCTAAAATGTTGGTTGCTACCATACTTCTCAGGATTTGCAAAGCGCATCAAAATCTCATCCATGAAGAGCAGGTTGGGTTTCGTTCGAGTCATGGATGCATTGATCACATGTTTGTGGAGATGACTTACAACCACTGGGTTGCGTGTTCGAGCCCCGCCCCCACCTACAGAAGTTTGGGCAGCTAGGTAGCATCATTACCCCCCCCCCCATGCAATAGATGTGGCTCATTGCCTACTGCACAGATGCGCAGAGAGTAGCTGATTGAGTTTCGTCCGATCACGTGTTAGCCCTCCATTAGATGATTAAGCATCGTCGCATGTATTGCAGGGCAATGATCGTCGTATTCTTCAATATTGGGACAGTGCTGTGGTCTAGAAATATATTTTGGAGTAAGGTGTCCCTGAGGAGTTTGTTGTCATTTTAAAAATTCTATGCATTGACACCAAGTAGGGTGGATGCATGGAGTCACCCATCTCCTTTGTTCCGAACAGTTTATGCGGTAAGTAAGGCTGCTGGTTTTAGCTATTCTTTGCGAAAGCCGCCATCAGTAACATTCTAGAAACAGCCCTAAAGGAGATGCGTAGTGGCGGTGTAGGCTTGTTACTATCTTGAAAACTTTTCGATCTTGAGTATGCGGACGATATCGTTTTACTGTGAGACAACATACAAGCTACTCAAATCGGGCTCAGTTAGTGTCCATTATTACGTTATGTGGTTTTCGCTATCAAAGCACTAAATGCTTTTGCAAATTGTCAGAGGCTTGTGTCCTCACTCACCGTTGATGGTGGGCCGTTGAAATTCGTCAAAAAGTTTGTGCTATGAATGCTTGTGGAAGTATGATAGTAAATTTCCATTCGTATATCCAAAGCCACAGTGATGTATGCCAGTCTGGATCGCCATTGTCGTTGTCATGAGGTTAACCTTGTTGTAAGAGACTTGTACAACGCGTTGATGCAGGCGAATCTGCTCTGTACCAGGGAAACTTGGCATCTCCGAACTGAGGATATACGATGACTCTCCGTTTTCGAACTCCATCTCAGCAGGAGTGCTCGCATCCGGTGGAAACATTATGTCAGTAATTCTGAGGTAAGGCAGCTCATGTTATGGCGTGATGGACATTGTCATTAAATGAGCGTGGTCATCGTGAAACACTGGCTTCAGTGGTTCGGACGCGTTACTCGTGTCATCCACGACACTACCTGCTGATCACTTGCTCTGACACTGGTTAGAATAAGTGAAGAGACGGCTAGTGTATAAAGTGGAGCTGTGGGATAAAGGGAAGTTGTTTTAGGTTAGCATTTGTAGGTGCTTTAGGACCACTTGGACTAGGTTCGAGAGATCATGCCACTCAGTGACTTAAGTCGATAGCAGACAACCCAGAATCGAAACCGATGGCGATCATGCTGAAGTTCCATCGTTGCCTCCATTACTGAAAAGTGAGATGGAAGTAGTGGAAGCTTATTTGAATTTATCTTTGAGACTGCTTTTTCAGTATACTACTTCTGTGTATACTTTCATCTCATCCGTTTCCTGTCTTCGTAATATATTATTCTTTGTGACCCATCTCTTGAGATCTGTTGTACCGAATTTGTGTTCTATATACAACATGACAATACTTGGTTTGGCCAAAGTGAGCCTTCTGCCAACCCAGTCCTTCACCTGCCAACATAACGTCGAAGTAGGCTGTGGCTTAACGTGCACATCACGTCCGAGTCATCTAAGTCGGTGAAGTTTTTCAGTCTGGTCGACTCCTTCGCCTTTTGTCACCTAGTATTCTTCGCCTAACCTCAACATCAACCCATACGCGAGCAACGCAGCGAACACACTTATGATCGAAACGTTGTAGTCTCCACATAAATACTTTCAGAGATGGACTCCTGTGCAGTATACCGGGATCGAGAAGTTCAACAGTTATTGAGACTATAGCGGAGAAGGGTGAATCTATGATTCACTTGCAGGACGGATGACTGGAGCGATGGGTAGAACACTGCGTGAACCAGTCCAGCTGACCTCCAGCTCTTATTGCATTGCCTGCTGTCTAATTGGATCCTAAATGGAACATTGAGATAGGCCCCCCAAACACTTGCAGAAGTCGAGAAAGCGGTAGGTAATTTGAAACGAGGAAGGGCGGCAGAACCAGACAGACTAGTTCCTGAGGTATATAAGGATAGTGGTAGAGTCTAGTTAACTGAAGTGTTAACTAGTGTATGGGCGTCAAATATGATCCCTTCTGACTTGTCTCAATCGTTAATTGTCTCAGTTTTCAAGAAAGGCAGGAAGTCCTCTTGTAATAAACGCAGAAATCAACTTGACGGACGTAGTGCCTAAGATTCTAGGTTATATAATCATTAGACGCCTGAGTCCAAGAAAATCAGTCTTCAGACCTGGTCGTGAATGTGTCGATCAGATATTCGCATTCCGTCAGGTTCAGGAACGCTTAGCGACGCCCGACATTAGCTGTAATTCTCGACTTAAACGCGGCATTCGACTCCATCAATCCAGAATTCTTATGGCAGTGTGTCTCACTGAAAGAGGTGTCTAGTAAGTACATCACCGTTTAGAAGCCTGTGCACTCGAACACCTGTGGGCTTCTTAAAGCCTATAATGAGATGTCGGGTGAGCTGTGTACGTCAAGGATGCCCACTCTCTTCATTCTTATTCAGTTTATCATAGACGTTTTTATGGAGGTCTCCCTCTCGTCATCTGACTACGCAGGGATTGATCTAATCACTGGAGAAATTTTGATAGACCCAGGATACGTAGATGGCATAGTTCTGTTGGGTGTTGGTGCTGACAACATACAGAGTCTTCTGGACACCTTGTGAGTGGTAATTTTTGAATGTTTTGGATGCGTCTCTCACCACCCAAATACAAATTGTTGCTCCAGGACTGGTCTTTAATGGTGCCTCGACTAACAATAGAGAGTGAAGTTGTTGAGTGTGGTGAACACTGCACTTACCTGGGAAGTCATATCAGCCCTGGTGGCTCAGCGGCTGATGAAGTCTCTGCACAGATACAGAAGGTTCTGTTGGCCCTGCCAAATTACGCCATCTGTGATGCCGTCGGATTGTCTATGAAGGGTCGAGAGTTTTGTGCTGCAGTCCTCTCTGTTCTACTGTATGGCTGTTAAGCATGACCATTAAAGGTAGAGGATATGAGAAAGCTTTAGGTGTTTGACCACTGTTTCCTTCGTAGCACAGGTCATGTTTCGTGGTGTCACTTCAGTAATGCAGAAGTCGGACGTAGAGTTTTAGGGAGGAGAGAGGTAAGGCAGATGATGTAGTTGTGAACCTTTGTCGACCGAGGTGATTGCGACGCGTGCTATGCATGCCTAGTCACCGTCTGCCTCGTCGCACAATGTTGGCCGAAGTAGGTTCAGGCTGAAAGGGGCTTGGGCGGCCAGAATAAAACATGGCATCAATGTATGAAATTCTTGACTGTTCGTTTGAACCATGTAGGGCAATGTAGACTAACCGGTTGGGGCCCGTGGGACTAGAGAAATCAGTGGTTGGATACTCTAGGTGATATGGCTCAGAACCGGTGTCAGTGGCGTAAATGTGTACATACATCATCCTCATCTTAACCGCTATCAGTAATCATATCACTTTCTCGTTCGCCCTTCCTCCTTTTCGCTACTTTCTACTCCTTCATCTTCCATTTTGTTGCCGTGCTACTTGGTGTTCTGATATAAGGTGTGGCGAGCTGGACTGTTACGCAGTCATTCCTGGTCGTGTACCGATGATAATAGTGTCAAGCGTGAAACCTTGAACCGATGCACTCCTTTGCAAGGTTTTACGCTGGTTTTGTCTGTCTGTCTATATTCCTATTCAGAACACCGCTGTAGGTTGGCGAACAAGTCTTTGAGTAATAACGTTAGTCGTTTATATTGTCAGATTTGAAGTTGGTTTTAGATGTTGAGGTTTTAGTAGTCATTTGGTGTCGTTAACCCTCACACAGTTTTTGGCTCATTGACTAGCGCATGAAAATGCATATGATTACTATAATCCCAAGTGGTGTATATATATGTGCATGCTGTAATTCCAGATGTTTCAACGTTCGTGTAACTTCCACTGAATGCCCCTGTCAACAAATTCGGCTTTGATCAACCCTATATTTGACACACTGACCGTCAGTTGTTAACTGGCGATCGAGATTAACAACTGTATATTCTAAAGAATAGGTCCGCCAAAGTTGAATTCCTGACGTGAGCACACGTGTTCACTGAACCAATATTGGAATAGTTTAAAGAATTGCAACTTTATTTTAAAGTCCTTCAACTGGCTCCCCAAGCAATGCGAGGAAAGCATTTCTGTTGGCAGTAAATTACTACTGCAGATTAGAAGTAATGAAGAGTGACACGAACTAACAAAAATGGGGAAATAAAGGGAATGAGTTGGTAAATAATGGGGGGGACCCATCAAACTGGACGCAAACTAAAACGTTTGAGAAAGCATCATCAATTAGATGTAAAATACTAATTTATTTGAATTTGAATTTCTGAAGTTAATGTGATTATTTACTCATATGAAGTTATGTATGTGTATGATAAGTTGGCGCTTTCGTAAACGATTTAATGGAGGTATCCATCATAATAGATTGACCTATTATTTCCACATTTATCCCCTTTATATCCGTATTTTTGTTAGTTTGAGAAGTTCAGGAAGTAATTGTAGTTTGTGCGAACTACTTAAGAATCCAGGTTTTTTAATTGCAACCCTATTTTGAATACGAGAGCTATTGAATATGATACCGTTAAACAACACCATTCGCATGCTTTCAAAGTGGCAAGGAACATCCGGTTGAACCAAACAAACCTATAAATATAAAATCTGTAGCACTACTCTCGAAAATGCAGCGACATATTTAACATCTCAACATCCAACCTCAATATAGCCTATATCACAGCTATTTCCTCAGAAACCAACCCTACTGGTTTGATGTAACCTCAATAAATGAAGTAGTCAATGCATTCAACCACTCAGCATCCTAACCTTAAACTGAAAGTAGTTGCAGACGTCCTAGGGCATGGTCTTGCATTTGACAGGTGTGAAACACATCCCAAACGCATTCAGAAGACCCTGCATTGTTTCAACATCTTAGCCTAGCTGGACAGTATAGTCTGCACACTCCAAGTCAACCAGTTGGCCTCCAGGGAGTAAATCAATCCCTGTGAAGTCAGACGTGCCCAAGATTATGGCTATTAAGGAATCGATAAGGAAGTTGGACAGAAACAGTGACAACGAACCTTCATATCGTGTGTTTGTTTATTCTGATGATAATTCTACATAATTCCTTACATGACTGCTTGAGTTCGAGTAGAGAGTGTTGATTAGCGTAATATATAGCGTAAATTGGAGTTAATAAACACTTCGGCGCTGTATATGTGGCTAGGTATTAGGCATTCCTCCACAACAGCAGAATTATGACTTGTATTACATTTGACAGGAAATAACACTACTAAGTCGTCTGGTCTCTTAAACCTCAATTAGAAAACTGTAATGTAACAACACGCCAGCTTTTCTTCAAGCGAATGTGAGTTTCTTCAAAGTTATCGATACCTCGTTGAGCAGTGATTACAAGTTGAGAATCTAGGTTTACGGTTTTTCTGCAGATTGACTTTTAGCATTGTGTTTTGTGGAGTCGTGTCACTTTACTCATCACATCGCTTTCCACCAATGCGTAGAATTTCCGTACTGTATTGGGAGCTATATGGAGGCTAACTCATAGTTTTCCTTATTGCAAAGCGTCACATGAACTGGCCATCTCTGCCTATTCCGGGCAATCCTAGCCTCCACAAGAAATGTTTCTGATAAGTGTACATGGAATTACATCTTTACAGTGTGTGCAAGTCATACCAATCGCTGCTTGAAAATAACTATATTGATGAGATAAAACTTCGTTCCATCCGAAACGTCTCCAAACATGAATTATATTTTGTCTTTCATTGTCTTCGCCGAACAGGACGACCGGACGAAGACACTAAAAAAAAGTAGAGTCTTCTGAACGCCTTTAACATAAATCTGAGCATATATAGCATATTTTTTGCACCTGTTGAGTCCAAGGTAATCCAAAAGTAGTTTGCAGCTACTCTTAGTTTGAGGGATGAAGGATAGGTATATAATATCTACATGGATCCGGTACTACTACGTAGCGTTCGGAGTTGCCAAACTTCACACCAGCACGTCAAAGGAAATGCATCAGAGTAAATAAGTCGGGAAGTAGCCAAGTGCTGGAAAGTCGCGAAAAGAGAACAGTGAGAAGTGAGACATAATAATATTTGGTATGATGTTTAGGAAGATGATGTGTGGATACATCTGTGTCACCAAGATGGATTTCGAGCTGTCACCAAGAGTCTCCAACTGCTAGTTTCTGTTGTCATACAGACCCCAACTGGAAAGCCTACATTTCCCTACGCGACTGAGACAAACAGTCAAAGACTTCATGCAGTGATACCTTGTTTTAGTCTAAGAGCCCCTAATTTTTTCCCCGCCTAAACCTCCTTCAGGTTAAAATTGCGGCGAGGCAGACGATGACTACAAATGAGTAATATATGTTTCGGTCATCTAAGTCGATAAGGATTCGTAACCTTATCGGCTGCTTTTCCTTTCCTCCCTAAAACTCTATGCCTGACCTTTATATTATTGATGCGATGGAACTACGACATGGTCTATGCTGTGAAGACGACGATGATCGAGCACCTGAAGCGTCCGTATATCTTCAATGACCATTTGTGGTCCATATAGTAGTATATAGTGAACAGCAGTGTAGTACACCCGGGCTTCAGTTAGTAATCAGATATCATGGCGTAATTTGGCAAAAGCAACACGAGTCTGTGTGGAAATTTCATCGATTACTGACTCACTAGGCTTGATTTGACTTTCTAGGTAAGTGAAGTGGTCAACGCATTCAACTCCCTTCGCTCCCCGTCGCTGAACAAAGTCCTAGAGCAACAATTTGCATTTGGATGGTGAGTAATAAATCCCCAGACTTTTTCGAGTTAACACTGAATGTGTACAGAATGCTCTGTATCTTAATAGCATCTACGCCCAACAAGATTATTTTTATCTACGTACTCTGTTTTTGCTAAAACGTTTGTTGTAGCAACATCAATCTATGTGAAGTCAGACAACAAGAGGGAGACCCTTATAAGTACGTCTATAACAAAATTATGTAAGACTGGAGATGGACATTTTTAATAGAGAATGGTGATAGTTCGGTATTCTGCTATGAAATTTTTGTCATATCAAAACTCACAGATGATCAAATTATCCTCATCCTAAGCGACCGATGCCTACCGCTACTTCAAGAACTTGTAGCATATTTGGTATGATAAGCAGAATAGATTGGATTTTTTTCTTAAGTGGTTGAGGTTTCAAATATTTGGGTATCATTTGCACTCGATAAGTTCTGAAAACAGGGGGTAAGATTCTGTTACTGTTATGTCTATTCTACTGAACATATTGTAAAGAACAATATTTCACCAGTGACTTGCCTTATGATATTTTCTTTTAGTGATGAACTGACTTTGGAAGGCATAAAGCAATTTTTTGTAGCAGTGGAACGAGAAGAATGGAAGTTTGACACACTATGTGATCTGTATGATACACTAACTGTTACTCAATCTGTCATCTTTTGTAACACAAAGCGTAAAGTTGCTTGGTTAACGGAGAAAATGCTGAAGAATAACTTCACTGTTGCATCGATGCACGGTGATATGGTTCAGAAGGAACGAGAAGAAATTATGAAAGACTTTCGGGCTGGGGATAGGTATGTAAGACAATCTTTTTCAATTGTCGGTTGTTATTTAAAATGGTATACAATGTCTCGAAGTTTGTTGGTGAACATAAAAGCTTCATCCTTTCACAAGTAATCTAGCGAAACCACCTATTCATGAAAAAGTCATTTCCTCTACAGACCGAAATTTTTGAAAGTAATGAAGTCGTACGGTTCGAAAATAAGGCATTCTCTTACAAGTTCAATAAGTTGTGAAAATGCCTGCATCTAGTATGTGTAGTCAGCACTCCAAGAAATAAGTTCATTACATCTTAATAAGTAAGAACACAGTTGTACAGTTGGCAACAAGCCGTGTTTATCATGTGAGGGCTAATGATATTACCTGGCTATTCAGACCCAAGTAGGTGGAGTGGAGTTCAAGCTTGTGAGACAAGGTGAATGTGCCCCAACCATGGGTCACAGTTCCATTTAAAATTACGGAATGTTTAGTGTACTTTAACAGCCTACATTTTTAAAATCCAAGTCCAGGCTAACCCAAAGTGATGTTCGCATAGAAGTCAAATGTACTGATCACTTCCTAGCCAGTCCTGAGTTAAGTAACAATTGTTGTCGAATGCTCTATGCTGTAGTTGTTGGTAGGCGTAAAATCCCTTGACTTTGCTCTTAACTGACTAGTAATGCATACTAGCGGGACTTCTAAGCTCATAAGCCTTACCTCAGTTTCTGGTAAGCAGATCACTGGTTCATATGAATTGTTGCTGAGAAAGCATAAGACATTGACCCTTGCCTTGAACTCCAACTGTAAACTTATGTCACGCAATCCAATAACCTAAAGATATTTTGCCTATCAGACTTCATGTGTTACACTTTCTTTTGATAAGGACGCTGTCGTTAACATGAAGACTCTCCTACAACACCAAACAAACCGGAATCATTGTATGAGTGATACTAAAGTATTCTATATCTCAGCCAAAGTTAGTCATACAAGATTTTGAAAAACCCAATTACCGCTTATAGACAGATTCCTCATCAAACAAAATGTGCGAAGAAAGTTTCTAACAGAACAGTAGAGAAATACTGACGAGATATCACAGTTTTTTCCTACGAATAGTGCACCTAAAATACGTAGCCACCAGTCGTTTCTTTGTGATGCCAAATAATCACATTCCCACCACACTGGCGTTGTTAATATCTTAGTCCGTTTTCCGAACAAAACTGAGGAAAACAACATCCGGATTTAACGGTGAATTTAGCTGATGCACTTCGTATACCGCTATACCTTATTGGTCAGTTCAGTTTCGAACTGATCAAGATCATTAGTGCCTTTGTTAGTTTCGGTCGCCTTTCACTAACACTGCTTTATTATCATTTCTGCGTTACAATTTCGCTGCTAGTTAGCCTGCGCATCCCAAGTAGGTTCTTTGAAAAGAACAGTGCAGGTGATCTCGAACAACTTTGGTATCAAAAAGTAACTTTCTTTTTCTTATGTAGATGTATTAACTTGTATAATGATCGCGTTTTTTTCATTTCAGTCGCGTCCTCATAACAACAGATTTGTGGGCACGAGGTATTGATGTACAACAAGTATCTCTTGTCATTAATTACGACTTACCAAATAATCGTGAACTTTATATTCATCGTATTGGTCGGTCAGGTCGTTTTGGACGTAAAGGTGTAGCAATTAACTTTGTGAAAACAGATGACATCAAAATCCTACGAGATATCGAACAATATTACTCCACACAAATTGATGAAATGCCAATGAATGTTTCAGACCTTGTATAGTCCATGATGTTCTGTTTTTATTAATCTAATAAATACTTCTCTTTTGTAAATAGTTAATTTACATTTTTCTGTCTACGAAACAGTTTTGCTAGTTCAGCAATTAGAATTGATTTTATTCTGTCAAGTCATTAACAAAACAACGCAGCATGAAATTACGGTGCTATCAAATATCTTGTAAGGAATGATGTATCTGTTCATGGTACATGAATTATTTAGCAAGTGTGTTGTTCTATGAAACACAACATATGTGAACAGTATAGTTATTTATGGCACCCGCCTATACGAGATACGCCTATGTCTAACGACGCACCTAGTTCTGACTATCTAAACCTGCGGTAACTCCAAACCCTTGAAGATTGCGATTCAGTTGTTTAAGGTAAATTCACGATAAAAAATTTACCGAATCCATGTACAATAGAGATGTGAGATGCAGCAACTGGATACTAGTTGTTATACGTAGCAGAAATCTAATGGACCGTATTCAGATGACTGTCAGTGGGACAACATTGTTAATTGAGAATCTTACTGTTTTAAACTGATGCATCACACTTATAAGAATTACTGAAAAGGAATTCCCTCAAAGTAAAATAAGGTCAAAATATTTACAAAATGCTTTTATTCTGAATGAATCATTGAACATTGTGTTTTGTGGGAAGTAAGGTTTGTAAAAACAAATATCGTCTCCCATCTAATGAAATTTCTTATTTTTTATGCTGTGATCAGTTTAATGAGTGTATGTAATCCAGTAAAGTCTTCAAAAATGCTGTAGACCGAAAATAAACATAGATCAATTTTTGTTGCACTATACGAACAGTGACAGCAAATGAATCTAATATAAACGCAACTGAAATCAATAAAATCTTCAGGCTGTTATGAAAGTGGTAATTAGTAGCAGTAGGAAAATACTTGAATGACACTAGAAATCATGATGCATAGGGGAGAGCAATGACATAGGTGGCTATCCATTACAGAACAACATCACAAGTCGTTTTATGCTTTTTTACCAAGATAAATTCCACTAACTCATGCATTTAAAATCAATCTTATTGAATATCAGTACTTTTTTAGAACTGTATGTACTTCCAAGTTTGTAAAAATGAAGCTAAGGAATCGGAATAAAAATGTATGTTGTTAAAAAGCGCGTTTCATATAGATTTTTAGCCTCTTGTCTACACTCTTACATATCGACTGTATTTAGAGTTGAGTAGGATATCAACTTGCATCGTGAAAACTTAAGGTAACGTTAGTAAGGAAGCCGGGTAAAATTTATGCTCCCTCTCTCTGCACCCAAGTGTTGGTTTAGTATAGCTCGAGATCGCTCGATCACCAATCTTTTTTCATAGTTATTTTGTGTGGTCACAAATGGTCACTGAAGACTAACGAAGGTCATGATGATCGACCATTTTTGAAATATCCTGACCAAGCTATACTACTCATCAACACAGTGCACCTTGATTAGTGTTAGAGGTTTCGAGACAATCAACAGGAAGCCGCTGACTTGGTTTTTGTGTTTGATGGTACTTGCCAGTAAAGCCTGTCTGTAGGAAAACGATGTCACCTCAGAATTTCAGTTTATGGGATTCACACATCACCTTGGATTAAACAACGTGAAATTGGTTATTCTTCAGTGACCGACCAATGCATGCCACTCAATCCTACAGGTCAGTCATCGTTTGAACAGCGCAGTGGTAACGTCCCTGACTACAGCATTGAGTTAAGCGGGTTCACTTTTCTGAGGGTATATTAGTTACCTCAGGGTTGCTAAAGAGGACCGACAAGCATGAAAACTGGTCTCAAGTGTTTCTACCGGTCTTTCCCTACCGCTTAACAAGTAACTCGACAAAATACTTCATATTTCTAGACTTCACTCATTAAAAACCTCATCTGTAATACATGCAAGTAAATGGATATTTGTGTGAGAAAGCGCACTTAGTTGATATGAAGGAGTAGCTGTCAATCTGCTGTAAGATGAATTAATAGTACTGATTGTGAAATGTCACCGTTTTCCCTCTAAAGATTTCCAACTAACAAGGGGATAGTCGTTAAACTGTTTTCCACTTATAAGGTTCCATCTACAGAAAGGCGGAAAACTTGAATCATAGTGGAAATGATGGTATTTAGCATTGATATAGACGTCGTGGATACCAAGTACATGTAAATAGTGCACGCATCAAAGTATTTATTAATTGTGACAAGTAAAATGTATTCCCTATTAGAATATCCTAATTCTCGACCAGTATATAAATGATATCTGCCAACCTACATTTAAGGATATCATTGTGTCAATGTAACAGTGGATTTACTGTCGACAGAAAAGTTGAGTATCAATTATGTTACGACGATTGGATGCAGATAATCACTTACTTGCATATATAGCCTATTTATCTAACGAAACCTACTGTTATATAAATTGGACAAGAACAAAGACATTAGCAGAATAAAATGAACCCAGCTGCAAACAGCTTACAATTGAGATGAAATGTTAGTAGTGATAATGACATAACTTCTTAAATAAGTAGAAATATATGATTTGAAATCCAGGATTAACAGTAAGGTAATAAGTCAAGAAAACAATTGATAATCGCAAACCTTAGTTAAAATGAATGACAATTTATACCCGATGACATGGAAAATTCTGTAGCTGTGGAAAGACGAGGACAAAAAACAAACAGGAGTATGAAAGAAAGGGTTGTTAGGGAGCTAGTAGGTTGCGTTAATACATGAAAAAACGTTAGGTTGAGTAGTTAATAGCCACGAAGTTATTCATGAAGAGATGATGCAATCGAAAAAGGAACCCTTGGTGATTGAAAGGAAATAAAAATCTAGTCAGCAATCGGGACTCATAATTCACTTGATAGAGCAGTGGTCCGGGAAACCGGTAGTCGCTGGTTCGAATCCCACCGCAGTCCGGATTTTTATTTATGTTCGTACACATGGATTGTTTGTTGATGCCCCCTCTTTCATGTCATCGGGCATAAATCGCCATTGATTTTGACTAAGGTTTGTGATTATTAATTGCGTGTTTCCTTGACTTACTAACTTACTGTTAATCCTAGATTTCAAATCTTCATTTATTTCTACTTATTTAAGACGTATGTTATGTCATTATTACTACTAATATTTCATCTCAATTGTAAACTGCTTGCAGCTGATGAAAGGCCGTGAAGTGAAATGGGCTCGTTCTATTCTGCTAATGTCCTCGTTCTTGCATTGTTCTTATTGGAAAGCGGAACAAAACGCATAACATTTCTTATTTAATTGATGGACCAGATTACAATAAAGTGAAGAAATACTCTTCGACATATCTAGAGAAATTGTAGTTTATCAACTTAAACAACCGCTTGAAACTTGTGGGTCAATATTCAAACCCAGTCCCACATAATAAGATTGGCAGCCAGGTAGTGTCACTAATCTTCATGAGACTGATATGAGTAATAGTTGGGTTTACGAACTCTCAGAATAATGAGATGGTTATTTTGACAACACTTCGTGTACTTTATTCATGAAATTTAGTAGTTTACACATTCACTAATTATCCTTCTCTAAATCTGAAACATACTACTACTGATCTTTGTTCACCACTTCTTATATACTTCAGCCTTTATGACCTATGATGCCACTTTTTCAACCGCTTGATTTCTCCTTCTCTCTATTCCCTTCCACTGTATTTATGTTACATTTTAAACGATGTGAGACTAAAGCAGTTCCTGCGTTGTTGATATCTGTCTGACATTAAGGTGCTGAAGCCATATTAAATTAAAAACCTCGTAGCCTAGAGCACCTGAAGACGAATTAAAAAGTAAGAAACCTAGGTACTAAAGAATTCCTCAGTCATGCAGTCAAAATAATTATTTCGCACTGATTGTTGAGACTTATCGGCAGGAAATGTTCAGAATTCCTTATCGTAACGCGTCACATGCTACCTGGCTTCTTGTTGCTTTTACGTGCAGAAAATTACATATGTACGTTGTTTTTTTTTAAATAATCAAACAAAAGAGAATCTACAATTACTTCATCCACATACCTTCTGGTCTTCGATAAAATCGGCAATTATTGGCACATTTCAGCCATGGTGGTGTATCATCACCATTACAAGAATATTGCATGCAGAGACATAGTGGAGGGATTTTCTTGTTCAACTGAACTGATAAACGATTCCATAGAGACAGTGTTTGATTATTGCTGTTAACGGATTCTAACTGTTTTGTATTTCTTTAAATTAACGAAAGGAAAAAAAAACATCTATTGAACTAATGAAAATGTTTTATATTAGTATTTTAACTTCAATAATCACATGATTATTTACACTGATAAAACTGTCCAAACACGTAACCGCAGTTTCACCCACATTTGTAATTTTTCATATGCACAAATCAAATACTGATTGAGCATATACTTCCATTTCCCAACTTCTGTTCATTAGTAGAAGACAGGCTTTTGATCAGTATTCTTACATCGAAAGCAATAATCCTGCTCATACATATGTATTCTATTCATGATGATAAAACTACCTGGGAAATGGAGTCAGTGACTATACTTGAAAGGAAACCCGAGTGGTAACAGAATTTAAGTCGACAGTCATCGACTGAGTCACTAGACACAATTGTACACTGAGTCACAGTTTCAGTTCATCCAAAGAAATGTCTATCTTACCATTCATCGTCTTAATAGCAGCTGTCCAGATATACATTTTATTCTTAATCCGAATCAAGGTGAATTAGAAAGTGGAGACAACTGGTTGATCATTTATAAGACTCAGCAGATAGAATGCCAGGTAGGTGAAACCGTAAACTTAGGACAGAATCCTACCATCCATCATCTAGGTTTCCTGTCAACTTCAATCATAAACTACATTCATCAATCTGCTAAGTAATTAGCATTTTTGTTAACATTTCTGTTCCATATCATTGATAGTATATAATTTGAGTCTCTAAGCGGATCAGTATCTCACATGAACAGCTTTCTTGTGCAAGTGTTACAATTGCTGAATAGTAATTCTTTCATTCCATTTACTTACACTTAAAAAAGTCTCATAGATAGGTAAAGTATCACGTTTTGTATATCATACTACATATATCAATTTGTACGCGCAGAACCTTTTCTATTCAAGGTTTGAAGAGTCTAGATGATATTTAGCTGAATGAGTTCGAAAATACCGGACATTTGAATTAATTGAAATGTTAATATGTCTGCAAGTAGACAAGAAGATTCTAAATTATTTCCCACAAGGAGTTACTGGTGTATACTGCTGAGTAATTTGATAATCACAACATATAATGTAATTCAATAATCTATTTCAAGTTTAGGGATTATACTGTCAGCCAAATCTATTGCATGAAGACTAATCAGAACTAAGCACAGAAGTGCATCAGTCCAAGTTTAAAAAAAAATAGGAGTGGACAGAAAAAGAATGACACTGAATTAGGCAGTAGTGTACTAGAGGACAAAGAATCAACAATTGACAGTTAGGGGAAACGCTCAAAGCCTGTATCTCCTGCCATAACTAAGGCCATCAGTTAAAGACTTCATGGATAGGTTTCATGTCTTAGTCCGGTCACCTTTAGCTTTAAGCCAACTCAACCCAACTTCAGTAAACATAACGCTTCAACGGTGATTGTGCGTTGGTGTTTGCTAGATACTCAAGCCAACTCTGTTGACTTGAATTCACAACCTTATCGAATGACTTCGAAATGGCAACACCTGAGTATTTAAGAATGTCTTCAGCAAAGAGTCGACTTGTGCACTTGATTTCTCAATCCAGCTCCACCTAATGAGGTTTAGACAACCACCAGCCTTCACCCAGTAAAAGTGTGGTTAATTGTCTACTACAAGAAAGTGAAGATGGTTGTTGAATGGATACCACTTTTCTTCCGCAGAGTTGTATGAAGTCATCATCAACTACTTGAAAGTCGAATGAGTCACATCTGCAATACAATCTAGTTATTAACGTCTCTTCAAATATTCTCTACATGTAAGAATAGCCCCATCTCTTTAAAACTACTTATATGTTCATGAGTGTAATTTCCAACCTTTATGGTTAATTTACTAATCAGTAGAATTATTGGGTAGTAATAACGACTTATTAATCAAACAAGAAAAGCTTCCTAGTTTTATTAAGTGATCTGGAGGTAAATTTCACAGAGTTGACTGGAGACGCAAAGTTTATAGTACAAAACTTTCGTCGAAAAACGTTCCAATACATCTAGGGTACATCCAATGAAACTTACTCATTACTGGGACCAATGCTTTCGGTACAAAAAGTTGGTTCATTCGGAAGTACTTTTGTTTGATTTGACAGTGTATTGTTGCATTTCACTGACCGATCAGATTGTTCAATCAGCTTATTGTCCTCTGTTGATTGATTAGAGGCATTACTTGGAACGGTAGTTACAGTTGTTGATATGTTCAATGTACAACTTCCATTGGGATGATTAGTTGGTTGTATTATCTTAGTACACTTGTGAAAATGTTTTTCTGCTTTGGCTAAGAAACATTTTAAAAATAAAATGATAGGGCTATTAGACTATGTACCGATCATTCCAAGTTTTAAAATATATGTATGAAGTAGAAGTAGTTCTTTGCGGTCACTGGAAAGGGTTATGCTACTTTGTTAAATACCAATTCTTAGGATTGAAACATGACATTTTAATACTGTTTTACTTCACTTCACAATCATTACGTAACAGTATGGAGGTTTCGAACACTGAACTCTTAAATTATAATTTCACACAAAGAAAACTCTAGAGGTTATCCTCCAGGGTATCTCCAAAAATTGAGTAATGAGTGTTTATTATACTTAATTGTGAACAAATAAGATTCAACATTTTAACACAGAAACTATGAGAATGGAAGGATAGGGAATTCAGGAAGTCATCTTTAGAAACTGCTTACTATGTCAATGACTGGCTTTCGGAAAATCGGTATGTATCAGTTTCATAAACTGCTGAAAAACTACGTATATCTAGGAATCGTGTCCACGTAGTTATCCATGACCAGCTGGGTTACAAATAGACGCTTAAATAATGGAAACAGCTTCGATCGGACACTTCAATGTTGATTAAGCAACATCTTTCAGTAAATGACACTAACGTTTAAAACCCATAAGTCATCATCGTGACTGCTGTGCCCCGTTTACGGCAAGATTGATGAAATAAGAGATGCTTTACTGGAGTATCGATCTGTGTACATCAAATATCTAGTCCCTCTACAATACATTTCTGTATCTGATCCCTCCAGGTTTCCAAACCATAAGAATCAAGAACTGGCAATAGCTCCAAGTAACTTGGAGGTGACTGTTACAGTAGTGCAACATTTTATAGACTAAACAACAGAAGTATTATGCTAACTTCAAACAGAATGTCCTAAATATATGAAATATAGGAATGCGTACATGAAATAACTTGTGTTTTATTCCTTTTATGTCAACTTCTTGACTGAACTTCAAAGTCTTCATTATCTTTTTGTTTGTATTCAGTGATCGCACTCTAGCAGATCATCTTTCTCATTTTTGTGTTGGTATTTCTTCTGTTACGCTGATTAGTGACCTAGTTTTAGCGCATATACGAAAATGAAGATTCGTATCAGTAAATCTGCATCAATCGAAGATTTGATGAGGTACCTGTTCTAAAGAATGACGATGTCAGAACTAAGCGATCGATAATCACTGATACCTTCAAAAAATAACTGGTGTGCGGTTGATACATCAAGTACGTAGTTCGATATCGTAAAACGAATCAGTTGGTGAAGTTATAAGCATCAATCTAACGAAGTGGTTATGACAGGCGTAAAATAAACTATACCACTGTTGCAGTTAATGTCGGGTATTGAAGGTGTTGATAAGCACAACACAAAGAATGAGGAATCCTACGACCTCAACAAGCTTAATTTTCTGCAGATGGCACTTCTATATGCTAGCAAAACGTTATAAATTTACTTTTTCACCTCATTGTTATTGTGCAATTACGTTTTTCTTTTATAAATCGTCTACCCAGTGCTCAAAGTATTTAATTATATCGAATGTTGGGCTGTGGCTAGTTGGTCTAGATACTTGAATTCCAATCGACGGGTCATGGTTTCAAAACCAACTTTACCTACCGATGTTTAGGCAACCAGGTGGTATCACAAGCCCTCACAAAATAGCTGTGACTTATTGCCTACTGTAGAAATGTGCTCAAGGTTGTTGAGGGGATTTCGAATTATGTCGGTTCGAATTTTAATCTTGATGTCTACATAGAACTTGGTTTTATTTTGATGGATTATTTCTGACGGATCGAAGGTATTTCCAGAGAGCAGTTATCGTATGAGTTTGTAAACATTTTCGACGTGTTTCCTTTCAATCATTAATTATTACTGTTGCACTTGCACTAATTATTAGTCATTAAGTGATAAAAGGTACCTCGAATTTATAAGTCTGGGTAGGTTTATTAGCTTTCGTTAATTTGTTGCATTTTGCAACTTTCTTGTTCACACACATCCGTGGTGTCACCACGTGAGTAACGTAGAAGTCAGACGTAGAGTTTTAGGGAGAAGAGGTAAGTTACTTGACACGGTTGTAAACCTTCATCGACTGAGATGGTTGGGACATGTGTTACGTATGCCTAGTCGCCGTCTGCCCCGTCACACAATGTTGGCCGAAGTAGGTTCAGGTTGGAAAAAGGCCCAAGGCGGCCAGACTAAAATATGGCACCAATGTATGAAGTCATCGGCTGTTGGTTTGAGCCATGTATGGCGGTGCAGACTAGCCGGTTGGGGTGCGCAGGACATCAGAAACCAGTGCTTGGAGACTCTAGGTGATATGGCTCAGAACCGATGTCAGTGGTGCAGATGTATCCCTACACACATTATCCTCATCTTAACGCTTTGTCGAATCTCACCATTTTCTCATTCTTTCTTTCTCTTTTTTAGTACCTTATATTTCTTTTGACTGAGCTGTATTTTATTCATCTTCCACTTCACTGCCTTTTTACTTGATGTACTGATATGAGGTGTGGCAACTTGGACCATTACGCAGTAATGCCTGGTCCTATGCTGATTTGGATGGTTGATGTTCACATATACAAACGCATGAATATTGACCTACAGATGTGCACAACCTTAAATTAAAGAATGAAATTTGTTCATTTAAACCATAGTTTGAAAACACCTATTTATATTTATAATAGGAAGCAGTGGCTATATAGGAGAAGAATCTGTTATACAGTCATAAAACCAATTCATGTGGTTACCAATAATTGGTTTGAGTATAGTGCGATAAATATGCATCTGCTGAAATTAGTTTTCATAATGCTAAAAACTAAAATTTTATGATGCTAAGATGATAAAGCTGAAAGAAGACCAGTAATTCACATAAATCTAGTACTTAACATAACCGAAAATCCAAAAATTTCTAAACTTCTAACTTTAATTCACCAACATTACTTCTACTTTTGCGACGACAAGTCAACTTTTAACTTGAAGCATATGACCTGATTTACATCTGTATATGTTGCGTGACTTTGAAGGCCATCTTAAGGTAACCAATCAAATTCTAGCTGTGAAGGTAGTTTGTTATAAAATAGAGAAATGTAATTGGTTATCTCAAAAGTTATAGTTGCTTTTAGAGTCACCCACTTCTCGTAAGCCTGACTGAAACACATAACACATGAGTGGCTGTAATATCCCACACTAATGAGTCAACACTATTATTGACTAAATACGAGGGGAAATAGTAACAACCATTTTACTACATTCAATTTCTTTTGATTTACAATTCATGAGTGCATGCATATGGTTGAAAACTCAGCATATTACGAACACTCAGTAAACTTTCATTCCACATGAAACTGCATTAAGATTTGGAGAGACTCCAAAGTCAACCTTAACAACGGCTGAAATGACTAATCAGGTTTTGCTATTTCAGCGAGGATAGTAACTTTTTATGAAATGTAAAAAAAGGGTTATTCCAGTAGTTGTTAGACTGAAAATTTAAGTTAATCAAGATTTTACAAGATTGTTTCAAAGATACTGGACTCCATGAGAAAGGTAAAAATTATTTATCTCAAACACGTTGATATTTATACTAAAAAGGGATTATTTTAGTGAAGAAATGACTTAAGTACATTTATATGACTGTTAGTGCTTAACGGTAAGGAGTAGAACAATAATTGATACTTGAGGAAGCAGGTTTATGAAACAACATCTAGGCAGTACTAAAACAATGACTAGCGCTAAAGCTTCTTTGGCGTATAAGAAGTAAATAACTCACAGAAATATAACTCTACAAGAATCATGTTTCCTTCTACACAAGTTTTTTTCCCCAAGAATACCTTTCACTGCTAATCTTCATCATGCTATTCATATATATATATATATATATATATATATATATATATATATATATATATTCCATCAAATAACGCACATTTGTTAGTAATAGAATTTTCGATATTTCCAGTTAATTACTTCGTAGGAATGAATTAATCTTTAAGGAGATATGTGAAATGGATTCTGAGCCATATCACCTTCGGCCTCCAAATATTGATTTCATTTGACACGTAAACTTTACTTAAACACCTATACCTCCTTACACGATTTGTATTAACTGTTATAGGCCTCATTTCTTAGTCTCATCCCTCTTCGTTCGCTTTCAACTTAAACCTACTCTACTCAGCGTGCAATGCCAAGATAACAAATGCCCAAAGCACTTCAGTTAATGAAGGTTTACAACGTTGTCAAGTAACCTATGTATTTTAATTACGACTCTAAACGTAACATCTACGACCATTCTGTGGAGTTTCTACCACTCACAGTAACTATACTTCATCGGCTTGAATTTAAGCACTTAGATGATAGAGCATGCCTTCCCATAGAGGTAGATTTACCTGACTGGATGTAGATGACTTTAAACATTACTGTCGACCTTTACCACCATTAATTGACACCACCTTTCACTTATATTCCAACAAGATAAACTGAAAACAATAACAATGATTAAAAATCAATAAAAAGATTAATTAATTAGTTACATGACTACCTTTAACTTTTCCCGATAAAATTATATCTTCTTTATTTTGACGTTGAAGGCAGGCTTTCTTACGTTCAGCATCTGAGTAAATACGCCTTCCTAGTGCCTGTCTCATTTGTCTGGCTTTACGTTCATATATATTTGAAGCTTTGAGTTCTATACTTTTAAGTAAATAAGGGAAACTGTGAAGCGATAAGGCTTTAGCACGATATGATAAATTGTCAATGCTCATTTCAGTAAAATTTTTATTAAGATTGATTGTTGTTGTCAGCGTTCCTGTTGGTGTTGTCACTACTGTACGATCAGGTAATCTTGATCCATGATTGTGTGATTTACTTAAAACTGTTCCTGACTAAATGAAACAAATTAGAACATGATAAATAGTTACGGTAAACGTTATGCGCTTATTTTAATTAACTTGAAAATCTTGTTACTTATGCTTTATCTATCTATTCCACTTGCCTTATACATCCGGACCTTTTAGGCTATCTACTTAGTGGATTCTTATCTGTTACATCAGCCGAAAAGTGGAAAACGTGTCACTGGTCATATTATTTTATTTATTCCAAAATTAATCTGACTTATGACTTGATCGGTAGCATTATTGCATAGCTCGGTTCAGGAGCTTTCGATTAAACCCTCATCAATTTTTGCATGACTTATGGTTCGGAAATAATTGAATGCTGAGTGAAATCCACTATTGTGCATTATCACAATTTTCTGTTTGAAAGTGATCGTTTTATGTTTATAAACTATGCTGGGTTGTGGTCAGGTAATTTGGTTGTATATACCGATGAATCAGATGACTTAAAATATGCGGACAATAAGCACCAGACTTTGTGTTCTGTTGTCAACGTTTGAAAGGGGTCGAATTGTGTGACTCATAGTGTAGATGAATTCAGTATACGAGATTGGACAGGTATTTACGAGACCAATCATGTTCAAGGTTAGCGTTGAGACTGAGTTCACAGAATAACGTGCTATGGGCAACCACAACCAAATCGTTATCACAAACTGACGATGCGGTTAACTCAGAAGTATAACACCATCATCCACCCCAATAACTGCATAATTTTTACTTCATATTCTAGGCCCTTTTTTGTGATTTAAACATTTGAAGAAACTTTAATGACTGGAGTAATCTTACCTGTTTACCCATCGACCTTAGATTGGGATGATAATACTTTTTCTAGATTAGTTTATCCTATTTTACCGTGTAGCCAGTACTTGTCCGTATTGTCTATCAACTGCTGTCTCCAGAAGCAGCACATCTGGAGGTTGTTTTATTAATAATTCGGTTTGATTTATATTTACAATACCGCCTTTACATTAAATCTCAATATTATTGTATCGAACTTTTGAAAATTGTTCATATCACTTTTATTGGGTTGAGTGAGATAATACTGCTTAGTACTTTTTCGACTCATACTGTGCAACTTCTGGTTGAAATGTCTTATACGTGAATAATTTAGATAGCTACTGTACAAGTAACGCACCCTAGACAATACATGGAGTGCATTTTGAAAAGAAGTGCATGAGAATAGTTATCACCTAATGAACATGCTTGCAATTTTTAGCTGTGACGTTTTAAAATTTTTCAGTTACAGATTGAATTTATCATCGAATTTTCATCAAGTAGTGCAAAGTTTTACAAATGGGGTCAAAGTATAACATAATATGCCAACCACCTGGAAAATTGTGAATAATCCCATCGAGTTTATTGAAAAAGCTAATAGGAAGAACTTTTTTTAGACACTGAAACACGAAGAACATCATTCTGCTTTAGAAACTAAATCGCTATCAATCCCATGCCCCATAGAACGCAAAGAAATACCTCATCAAAAAAGGAAAGGTGTGTGAAAACACTCATGATTGTATATGTTAGCACACAAGGATATTACAAGCAACAGTGTCTGTAAAAATAGAAATTGAAGTTAACAAATGGTGTTCAACACAGGGATATGTATGTGTACTTCATACGATGCAGAAGTTATTGGAGAACTGTTTGGTTTATTTCCCGAATGATGTCGGACTTAATCTGTTTAACAGTCGTTTCGTCATTAGTTCTTCTCTAGTTATCTCATTTATGGGTAGAATAGAAACTCAATACCAATAAAATAAGTTCGTACTTATACTAACAGTTTACTTATAACTGTGCATACAAGACAACTACATCTTCACTTAAAGACAAAATCAAGTTCATAATGTTGAGGTATACGGAGTTAACAGACTGCTAATCATCACAAGAAATCTGAATAGCTTTGGCATGCGCTTGGCACCTGTGAAGTGCAACATGATGCTGTAGGACTGGTCTGCAACTACTCTTAGTTTAATGATTGGTAATGAAATGGTGGAATGTGTCGACTACTTCAGTTACTTGGGGAACTGCGTAAGTTTGAATGGGCTGCTTGCTGACGATATCTTATTTTGGACACAATAGGCCCGTTTGGTAATCACCAACTTGCACCATCTGTGGCACCCATTGGTGAGATATCCGATTATCTAACAAAGGATGAGTATACTGCAAGCCAGTCCGTTCTATCCAATTCTACGTCTGTGAGAAATGGTCGCTGGAAGTAGAACAGATGAAAAGATTACAAGGTTTTGATCATAGATATCTTCATAGCACTGCCCACATGTAGGGGAATCACCGTGTGAGCAATGTTGAGGTCAGGCCAAGGGTACTAGGCAAGACAGTCAAGTCGACTAATGAGGTCGTGAACCTTCATCGGGTAAGGTGGCTTGCACATGGACTGCGTATGCCAGTAGCAGAAGTCTATGATTCAGGACTCTTGGCAACATAACTGAAAGTCAGTCACAATTGCGTAGATGTGTTTACTCGTTGATGTCTTTTAAACCTTGAATATTCATAACAAAATTTATCTTCAAAATGGTTTGTTCTCTCTTGTAACTTCATCCACTTTGATATCAGTGTCTCTATCCACCTTTTCTTCGTATGCTACTGTGAAGTATGAAAACTTAGAGGGATGCACTTGTGGATGTGTTTCTACGTTTGTTCTGTTTCTCTGTCTAAACACCATCAATTTGAACAGTGGTCTAATGCACTAGACATTATTGTGACACTATAGAATTTACTTCGTAGAAATTCAGATGCAAATCTATAAGCTGTGCATTCAATTAAATTACAAGTCAGCGAATTCACACTTAAGTATGTTCATCTTGTTTTTCAGACAAACTAACTCTATGAAATACCTTCCATTAGATTGCTAACCAGTGACTACTTTGGAATTAAGGTATTTAGTAAGAAAGCAGTGGTTTGGAAGTCTGAGGTTATTGAGAGGAATGATGGTGAAGGTGAAATGAGAAGCTTTATCACTATAGGATAAGAACCAGAGGCCTTCAGAACACCCATTCGGTGTTGTATCCGCTTACGTATGACGTCTAGCTGCTGATCTTTTCTTCACTTCAGTCACCGATGGTTTCGTCTAGTTGTCACATGAATGTGAAATAAGTGACCGTCAGTTCATTATAGTCACACAAGTTGAGCAAACACGTTGTTTTGCCCGACTCCAAATCGAGTTGAATTAGAGAGAAAGAGCATGGGATTGATAATTTATGAAACTACCTAAGTTAGACATAGTCTGACAGACTATTATTATCGATCACTTATTCATTTAATAGCCAGTCAAGATCTTAGGTAATTGAAAGGAAGTAAGATTTTGGTTAGAAGTGGAGTCTCGTAGCTAAGTTAGTAGAACACTGGGATGGTTATTCAAACGCCGGTGGTTCGAATCCTACGGCAGACTAAAGTTTCACTTTATCTCCAACCATCACAGACAGATATACAAAATCAGAGTCGAACACTGCCCGAGAGTGCATTGGTTCAAGTTCGAACACTTAACAGTAGTACACAAAGAACAGGTGGACAGAAAAAGAATGATACCAAAGTAGACAAAGTTTTGTGACAGAATAAACAATTTGAAGACAACGTTTAGTGCAAATATCCTAGCTTTAGAAGACGTCAACGAGTGAATAAATTTGCACCATTGTGACCGATTTTCGGCCGTATCATCAACAGACCTCAACCACTGATTTATTTTTGTGTCGGAGAAACCAACCAGGTGGTCTACATCTTCTCAGATAAACAGTTAGGGCCTTCGTGGACTGGTACTAAGTCAAGGTCTGGTCACCATGAACCCTCTTCCAACTAAATCAAACTTGCTGTAGCATGGCACATGAAAGTAGGCGGTGACTAGGCATGTGCAATACATGTCAAAGCTACCTGAATCGATGAAGGTTCATAACCTCATCAATCCGCTTGCCTATCTTATCTAGTATCCTTCGCCTAACTTCAACACTGCTCACATAGTGTTTCCACCAAATGCAACCAATGCAATGAAGACAGTTATGATCAAAACTCTGTAACCGCTTCATATCTTCTGCTTTTAATGGACATGTCTCATCGCCGTAATCCAATCGTCACGCCGTAAAAAGTAGTTACTGACGAACCCAAAATTGATAAACTACACTCTTCATCACATGTGAAATAAACAAAAGTAGTGAGTTAGTCATGAAAGTTATTAATAATGGTGTTGTGTACTGTTCAAAGCCAGGTAAATAAGAATGTCAGATAAGTGCAATTGGTCATATCATTTCCTTTTTAAAAAATATTTGACCCAAGACATTTTTTTGTATTACTGTTTACCTCAGCTCAAGACTGTTTTAGTGTCCCCTCAGTCGTTTCCGCACAACTCATAGTTTAAAAATAACCACATGTTAATTGAAATTAATTAATTTGTGTAACTGTTTTCTGCAGAAGGGATCAACTATTTAACTTTTCTGATCTACGATATGTTGTGATCAGCCCATTTGTTGATCCTTGTATGTATGAATAAGATCGTAAATATACACGGATGGTGAGAAACGGTCGTATTTTCTATTGTGCAGAGGCTTAGTACACAAATCGTCTAACTGACTACTCTATTGGTTGATTGGGCTTACGAAACATCACAATTATTTACCGAATTGATCATGTCGTCAATCAAAGCCATAAGTGAGTTAGAAAATTAATACGGTTCAAACATGGCGTTCAAAGTCATTTTCAAATTCACGCTTATAATCAACTTCAAAATGACAAACTTGCTTCCAGAAATTGCTTTACATCGCTCTAAATCTCTAAAGTTACGAATGAGGATTCACCGCTTTTTATCACTGATTTCAATGTAATGTCAAAGGTAAACAAGAATACATTGGAAATTGAACGCATTTGCTACGCTAAATGAACGACGGCCCACTTTTAAAAAGTGGATGATTGGTGGTTATATAACTTTATTCAGCTGATTTATGTTAAGAGTCCGACTTTATTTGTAGGTAATGAAGTATTAGTAGCTTTTTAGTATCTTATGGAGTCAATACTTCTGCGATTATTAGAACCTTGGAAGTCCTAAAGTCTGCCAAATTGAGTCAATCCCACACATTTTCTATTTAAAGAAAGACAGGACTCTTTAGTTGATGAGGAATGAAGCCTAAGCATTTCTGTATTCAAAAGAAAAGCAATATTTCTTTAGAAGCTATTTCAAGCATTTTACTTTGCTAAATAATGTCTAAACTTCAGTACAGATGATAGAATGATTATGTTCTTTAAACTATTCTAGTTTCATTGTTCACCAAATTAAATCAAGTTTTAAAACACCATTTTATTATAAATTTCAATTTTGTTCAAACAAAAATAACCAGGACGTTGAAGTTGAAACATACGAATTCAATTTACTATTGTTTAAATGAAACTTATTGGTGTTTTAAGCGGTAAAACAGAATTTTTGAGTGAACACAAACTGAATATAACATAGCGGTAAAAGTTTCAACTGTTTCAGAAAATTAACTTACACCAGTCATCATTCCACTATAGGTACTGTCAGCAGCATATCCTAAAAAAGGTAAATTTGAATAGATTGAATGAAATTACTTTGAGAATCTATTTCACTAGTTGTACAATATGATGCAGTTTTAGAAGAAGGAGGTGGTGGATTCACTTCATAGGGTAAGGCAGATAAAAGTTTCTAAATTAAAAGATCATGAATATGATATCACTTTTCAACAAATATAAAACTACTTACTTCATCAATACAATTCGATTTGACTTTTGCAATTAATGATCTATACAAACTTGATCGTTTCTGTTCTGTTATCAAAAATTGCTTCAATTTGTAATCTTTTAGCAGTTGTTCATCTTGCATGAATTTATCTAAATATCTTGCATTAGAATCCTAAAAGAAAAAAGAAATTGGGGAGAAAAAAAGAGGTTTCATTTCTATTTGGAATTATTTCAATTACCTCAGGTGGAAGAGTGAAGTGATCTTTGAGTACACACATATTATAAGGCATTAGAAGACTAGTGATTTGGATTATTATCTATCGATTGGTTGATTGGTTTAAAAACCTATGGAAGTGTAGGCGATATTATTCATTCGTTAGGCTGAAAATAAACACAACAATAGAATGAAGTAAATGATCAAAGTTTCGTCAAGAATAACTACTTAAAAATCATGCAGTTAAATAGATTAACTAATTTAGGTCATGTGACCTCTACTTCTGGCTGTAAATCTACTTTCAAATGATTACACATTGAAGTTTTAATCCATCCAAATGGGAAACATCTATTGGACATGATTCGGATTTTCCCGCACGTAAGAGACAACAACTGAATTGTACATAAGCGAAGATATAGGCTACTCTTCTCTTATTGGTATTTTATTTTAGTGTTAGTTGTTGGAAGTCAAACATCATGAGGCTATGTTTGACATAGATTTCGTGCTTGTTGGCACTCATCAGAAGGAGTGAGTCAGCAACCATGAGGAAACTGCTATTCCGTCAGAGATTCGAATTCTCATCACTCAGTTCTAGAGTCAGAGACGTATTCACTAAGCGGTTCAAGCGATGAGTGATACTTTTTAGGAATAGGATGTGTACAAAAACCGGTTATCAATGGGTAACCAATGTAGTACTCAGTGCTCATTTAAGTCAGTCGATCAGGTCGCAATGTGGTTGGCAAGCTAAGTGATACAACACTGTTGTGTACTGTGTCATACGGCTAGACGAACTTTTTCTCTATTTATAACTAACATATATAAACAAAAAGTTCACGACACGTAGCCGGTTACAAAAAGGTTAATTGGGTTAAAAATGCATAATACGATTGTCAACCGGGAAGCTATCAGCTTTAAATGGTAAAGCGATGGAAAATCACTAGGGAATAAAAAGAAAACTTATGAAATTCTTCACAAGGGGATTTTAACAAAAAAACCTATGTAAGACATCTACCTAAATAAATATACTAATACACGGAAATATACTGAACTGAACTTTGTATTTTCCTTTCTTTTAGCAAATATAGCATATGTAATCTCAGTTCTTGATTATTATTCTTATTACTAATGGGATCAACAGTTCACTATAAAACTGCCATATATATATATATATATATATATATATATATATATATATATATATATATCCATCTCCTCCTCCAAGAACAGGAGATCCCTTGGTTATTCATGACCTGAAGCATGACCTTTGTATCCAAAAGAAGTATGTACAGCCTAGCCTAACGATAATTTCGTCTGTTTCCTACGTTTTGTGTTTTCGAATTTCTACTTTGTCGGACTAATCTGTGAACTCTTCTATCACCTTTTTCAGTAGTGTTTTTACTACTAAGAGTTTCCAGTGTTACTTTATTTAACCTTTTCGATAATTGTAACGAAAACACTTTCATTTTATCGTGATTAACTTGTCTCATTCATATTATCTAATCCTTTAACCGTTCATTAGCGCTACCATATTTTCAACCCTTTGTAATCTATATCCACTCTGTGAATGATCTAAACATTTTATGCATCCCAGTTTTTTTATGACTCAATCAATACATCATCAACAATATTACAGTTGTTGTTATTGTTAATTCTATAACTCATCACTTAGTTTCGTGACAGTCTTCATATATATATATATATATATATATATATATATATATATATATATATACATTCAACTTACGAATATTTCTGCTAGGATGCTAGAAGCTGTTAGGGATGGCTAAACCCCAAGATGACTAACTTATAATATGTTTATACTATCACTGTGAAGTTTAAGCCTTGTTTTCGTACCTTTTTTGTGCCGTGTTATGTTTCATATTTTCACCGCAGTTTAGGACACTAAACGCTGATCGGTCCATTTTACACTTTGAATATGCTATGTTGATTACTCTGGCCAGGGTCATCTAAGTATATATAAACGACTAAGCATCCACTTATATTTATTCGGTTGGAATGAATAAACTTTTGATCCCATCATCTTCTTCTGGTGTCAGCTGAATATCGAGTTGAGAAGTCATTGCTCTAGCGTTATTCATATTGTCTTGGAGCGTTGTATCGTTATCGATAGCGTTGGATCGTAACAGAAACCTTAAAGTATTTTGACACCAGAGAAATAGAGCATATCAATGTCAATACTGCTATAAACACAACAGTTCAAGAGTATCGTAGTATGAAGTTCAGGCGTGTGATGTTATTTGCTTAGGTGACTTCTAGAACTGGTTTATACCATGTGGACAACAAGAAAACGTCTTGTGGAATCAATGAAAATATATACATATGAGCTGTTTCCGATCTAGTTTATTATAGAAGTAAGAATATCACTTTGAATTGTTTTAATACTCATGAACAAAATTTCGGTCTATCAGTGGAACGGTAGTATGCCCTTATGAACACACTTCAAAGTGCAAACATCACTAGTCATCTGAGTGCAAAAGCACTGAAGAGAATATCCGTCTAAATGTGACCGGCTGGCTGACGGACAAAATCAACATAGAACCTCCCGTACAGGTGCATCGTCTCAATCTGCCACACTTTACAGTAGTACACAAAGAATCTGTCTGTGAATCTTATTAAAAACTGAATTCCATTCAACTGTTAGTAATTCCATTACAAGTATTTACAACAATACAGTATTTTATTAGGAGATTATTTTCTTTCAACCTACTTTCTTCATACACTTTTCAGTCAGAATGCGTTCCTTGCATATTTAAAGTGGATCAGAACTTTTTCAAGGTGTGTCTTAAAAATAATGTCTCTGGCAGTTACATTTATAACCATAATTCTATCAGTAAGCAAGCTAATCGATATTAGGCCATTAAAAAGGATAAAAGCGATGCAGACAACTTAACAAGCTTTTAGTTGGTTTACTGCGGAAAGTTTAGTAACTGGAGTTTCCTCATACAACCTTTACAGGATTGCTTTTGTTTGTACTAAAAGGTTGATTCTATGTTTCTCATAGCTGGCTCCATAAAAATAACAACTGGAAACATTAAAGCTAACAAACACGGAAGCCGGTGATCTAATGACAGAAGAAGCGATTTATGATCGCCGAGAAGCCAACACTATTCTATCCCCAATTATTTGGGACATTTCCAATAATGGCAAAAGACTAATTACACTAAAGCGACTGAAACAAATATTACTACTATTTCAATGGGGAAATTTTCAGGAAATACAAGAAATAATCCCGATTTCCTATGAATTAAGTGTATCTCACAAAATTTCCCCCTACTTTCCTCGAACGTACTGATTAAACTGGGGGAAAATCCAAAATTGAGTGCAATTAAAGCCCGTTTCGGCTGGTTCATAATTTGAGGCCCTTAAAAGGTTCAAAAAGGAGATAAGATTTATCTTTGGATTAAAGAAACGAGACGAAAACGTCTTATGGGAAAATAATTATTGGGTAAAGTTAACCTTATCCATTTACAGCTCAGTCTGGTCGTCTTTTGATTCTGCATCCTTGAGAGGAAAGAAGAATAATTTTGCCTACTGTGTGAAAATTTGAAGTAAATTCTGGTAAACCTCCAGTATATTTGAAAGTTTTGAGAATTATTCGCGATGGGGGAAACAGGTATTAAGGAGATAAATAGGGACTAAATGTCTCATTATCACGAAAATTTACTTTATTCTGTTGAAAAATTGTCGAACCAGGAACTTAAATTATATAATGTTAAAGTTGTAACAAGGTGTTCGTTGATGAATCTGCGGAATAGTCATTACCAGATGTCCCTATAGATATAAAGAACCAAGCTGAGATGGCCAGCGTTTACTTATGCGAAGTGTGTGGGATGCAGGTTTATTCTCACGTCCATGTATGATAAGACGTGCCTTAACGTCGATAACGCTGAGATACATTCCCATTCTGATTTGTAAATACCGTGCGCTAAAGTATGCTATAGCTTACTACGTGAGTTGAATGTAGAAAATAGTACAAAAGTATTTTGAGTTTTTAAGTACGACTGGAATATTTAGATGCGACTCAAAACCAAACAAGTCTTTTCAAAACGATACTTTAATGCCGAACTCAGGAACCGCGGGTGTTACACTGACAGCATTGTGACACTAAACTCAAACAGAAAAACAACTCGTATGCATTCGCAATTAGACAGTTATAAACGAAAGGATTTTTAAGTTATATTTCTGCTCTTATACTCAGCGCTTAGAATTGTGTTTATCCCTGATTAGTACATCTTGCAAAATCGTCTGTCATATAATTCTACATTAGCCCGGAGGAAACCTGGCCAACTGTTAGCTACTTGAATTTCGTATCTTCGCTGAACATCTCTGGTGAAATCAGAAGGAATACAGTTTCACCAGACTGTGGATGGAGGCCGTACACTGCAAGTGTCACCTCAATGCACCTGTAGGCTACTTGGATGGCTAGTTATTAGCAAAGACATGAAAAACGACATTGTGATGCAGAATAAGAGAATTTGATTATACTTGAGACGAGTGACAGGCAGGCTACAGATTTCGACGTAGTTATGATACATAAAGTGTTCTCCATCTGAGATGATTTTAAGGTAGAAGTCGCTGGCTTTGTTGAAGTGCTTACTAAATCCCCACTCAAAAACACCGCATACTTTTGTGAGTTTGAGGTGCCGTCATGCAATATGCAGTCAAAGTTAGCTGCAGAGATTGAAGCGATCTTATTTTAATGATGAGCTGGTCGTATCGTGTATGCATTCGATTGTAGAAGGAATGGAATATTGAGAAGCGTCAGACTAACGACGTCGCGGTCGATGAAATTTCTTATCTCAGGGCGGGTCTAAGTACGACGACTATGATTTAATAATCCATGTACGTCTGAAATTATGGTAGTGAATCCAACCAAAATTATTTAGACTGGTGAGTGTGTAGACCTTATGCTACTTTTTGATTGTACCATGTAATAGGTTAGAGGTGTGTTAATGAGTAATTTTTGCAAGATAACTACAGCTGAGGATATCGAGGGATTGAATCCCAGAATGCGCGAGGTTACAGGAAATCCACAGACCGGAAAAATGTCAAGAGAACAAAGGTTAAAATGATAATATATGCAACATTGGATAGGTCGAGACCATATCTTGTAGTTCGTTTTCAACTTACGAGATCTTTGCAGACCTAACTGATTTCTGTTTATATTGCGATTTGTGCGCTCATTGTGCAAACGAGCGTTTTCCGGCTCCGCATGATGTGCATACCGACCTCACGTATCCTGCGGTACACAAGACTCAATCAAACATGATCTATCCTCAACATCGTTTCCGCTTTTGTCCTCATCTGCCGATACCTATATCAGGCCTCATATATCTTCCCCAAACCCTTATTCTGCAGCCATTGCCAACGATCAAAGCCCTCAATGCCTCATTTGTATTCTCCTTAGAACCTACTATTAAATACGTGCTAGAGCTTCCAGAGTCTTAACCCTGTGCCAAATCAAACGGCAAGCACCGCTCGCCGGAACTCCGGAATCTTCAGCCACGGATATGTGCGTTGCCTTTGAGACACGTATACAGGGTCTGAGTATGATTATTGAAGTGACCTCGTCTGACCAGTCTTCAAGATTCATCTTACGAGTATTCACAGATATCGTGGCTACCTGTCATAAACTCAATAGTGTAGGCACAGCACTCAAATGCAGAGCAAAAGTGCTCTATCCGACTGGATACCAGTAAATAGCCATCCAGGTGTCGTTCGGCTAGATGGACCCTTGAGACTAGGTAGTAGCCCTCCATAATCCACGCCCACGCACACATCGACCGTAGCCCAGGTGATGGGAAATGACAAATGCTGTGAGAAGCCATCACTCTCGCTACAGAAGGGAAAAAGTCCAAGTGTAGCCGTAATTTCAAGTAACTTCAACGGTCAAGTGGTAAAGCTAAGCTGAACGTGATGGTATTCTGGGGGTACATAGCGGATCCCATCCCGACAAACTAACGACGGCTATCGACTACTTCGGAATCGTTACGACAGCCCCTGTGTCCTTGCCAGCACTAACTCTAAGCATAAGGAGAGGCACTGTCTCACATCCCATCCACTACCATCAGACCAGCGATAGATATGGGCAGATCATATTGCCATTATTGTCGTCGGATAGGGTCGACAGGGGGTTGCACCCTTTTCAGAGCGCTATTTTGGGCCCTGATCATGCACTGGTGTAGACACGTCTACGTCCGGGCCTTACTGGTGGCCAAGATGGGTGACAGGGTGCATGTCTGTGCTAGATTGGAAGTTAAGGGGGGGTGGTAAGCAGGTATTCAGGGAGGAGTAGCTGAGTGTTTATCTGGATGCAACAGCAATGCGTATGCTGGGGAAACTTGGTGTGATATCAAGGCTGCCGTGAAGACTGTGGTAAAGACAGTTGGTTACCTGCGCCCGAAGGTTGGCAAACGTCACTGGATTTTAGGAAGTAGGGAATTACTGATTAAATTGACTTCGGCACCAACTGGTCTGTGGGCGTCGGTGGTAGTCCGCTTCACGGGTCACCTCTCTCTGTGAGAGGGGTAAGAAGTCGTTCTGTGACAAACACAGGGGGGTGAGTTTGGTTTACGTTGTGCTCAAGATCCTAGGAGCCAGTTACACGATACCCAATCACATCTCAGCAGCAGCACCTAAAGAGGGTCAGGGATATTTCGGACCCGGACGTTGGTGTATCGACCTCAAGTTAATCCTCTTTATAAGGCCTTAGAACGTGTGCATACCTACCAATAACCAAAGCGTGCCATATTTCTTAGCCAGAAGACCACATCTGACCCTATCTACGATGAGGTGTCGTGGAAGTGCCCGGCTGCGATGGGGGTAATGAGCCTGCTTGTCGAACTTCCTACCAGGAATCACGTAATCATACCGGGGCCAGTGGAGGGTTATTATGCGAACTGACGATAATTAGTGTCATTTACCAGGGATGTCCATCTCGTTACAGACATTCCAGTTGACATAGACTTAAATGCGTCTGGCTTCGCAGGGATCGGTCTGCTCCCCGTTGATCACTTTGCTGATTCTGAGCATGCAGACGATACTGTCCTGCTAGGTGGAGCTGCGGACAAAATGCAGCCTCTTCTGAACGCCTCCATCAGAAATCCGAAAGGGCTTCGCATGCACTTAGGACCTATCAAATGTGGGATGATGCCTCAGGGCGGTTCGAAAGAGGTGAGCGGTTGAATGCATTGACCACTTAACTTGCCTGATGCATCGGCCTGAACGGGGCGATTTCTGACGAAAACTCAGGTCGGATACAGTTTGCCCGTCTGGCGGTCACCAACTTGCGCCATCTCTGGTCCCGGCCAGGTATCTACCTGCCTACAAAGGACGAGAATACTCTACAACAGTTTGCTCCGTCTCTTTGTGCGGATGTGTGACATCGTCACTAAATGCAGATGTGAAGGGACCGCTAGCTTTCAAATACAAGTGTCTTCGCGGCACTACTCGAGTATGTTGGAATCACTATGTTTGCAACTTTGTCGTCAGGTGGAGGGCACTAGGCAAGATAGACAGGTCGAGTTGTGGGGTTATGAACCTTAGCCGGCTGAAGTCGCTTGGCATGCGCTATGCATGGTTAGCCACCACCTAGCTCGACGTGCCACACCACGAGAGGTTTGATTGGCTGTGTTACACTTATGATTCCTCGCTGCAATGCAATGTCAAAGGGCCCTACCTCTGTTGGTAGATTGGATCCTGTGCAGATGTCCCAGTAATGCCTGATATTCATAGTGATACATGTATCTTAGTGAGAGGCAGCCGAATCCGGAACACGCATTCCGACTCGACACCTGGACTTTCCTACACCCTAGCAGGTGATGCTGTTCCCACCGAAACTAAAACCGAACAGCCACCGCTTTAAATGCCAAGGTGTTATCATCTGGGCCACTAACTCACAGCAGCCACCTGCTGTGCTAAACGTATAGAAGCAGACAATTACGGGAGTCAAAACAGCAAAGGAGGTGGCCATCGTACCCCAGCGTCTTAGTGGATGATGTCTTGGCACCTGAAGAGACCGGTGCCGGCTTCCAGCCCGAATGGGAGCAATACCACTTACCGTTATTTTGTTTTTCTTTTGAGTCCCTAGTGAAACACAAGGCTTCAGTTGCACGTCTCGCTCCACTCTGTTCTCTGAAGCCCTTCGGACCTGGAGCCACAGCTATCCACAAGCTCTCATTTCTTCCCCACACCATCTGCTCCATATCACCCTCGGTCGCCTAACTCGCCGTTTCCCACGCAAATTCCACCCAACGGACTGGCGCGTGATTTCCCCAATCGGTCTTCTCAGCGCATAAACAATCCATCGCAGCTTTCCTCTGCACATTTGTTGGATGGTAGGTTCCTGGTTGGTTCGTTGCCAGAGTTCCTTGTCGCTTATTCCTATTATTCCGGCCATCTGATCTTCAGTATAGAGCATGGGCAGCTGCTGATGCGTGATGTCTGCGGTTTGCTGAAGATGATTTCCGTGATGCGCCAAATTACTGGACCACATACAAGCACTGACTTGACATAAGTGTTGAAAATCCGGATCTTGTTCTCCACACTGACTGCAGTGCAGTAGACCTGCGCACTGATCTCAGATTGGTGAGGGCCCGTCGTGCTCCTTCTATCCTGACTTTGGCATCTTTACCTGTGGCGCTGCCTGCAGTTGAAACGATGCGGCCCAGGTAGGTAGGTGAAGGGGACCACTACCTTTACATTTCTCCCGTTGGTGGTGATTGGTGCTTGCTGTTGTCGTTTGGGTATCTTCATCACTTCTGTCTTCTCTACGCTTGCCTGGAGTTCCGTTTTTGCTGCCCTGCCTCTTCCATCGACTTGTTGGTTTTTGGCTGCATATCTTCAGATTCCTGTGGCATTAGACGTAAATGATCATCGGCAGCGAAATTCAAATCTTCTAGAGACTTCTCACCAGTCTAGCCAGCGAATGCCCCTCTTCTCGCTCCTCACAGTCTGTCACACGATCCAGTCCGGTAGACCGCGATCAGGAAGATTATCGGTGACGGTATAAAACCTTGTCTTACTACCTCCCATCTTCATTTCAAAAGCATCGCTAAGCTTTTCACTGTGAATCACTTGGCATGTAGAGTCTTCATATA